CATCAGTGACACAGCCAGGCAAATTAAGCTGAGACAATAGGCATACACGGAGGAATTTTAGAGCCTGCTTTCTGTAGTAGATATCCATGCCATGGTTCCTCTGGATAACCGCTGCTACAGCAAGATTAATGAATTTGTCTAACGGCACCAGAAAAGGTGTGGATGGCTCAAATGTAAGAACTAAGCGGAGCCCATGCTCTGGATTATCTTTGCAATCAAGTGTAAGTGGCTCTTTCAAAAATCTTCGGTTGCGACCACCCAACTTTCCAAGGATTTGTAAAGCTTTTCCACCCCATGGATATGGCACAGGCCTCAATTGGGACCATAGTGCTAAGATCACTTCTGACATCACATTCGCCATGCTAGGCTCCAGAAAATCAGGATTCAGACTATCCACCCAGAATTCAAGGGTGCGTAACCCCAAGCTCACAAGTTCATCGCTTCCCCTCAAACAGAATACAAGAGGCTTCATGAGACGGGGAAGGTATGGCAATAAGGAGCTTAAGCGTGCAGGAAGCGTCAAACAAAGCTCTAACAAAAGATCTTTCATGTCCTCCCCAGCTGGACCCTCGAGCATTGTCAGAAGAATATTAAGACAAGGTAGCAGCATTGGAATCAAATCTCTCAGAAGCAGCTCATATTTACATCCAGCAAGGCCTCTGAACACAGTGCGGAGCAATTGCATATAACCAAGAGGTTTTTCAACTTCCGTAGCATTCTTCATGCAGACTTCCATAATAACAGGCACGTGGTGCTGTAATATTCTTTCGAAATCAGATGGTGTTTTGGTAACAGCCCCAAATATGCATCTAAACAGATGCAAAACTAGTTTTGTTGCATCTGACTCTGGATTCTTCAGAACATCAAGTTTGCTGCTCACTAGTAAATTAATCAAAACATCTGCAAATGGCTTGTAAACTTTGGGAGCTTGCAGAAGCGCTGCAAATATCTGAACCAGTTGGCTATTGTTAATCATGCACTCGAAAAGCTCCGGCATGCATAAAGAGAACATGTCCATTAGATCTCGAGGTTCCATAATAGCAAGAATCTGGGAAAAAAGATTAAGCATTTCCTTCTCCTCATCCTTTTCTTTGAAGAGAGCCAAGCAGTGGACGCCACTCCTTAAAACACCAGAGGCTTTCCACACCTACTTAAAGGCAGAGATTAGCAACGCACTATTAATGACTAGAGCAAACAATCTCACAAGCAATACCTCATCTTCTCTCATTCCTTTAAAACCCTGAGGAGCAGATGACTGTGAAGCAAGAGCTTGAGGATTCATCCCCTGGGAAGCAGGAGAAACCTTCAAGATTAATATACTTGCATAGAAAAACCAGACAACACTGATATTATTAGAGAGAACTGAGCACAAACCTGGGGTCGAGGCAAATGGGCATGGGTTATACTCCATATTATTGTTTTCATTCCTGAACACAAATCAGGGGGGAAAAACATATTGAGCTTCAAGTATAGAATCATAATCAAAATACTTCTATATATGAAAAACAATTCTGCCAAGATTCAGTACCCATGACTAGTGTCTTGATCAGATTCTTACAATCATTCACTTCTTTTGCATGTTCCACAGGAACCTGCAAATTCAAAACTGCCTGCAAGTAGTACGGTCTAGCAATTAATAAAAGCTGCTAGCTAATCCAATTGTTGGTCCAAACAAAATTTACGAAGTTATCAATAAGAATGCATAATGCTTTAGTTAAGAGACAAAAAAGCTAGGTATGAAATCTAAGAATCCAACTTAAAATTATGATACTGCCTTTTATCCAACTTGATAACGAAAGTGAACTATATATGTAGGAAAATAAGAGAACATTAAATTAGGAATATGAGTTTAAATATATACATGCGACATCACTTTGGCTGATAATTCGGGTTACTCACTATAATATAACACTCATCATTGAATATAACAGCCGCATTTACCTGAACAGGAAGTTCAAGCTTTGCCCTCAATGTGACCCGATCCTTGCCCGCCTCACCTTCCTCCAAAAGCTAGGTATCACAAAGCCAGAAATGGTAAAAAAATATTCAATAAAGTATGGAGTATATCATCAATGTACAGTAAAAACCAAGCCAACAGAAAGAACTCCGGAGCACAACATTTGATTTTGGAAAGCAACCAGGATTACCTGAGGAATAGTTCGCTTGAAAGTACTGAATTTCCCAACAAAGGCATCCAAGATACGTCCCTACATACAGGTGTTGGATGAGTTAACTTAATGGATAAAGAAGCCAGCTAATTCAAAATTGAGCTCTCCGGTAAATCTTTACCAGTAGAATTCGTGCTTCATCCATTGACTGCTGATCAACACCTTTCTCAAAGATTGGTTCTACCTGAATCCAGCACAAGTATTAAGTATTAACAGAGCTATGTTCAGAGACATACATAACCTAGTACGCATGTTTTAAGTAGTTTATCGAATTAAACAAGACAAGCACAGATGGCAATGAAGAATTACCAGATTTAGCATCAGCCGGGCACATGTTGTATGAATACTAAGAGTGAGGGTAGAATCGTGCATGTTTCTTGAAAATAGGTAGATAATCCGAGATAACTGCCACGTTTTTATAGATAATTCAGAGGAATGTTAAAGAAAGCACACTCGCTAATGTCAAGATCAACAATAAACACAGTTTAAAGCTATTCATCAGTAAGAACCTGAGAAAGAGAAAGATCTCCACGAACGTGGTGAACAATCTCCGCGAGTAGGCTATAAGCCAAAGGCCTCAAAGACTCGAAGCAAGCTCGGCCCGTTCCAACTAGCACCCTGACACAAAAGACAGAAGGAAAAAGGAAATACCAGACATAAGTCATTATTTGTTCACTTCAGCTTGATAGATTATATGGACGAACAAAAGGTCTGCTCGATTAAACAAAGAAGCTCCGTATAAATATGAAATTCAGATGTGCCTCATACCTCTCATCTAAAAGAGTGTCAATAAGAGGAAACAAGCCTCTCTTGAAATCAGTCCCAAGTACATGCTTTAATGAGACTAAGAGTTCCTGCATTTAATGAAGTTGAAATAAAATTACGTCACTGCAATCCATGGACGGTGTAACTCAGAATCTATACAAAAACAGAACAAAAGATTTTCCACCTTTCTGATAGATGCTGAATCTGAACAAGTCACAAGCAAATTCACAATGCTTTTGCATATGCTTTCTTCATGCGGCCGAATATATTCAGCGCAGCTTTTTAACAAATACGTCAAAAATGAAACCGTCTGCAAATAAACCATAAGAAAAACAAAAGTCAATATAAGTCTTTAACATTGCACAAAGGTTTGATTTCATCCCTGGAACAGAACCATTGTCTCACCTTAACCTGTGCACCTTTCAACTCTATGAACTGAGGCTTCAAATGTGCAGGGACATTCTCCGGTCCAGGGACAGATATTGCAGCAACCATAAGGGGAAGCAAGTGAGGAATATTAGTCTGAACAAGCCGACTATACAGCTGGAAAAGGAACATAACAACAAGAGGACTCTCTGTGATGATCTTGAACGACCGAGTACTCGGGTTAAGCTGCCCGTTCCCGACAGGCGCGGTAGGTGTAAGGGACTGATGATCAGAAGAAGTAGACGCCTCCACAGGCTTCACATCTTCCATCTTAACATTGTCAAAGAAATGGCTGACAGTGAACCTGAAAATCTGATAGATCTTGCAGACAAAGTCCAAAAACGGCTGGACCTCGTTCTCTAGCGTTGGCCTAAAGTTCCTAAGAAGGTCGAAGATGATCCGGATGCAGATCAAACCGTTCTCTTCGTTATCTGTAGTGAGCACTTGCATTGCAACTTTCAAGAGGTCTTGAACAAAAGGACGAAGAACCTCACTGTGAGGAAGACGGTTAAGGATCTCAACCACAATGTTACGCAGCTTGTGCTCCGGATTGTCGATAAACTGCGGTTTTGTGATCTGTAGAAGGATGACTGAGAATGCAGGGAAGTAGCATTTTAGGAAATTCAAGTACTCTGCTGTGTGAGCTATCTCTAGACTGTCTCTGACCTCCACTACCATCTCAAGCCTTGATTGAATAGCTACAGAGAAAAAAAAGAACAAAATTTAGCCATAGACAGAAAGAATTAAAAACTTTCAATTTTGATTTCGTAGTTAAAAACTGAAACTTGAACTTAGTCGAAGAAAGGACTAAAATTTATGACGAGAATCATGAAAAGATTTCAAATTTGAGGATCATGATATCTCAAAATCTGAAATTTGAATTGAGAGAGAGAGATTACGTAGGTCAGGATCGACGAGACGACGGGAGTGTTGCTCGAAATTCTGAATTGGACTCATGGTTGAAGAGAGAGGTGAGACTACACAAGAGGAGTAATTTACACGGCGGAGAAGTCGCCGACGATCACTGAAGCGACGGAAGTGCTAGACTAGGTCAAGGAGAAATGGAATTAACGAGGGTTTTTTACGAAAACTACTAGATTAGAGATAATTCTAGAGGTTTCCGATAGCAGAGAGCTACGAACGACTATAGAAGATGATGCTTCTCTCTAAGCAATTTTCCCTCTCATTTTTTTGTTGGGTTTTTGATTTTCTTCTTCTCTGTGACTCCTTTGAAGTGAGTCTGAGAACTCTCTCCTCCGACACAACACAATTCATGCGATCGCCGACTGGTTTTATCGTCCAATTTTTTTGTTTCATTTTCATATAATGGGCCCGAAATATAGGCCCAAATTGATTTTTAAGCCCACAATTTATATTTCTTTCTGTTGGATAAGAAAAGAGAGGAGAAGTGTTGTTATCAAGACGGTCACATTTTAGCTAACGAATATTATTAAGACCTAAACCAAATCCAATCATTTCAATATAATCTAACCAAAATTCAAGTGTAGTAAACGCCAAGAATCTAACACCCACTAACTACTATATAAAACAGCCAATTGATATATAAATTCATTAGCCGTGGTCATTAGTTCTCTTGTAATATGAATCACATGTTGATGGAGGGTACGTAGAAGGAGAGTTATGGGGAGTGAAGAAAACGGTTGTAGAAGCGTCTTAGGTGGTCGGGCGGAGATAGACACGAGAGCACCGTTTGGATCGGTGAAAGAAGCAGTAGCCTTGTTCGGAGAGAAAGTCTTAGCCGGAGAGATCTATGCAAGGCTTCGAGAGGTAACAATGTTCATATTATTATTATCACAAAGATTGTTGGAGGACATATCTAACATTTAACTTAAAATATTGTAGAAACTTATGTTTGAAGTATAAATGAAGGGTCACAGTAGTGTTATAACTAGTTACTAAATCTTTTGAATGCATTCGTTTTCTTTTCTTGAGACAACAAGTTTTCTTGTTTTTGTCTATATTTGACTACACATTGTTTATGGACTATTAATTTGTCCAGCTCTAAAATTAGGAATGTTGCTATCTAATTACCAATGTAACACATCCATGATCTAACTATTACAAACTATCGATCCATTCACGCATGTAGTTTTGACTTTTTAGGTTTTACATCACAACATGTATTTGACTGTTTCAGATACGGACAAAAGAAACAAATTCAACTCCGAATCCTCAATCGAGATTACGATCCCTAACACTCGAGCTTGAGCAGACAAAAGAAACTCTTACAAAAACCCTACAACTAAACACCATCCTCTCCAATCGAATCAAAATCCTAAGACAAGAACTCGAACATGGGAGGGAAGAGATTCAACGACTCAACAGGATGACGTCGAGACGCCTAGACAATCCGGAGATCGAGGAGCTCAAGTTCGTGGAACAAGATCAAACGAAGACGTCCAAAGACGTTGAAGAAGAGGTTGTAACGACGGAGGAGTTGGAGAAGAGAAGACTCGTGACGTTTGCTAGCTCGCCTTTACTGACACGTGTGATGTCAACCGTCGAGGTCGACGAGAAGGAGAGGAAGAAGAAAGAGAATGTTTTAGAGAGAGTTTTTTCGGTTAAGAAGACCAAATCAAAGAAGGGTTTTGCTCCGTTCATGGGTTGGTTTAGAGCAACCCGCGGAGGAGATTGATCAGTCTCCAATTATGCATGGTCGTCATTGAATATATGACTTTGTATTGTTTGTTTTGTAATATAGTAGTGCGATGATGACCTAATGTGTACCGATCTCGTTTAAAAATTTTGATGAATAAAATCTTCTATGGTATGACACTGATTGTTTAGTTAGAGATTTCTCTAAGATATAAAGATTACTTGTTTCATCAGACTGAACATGCATACAATTTTTCTGTCAACATTCAGATATATGTATATTAGAATAAGATCCGTGTGATACACAAATAAAAATATTAAAAAATGTTGCTGTAACAACTTATCACCAGAACTTTCAACACATAACAAACATTTACGTAAACTGGCAAATGAGAAATTGCAAAACATTTTTTCTGTTGATTTATTCTAATAATGTATATATTCACCGAATTATCCACATAACAGAAATAAAGTTTAGATTTCGCATCATAAAATTCAGCCAACAAAAAAAAGAGAAAATAAGGAAATGAACCAAACTGATCCAAACAAGTCTTTTAGTGAGAATTTCACAGAAAGGGAATCAAAGACCATGATGCTACACAAGCCTCACATCTTTGCTTCTAATAGAAATAACGTACTTTGAATCCCCAAAAAGCATTTAAAGATCTTCTCGGATCCGCAGAAAAACTCATACATGTATTCACTTGTATATAAACATGTATACATCTCAACTTTAAGTAACTCCTCAGACACACATAACTACATGTGTCACTGTCTAGACCATAGGAATGGAACATAGATGTTCAAATATTTATATACAAAAAATAATTTGGTAATATATCAACTTGATTCATTCTCTCTCTCTCTTTCTCTCTCCCTCCGTGTTCAAAATGAATATGGGCAATCTTGGTCAAGATGATAGGAGTGCAATTGAGATTATGTTTGAAGAATTTAAAAGTCTATTCAATTTGAGATCTCCTTGATGTAGACCCCTTTGTCTTCTTAAGAGTTTATTTCATATATGGTCCACATAAAAAAGGCTTGCTCACGTAAATCTCTTAGGAAGTAGGAACAGAGGGAGTAATTTTAATTAAACTTCTAAAAACCCATGGCTTGCTTAAAAAAAAAAAAAACACTTCTAAAAACCTTAAAACAAAAAAACAAAAAAAAACTTCTGAAAACTTGGATCACTTATCTATGACAGAAAAAGCAACTAACCACAATCATTTTCCTTCTTCATGTTAGTTTAGTTCACGCGGCTCGAGAACCACTCTCTGCAAATATCTCACTGTTTTCGGAAACTAGAGAATTCACATTCACGCGCTTTTCAAAACGCGTAAGCCACCTTAACATAACCATCATGCTGTTACTGTATATCTAAATGATTACAATATGACATTAATATTCCTATAAGCTCGACAAATCAATTTCAGTGAAACAGTTTTGTGAGTAATCAATGATGATCATTAACTTGTCATTTTTACGACAAGGACAATAAAAAAAATAGCATGAGCATGACAAACATTTCGGCAAAATCGAGGGCACAAGAGATAGTTTAACGATGGTTGGTTCTATAGCTTAGCTTGAAACATTGGAGATCCAAGAGCTTCATCTAGATATACAAAACGTGATACAAATACAGTTATACTACTTTTTTTTCTGAAAAGAATATAAAAAATTGAAATGATCAAAATCTTTTATAATTTATGATAACCGTACATGTGTTACCGATATATGCAAAATTACAAACTCTTAGAAACTAAATGAATACAATCATGTTTATATAAATTTTGTTCACTAAGTAAAAGTTCCGAGTTTAAGTCCATAATTATTTAATTAGGATCAGAGAATATAGCATGTGAATTAGGTTTTCTATCCGTTGCGGATACCATCGAACTCTAGCTGTTACTTTGAAATAGCGCAAAAATTAAGACACAAGACTCTGCGATCTCTCCCTAATAAGCATCACATAATTACATGGTTTAATAAAGCATCACAATGTAGTTAATTTGCCTTAGTGATGCCTTATATATCTTGAACATGCCGTTTCTCGCATGCCTGAATGCCTCGCGATCTTTTTTACTGTACGTTATATTGAAATAGATTCCACATTCATAGTAGTAAAATTCCAACACATCTTCTTTATAGAAACAGGAGAAAAACGAAGTCACTTAAAATTTCACTTAGACGATATAGTAATTACAGTTAAACTACGTACGAAGATACTAATATCATAATATAACTGGATTATTAATAACCATAGTTGTAAGCTGTAGCGAAACATACGAGAGAGAGAGAAAATGAAAAAGCTTTACTCCGGTCCGACGCCGGCGTACGAGTTCAGACATAGCGTAAGAGAATCACAAGGATCTCCATCACAGGAACCACGACCGTCTGATTGGCCATTTTTCCAGATGGCACCACCACAACCGTTGATGTGATCCTCACCTCGCATAGGGAACAAAGGAAGTGTACGTCTATGTTCCAGATAAGCATCGCCACCATAACCTCCTTCTTGATAACCTTCTCGACCAAACAGAGGCTTTGGTCTCTCAAAGAAGTTGTAAGCTGGAGCTGAGTAATGATGATTATGATCCGTAGTGTTTGTCCATCCTCCACCTACGTTGTTGTAGCTCACTGGAAACTCTTGTTCCTTCACCCAAAAGATTCCAATCTCATTAAATTCATATTTATGTAGTTTTCTTTCTTTCAATTCGTATATATTCAGGATATGTGTTAATTGAATTAAATGACTTAAAGTTTCGAACGTACCATAGATCCATAGACATGGCTACTCATGTAGCCATTAGAAGCATTAACAGCACCACATTCAGTACCTGAACTTGCATGATTTAAATTCCCTTCATACAAAATTACGAATTTGTGAGGATGACGTAGTACTGTACATGTTTCCAGAGAGAAAAATGACGAAAAGAAACATAAAATAAAGTTGTTTTTCTACTAACGTAAACCCCTAATTTTATCTCAAATCACAACACGCGTGAAGCTAGATCCATTACACAACAAAGAAACCGTTCTAGATGCAAATTTGGTTTGCCCAAAATTAAGATCCCACATACACATGTATGATATATCTATCTATCTATCAAAATCCTATATATATGTATATGAAGATCTTGATTTTTTTTTTTTTTTTTTTTTAATAATTCAAGCTATTGGTGCAAATGATTCCTAGAAGACTAGTGTAAAAACCACTTTGATCTGAATAAATTCATCAATAACAAAAACAAACATTTTTAAAATCTTCTCAACGGTTTTTAACATCTTAAACGTTGTTCATTACATACATATATATCAAATTCATATACTCAATCTTCTAAGGATTTTTTTATTTTATTTTATTGAGATAATAGCTAGTAGCAGTGTTAATAGTTCCTAGTAATTTAAACAATTTTTGGTTAATAAAGCCATCTGAATAAAAATCATTTAGAGAAAAATATAAAGAAATTAGTCACCGTTGTTGAAGCTGGGATATGATCTGTTCTGATGAAGTAGATGATTTTCTTGGTCAAGTTTAACTGAAGCAGGTCTCTGAATGGAAACACCATGATGACGATGATGGTGATGAAGAAGAGGATGATGATAATGATCACTAGCCATCATAACCGAGTTGGGTGATGAAGAAGTGGGTGTGCCATTGAATCTCATCTTCTGACGCTCACGAGCCTTATGGTTCTGGAACCAGTAAAAGACGTTTTTCCCCTCGATCTTTCCGTATTGTTTCAGCGTTGTAGAGATCTTCTGGATCTGATCGGCTGTTGGTGACCGGACTCCCTTGTTGTAGTAAAGATCTTTGAGGACTCTGATTTGCTCCGTCGTCGGCGTCCATCTCGTGCTGGTTTGACGGCATGTGTAACCACCGGAGCCGGACTTGTTGTTGCCGTTTTCTTGGTCGGCTTGATGTTGATGATGATAATGCTGCGGTGGCTCCATTTCAAAGATTAAGATCAAGAGTAGAGAGGAACAAGACAAATGATCGTGAGAGAGAAGGAAAGAAAGTTTACTTTACCAAGAAAAGAACTTTGCAAAAGAGATTTTAGGTTTTGTCACAAAACTTTTGTGTGTGGGAGATATAGAGAGAGAGAGTGTGTGTAAGGTGTTCAGTTATATATATAGATGGGGACCCAAAAAAAGTTTTCGCAATATTCTGAAAAATCAGTTATATGTGTGTAGATTTGATTCCACACATACGTTAAAGCTCTTTAGCCTTTAGGAAACGACTAATAATTTGTTTTTATTAAGTAGATTAATTGCTATAGGATATGGAAAGACTCGATCTCAAAATATAGTATGTATGGGCTTACGACTACCAAATTAAAGAAACTTATCACTGTATATGACCTAGAAAATATGTGTATATGAGCAAAAATTGTGATACACAAGTGTCAAGTGATAGTTAATTAGATGACACAACGACGTGGTCATTTGGATTAATATTATAATTTTATATATACATATGGGAAAACGTTTCTTATGTATTTTTTTTTTAAACGTTTCTTATGTAAAATGTATATGTGTCGAAAAGAAGAAACAAAATTCTTCTTTTCGAATTTCTAGAAAACGAACAAGCTAGATCGTCATTAGTAGCTGGAGTTATTTAGCTAAAGAAAGGAAAGTTCTTAACTTGAGCTTAAATTTGTGTTTATGAATTGCTTTCCGTTTTTTTTTTTTTTTTTTTTTGTAAATGATGAAAAACTTCAACTGTTTCTTAGAATTTTATGGATTTAATTATACTGTGGGGGATAGAATCAGAGGATATCTGGTGGAGAAGGATTGAGAGTGACAGAGAAGTTAGAAATAAACATGAAAAAGGAAAGGGACAAATGAGGGAATTAGAAAGGTGAGGGCATCATCGTTATTTACATAGACGAAAAACAAACTCCAATTTTTCAATTTCTCTGTCTCTTCTCAATTATTACTTCATCAGCTTTAATTGTTATACGTATCTATCTACGTATGAAATATATTTACCCATACACACAATATTTTTAAAAAATTAATAAAATTGATAGTATGAATGAAAGAAAATATCATTTTTAAGAGAATGTGTGATAAGAAAAAAAAAAGTGAACACTGTTTGATTATTCGTTAAGACAGTTCTTTCTTTCTCTACTGTTTAAGTTCGATCGCGTCTCACAAAACAAAAAAATTAGGTTTAGGTTTAGGTTGTATACAAAATAACCTAAATAATAGACAAATTAAAAAATTAAATTCCGTAGGAGCTAAAGGTTCTATATAAATGGGAAACAGGCCTAAAGATACGATCACCAAAGTTGCTAGCTACTATCTTGCACAGTTATATTGTATAGCTGTTTAGAGTACTCCAATATTTCTCGAACTCATGAGCAATAGTACATAATGTGCAACGAAACACCATGAAACGAGAAATTTTTGTTAAATTATATCTAGGATTATTAGATTGTGAAAATGTCTTGTGAATTATACGTTCGTATGAAGTGTATACATCAACACAAGCTAAGCATGTATGATCACATGTACATAGTGCCATATCTACTTAGTATACTAATACTCTCTATAGACCCTTTTGATTACTCATATCTCTTACGAGGGAGTACGGGAACGATCATGCAGTGAGAAACAGAGGATCTTAAATTACGCATGACCGTCTTTTTCATAACTACTGCTGATGAAGATGCATGAGGCATGAGGGCTAATGTCTACGTGGCTCCTAAAAACCAGTCTTCTTTATTGCACAGATTTCATTTTCATTAGGCCATCATTAGTTTTTGTTTGTACTTCCTGCCCTAATTTCATGAAGATCATTAATAATTAGTTTATTTAAAAATAATAATTTGATTTCCCGGAAATTAATGGGAAGAAATATAGGTTTGGAGAAGGCATGGTCCCCTCTACGATCCGAGCTTTATATTCAGTCTGTCATATGTTGTTCGCTATTTACACCTTACACTACACTGTTTCTATTGAAATCTAATTAGTTCGACGTACCATAGTTAGAGTTTTCGTGTGTGTGTATGTGTGTGTGTGTGTGTTACCCGTACCAATGTGTAGTGATTTCAATAGTTCATGACTGCTCTGACGCTTTTTTAATTTAATGTATTATGCCAATTTATATCTCAATTCATATTTGAATATTTATGATAACAGCAACTATAATCGGCTCCAAAGAAAAACATTTAATAACAGTAACAAAAACTTAACATAACACATATATATATATATATGTAGAGAGATAGACAGAAAGAGAGAGTGAGAGAGAGAGAGAGAGGTGAAAGGGAAAGTGGTGGAGAAGGAATTTCACTGTCGAAGAAAGAGCACGCTCTTCGATAACGTAAGTGCAATGCAAGCAATAAATGAAGTGAATTCATGAGAATTAGTTCATTATCATCATTTGCTGTAAAAAAACAAAAACAATTCATTATCATCATCATCATCTATCTTCATTCAAACACACACACCGTACAAACATATGGATGGAACAATAATGATATGCTTTTTCATCCATGCATACATATAAATACAATATGTACATGCTTTAAAGGATTTACATATGGTTTAAAAGATGGAATATTACATCATATAAACGGGGCATGTATCTTGTTGTATGCTTCTTATTTTGGATATATAGAGAAGTACCTTTCACCCACAACTACACCAGTTACATTGGTGGTTGCGACTATTTATTTACTTATCTCTCTTTCTAGTTTATCGATTATACGGAGTGAGAAAATTTCACAGAATATTCAACACACATTAGTAGGAAGTTCAATTACTTGACTGAAAGCAAGATTTTTGTTTTACATGTTATAGAAAAGGGTGATAAATATGAATATTATATTATAGTTGCATGTACATTTTTTTCTAAGAAGGAATAGGATCAGAAGAGTGAAAGAAAAAGCAAAGTGTTAGTTTCCTAGAAAGTTAGAGAAAAGTGATCATTGCCTTCTACTGAGAGGATCTGAGATAAAGATGAAAAATATGAGAGAGATTTATTTTCACTTCGTTAATGATTAATTTGATTGGAAGGTTTTTTCTACATCAAGAAAAAATATATTTTTGAAAATGAAGTGTATATCATGTAATTCAAATTTCTATTGTATGAATCTGTTAATAACTTCCTTGATTTATAATCATATATGTATGTTTCTGTCAAACAAAAATAGAAATTAGCAAGACGATCAGAAGTGCGAGCAAGCATTGGTCACAAGCTTTTCCTTGTACGTAACACTACCACAGCTTTCCTAGTTTCTTACTACTTGGTTCCAACGTTTTGAACAAATATAAAATGGTCAGAACTTTACTATCAATGTTTCTACAAGAACATAATATTCAGAAAATGTTACAAAGTGTTTATCCCCAAAACTCACAAAATGGTCGAAAACTGTTACAAAATTCAGCTAGTTTTTTTTTTTTTTTTTTAATAACATAAAGCAGGAGTCGTTATATGGAATGATAAATGGTCAAGATCAATATAACAGAAGACAGATCAATACTTTGTGATGGGATGATATGAAAAAGGTGCTTTGTATGCACATACACACACACATCCCTTTTATCCAAATCAACAATAACACATCAAAGCTGCTTTTTTCTGCTTTCCTTTTCTTACGGGTAATCATTTCCTCATACTCTCTTCTCTCACTCCCCTATCAACCCAACATATAATAAGTCTTGATTTTTTCGGGTTCTCGTTTCAAGAAATAAGAAAGAACAAGCATGAAAAAAGGGTATAGGTTACATTGTTAGAAAGTAGGAATGGTAGAAAAGAGAATGATGATGTTAGGAAAAAAGAAACGAATAGGGATTTGAGATGAGAAGATCATTCCATATCTCATATAGTATAACACATCGGCCCTTTTCATTGATATAAAGTGTCTTATTCAGTAGAGGCCAACGCTTTTTTCTTCTCTCTTTCTATTGATTTTAAGAAAGAGATTCTTTGATCTCTAAACCCACGTGTTCTTTCATTATTTCAGTCTCTCTTTTTCTTCCGTTTCAATTGTGTAACTTGTAGTTGCTTTTTGTTAAAGTGTGTTAACTTGTAAAACTTTCACATTACATAGACAACAATTTTAAATAACTTGGGTAATTTGTACTTTAACCAATGATACCTTTGTAAATAAATAAAAAGAATTACTGATTATATATAATTTTTTTTTTATAAACTCTGCCTAAATTTATTGGTTTTTTGTAATTCCTCGAAAACAAGATTGTACTTCCATTTAGTGAAACGATATTCACAAAGACATGAATAGGTGAAGTATGATCACTTGGTCAAATCAATTATCGATTAGCATATATGTATGCTCGCTCGGGTAGAGCGAAATTCTTTAGTCACACTCACATCACATCAGTTGGGAAAATTGAAAAAAAAAAAAGAAAAAACAGAAAAAAGAAAGCGAAACAAACCATATAACCAATTCACACTAAAACCACAAATCAAATTGTAATATACATTACACAGTTTCGGAAACTATAACAAATACGGTAAAATAAAAAAAAATCAAAGACATAAAATTGGTTGAAAGAAAACTGTGGAAAACTGGTTGTAAAATTTAAAGAAAAAAGCCATCAGTTTAAGCTTCAGTAAGTAGAAGTATTTAACCTTTTTCTATTTTGGCTTTCCTCTTCTCTGGCTTGATGACCAGTCTCCAGAGTCATCATACTGTTGCTTGCTTCTGTCAGGATTATAGTAACCTCTCGTCTCATGATTGCTGCCTCCTCCTCCTCCTCTACGTTCATGTCCTCTTCGGTTCGCAATGTTATAGTTGTTTGATCCTGATGACCTTGAAGCAGAACCAGAACCAGAGCGGTTTAGCTCTTCCAATGGAAGTGGCTCGATCCCTTGCAAATCAGGCTCTGGAGTGAACCAAACCGGGCGTTTCGACTCATTCATTTTCCTAAATGTGATTGATATCCTGTTGACAAGAACTCAAATGAGCAAAAAAAAACTTGATGTTTGTCATATGAAAGAAACGGATAGAGAAACAATACACAACCTTTTAGTGGGAACTGCAGGTACACAATGCTTTGCTAAATCAGCTCCGTTTCCATTCAACACCAGAACTGATCTGAAAATGTCCCCAAAAACCGATTATTCGACAATGAGTGTTGAAAAGTTTCGATATTTAAAAAATTCTCAACTTACTTACCCCACAGGAAGTGGTATTGAGTATACACCCGAGAATTCACCAGGACCTTCTACTCTAAGGTTTGAGCCAAAGAGGATATTGCATTCACTGAGGAAAGATACTGTACAGAACGGACGGAGAAAGTCGTGGTTGTCGATGTGAGGAGGTATACAGTCACCTTCAGCATAGATGTTGACAATGCAGGTATCGGGCACACAGGTTGGAGGCAGAACATGCCATTTGATCAACCTTCTAATGATCACTTTGAAAAGAGAAGGTAACGGATCCACTTCTTCTCGCTGAAGAATACCCGGTGGGTTTCCAGCTCTATCCTGTCAACATACAAGAAGGCAACAAAATCTTCAACCTTTTGTTGGAATGAGACAGATTAATGAGAAAAGTTAGCCAGAGAACGAGTTACTCACCGTAGCGTAGTTATAACAACAGCCAAATTGAATTGTTACACGTCCTTTGCCTCTCATCCACTTCTGTGGAGCAGTAAAAGTACGCTCTAAAAGAGATAAAACAAGACAAGATTTTCAGAATGGAAATAGGAGACAGTAATGATAAAAGAGATTTTTTTTTTCAGATTGGAACAAGAAGCTACCTCTAAGCTCTCCTTTACGTCCCTTCTCTTGAAGTTGATACACTAGATCAACAATCCGTTTCTGCTCCACCGCGCTGAAAACACCAGTGTGCAACTCAAGTCCATCAACAACGTTAACGAGCTTTCCCTTAACTCTCTCCAAGCAAGTGAAGTCTTTCTTTCTCTTCACATGCTTTATCCTGAGATTCTCTCTCTGGTCTCTTGATAACTTAGGCTTCTCTGGAGTCTTATTCATCGAACCCGCATCAAAAGCTTTCTTACTAGATTCCCTCTGCTGCTCTTCCCCTTCATCCTCGAACTCATCTTCCTGACTCATATCAGCCCAAGACATTCGAGGGCTTGCAGTTTCAGCAGCAGCTGGTTGAGATGGCCGTACCTTACCAAGAACTTCAGACAAGGATCCAAATGAAATCCCACTCTCCTTCCAGCTACCTAGCGAGTGATTATCACAGTCTCCACCATTTCCCAAATCTCTAGTAGACTTTTCATCATAATTATCAGCAACATTGTTACTGGTTCCTTCTGATTCCAAACCAGCTTTACCCTCTCCATCAACTTCGTCACTGTTACTACTACAATGTTCTACACAAGGAAATACAATTTCTCATAAGCAAATGAATCGTTACATGAACCTAAAGCCGATAACTTTAACTCACAAATTTAGAAAACAGTAAATTCCTAGCAACAAATTACACTAATCTCTCGCCTCTTACTTGTTCCGATCATCAAACCTAAATGTTCAGTTAGATTCTTCAGAGTATAAAAAACGAAGAATCAACAATCAACGTGAACTCCGTTTTCTATATATACAGAGATTCAATTTAACATTAGAAATTTCTCGGGTTAGCATAATGGTGGATTCGTTACCTTGGTCAAGAGAGCGGATTCGATTGGAGAGAACGTTGACGCAGTCCTTGCACAGATCTCTAGTCAAGAAAGGAAGCCAATTCGTCAAAAATTCCGAAACGGTCTTGAGCTCCGACGGCTGGTATTGCCGGAGAAACAGATCGTCTTCCATAGTCTCGCTCGATTTCCGATCTCCGAATCGAATCGTCTTGTTCATGTACGTGCAGAAATTTCCAAGTCCACGATTTGAAATTTTTTCCTCTTTTGTCAGTGTGATTCTGTGATTGTAATTAAGGCACACTTGTAATTCAAGAAACGAATGAGGGGTAGTCTCGGTATTTAATGAGCCGCCGAGTAAAGTCTATGGGCCATTCAATATGTTAAAAAGCCCATTAACTTTGAATTGCCACGTGTTGAGAAATAATTGGATGTAACTTTCAAGTAGCTTAACGGTTGAGGATAAACAGCTTATCTTCCAAAATCGTTCCTTTTCTTCTTCAGAGCTCAAAATCTTAAAAACACCAAAAAATGAAAGTTCTTCACTTTTTAGCTCCAAATTCTGCAAAACCAACCATTATCAATCTGAAGCAACAATCTTACGGTCCAATCACACAAACCCAGATCGTGCTGCATCGGAGAATCAGACGAGCTCCATCAATAAACTGCTCAAACAGTGGTGGCAACAGCAACAGCGGCGACGGGAAGATCTCTCAGCCGTTGGATGGAGTGGAGATAAGATTCAAAAGAGGATCGAGAAAGAAAATGAGAGAAGAAGGTTCAGGAGAAGGAGGAGGGCAAAACGGAAAGAAAAAGGAAACTGTTCAGAAGCCATGGGAAGAGATGAGTTTGAATGAGAAAGCATTGGAGCTTTACGTGGGAGAGAAAGGTTTGTTGTTTTGGCTGAACAAATTGGCTTACGCTTCGATCTACATTGTGATCGGAGGTTGGATCCTTTTCCGGTTTGTCGGACCGGCTTTGAATCTTTATCAGCTTGACACACCGCCTCTTGATCCTAAAAACATCTTAAAGGGTTAACAAAAGCTTTTAAAGAGACTCTCTGTTGCATTCTCTGTTCCAAAACATTTTGTGAGGCTTATATTTCAAGTTAGTTCCGAGTAATGAGTACCCAAATCGAAAAACAATCAAACGGTCAAGAAATACTTTGATACATTACAAATAAAGAACACTCTTCAAGATTGTGTTGGAGCTATGTCCTGCTCAAGGAGATCTCGTTTAGTCTTGCACCTGAAATGGGGAAGAAGAAGAAGAAACAAATTACTTTTGAGTTTTGTTTACCTTGGCAAAAAGAGATTTCATCGTTTTAACTGAAACTAACCTATTGCATTCCGATCGAGAAGCGTAATTGTGATTCTTGCAATTCGTGCACATCCAGTCTCCATCACGCCATTGTTTTGCTCTACGTAGCCAGTTAAAAAAAAAACACAAAGAATTGAGAAGGTTCTTTAAGAAAATATGTCTCAAACCAAGTTATAGCGTTTAGGTAACAAGAAAACAATGGAGACCAGAGGTCAATAGCGTACCCATTTCCAAGTAAAGCAGGTGTCGTTTGTTGCTGTAGAAACGGGAGAGGAAGTTGCCAATTTGGGATACTGCCTGAGCTGATACCAGGAATCGATGCATATATCGCTGAATGTGGTTGCATACTCGGCTGCATAAAGAGTCAGAATAAGATTACGATGCAGCTAAATGTGCTAATCACAATATACGCTCAAACTTAATCCTTACATATCCTTGATTCAATCTCTTGGTATCCCATTCATGAGCCAAAACCTCTGATGCTAATCTCTTTGTTCCAAGGGCTGCAAACCAAGAAACTTTCCCAAAATTGAAAAACTGTCTTGAAGATTCCCAAAATGTGTTCAAGTTAGACAAAAGCCAATAATACCTAGAGGAGCTGTTTCGTTGCACTTTTTGCACTGCAAAACATACAAAAGAGGAACGAGTAAACAACAAATCTGAAATATACAAACCGGTTCCCTAAACCAACTTCCTCACCTGTATACGAGAGGAATAATTGTGAAAACCACATCTGCAGATCCAGTCACCGCTCCTCCATTGTTTAAGAGCCGAAGCTTGATTTGCAGTGTTGGAGAATGATAGTTGATCGACTGGCTCAGGTCCACGGTTGAAGAAACTGAGATGAGTCTGGAGAGAAGCTCCAGGGATCGCAAGTGTTGACAATGCTGCTACTTCTTTAGGTTGTCCGCATTTTTTACACTTTTCTCGTGATGCATAATTGTTGTTAGTGCAACCTAATGCCACACCACACCACACACACCCATACGCAAAACGCAGCACGAAGAAGAAGATACGCACGCACGCACCCCACACCACACCACACCAGCAGTTTCCATATACCACATAACACAGAATACACAAAAACAGCTCAACCTAGTTACTACAAGTAAAGGCCTAATCCAATGAATCATCAAACAAAACGGGCATTTGAGAAAGGTTAAGCATTTCAACTCAGAAATTTTGATTTCAGATTTGCTTCAAATTCACTAGACAGTTGAACTGAGGGAAAATGATAAAGTGAATAAAGAAGCTTGATTTTATCAAAACGGAGTTTTGTCAACGAGTATGGGCTATCAAAGAATTGAATTGAGATCGGTGAAGAAGAGCAAGAGAAAAGGACGAACCGGTGCAGATCCAATCTCCGATACGAGGAAGCCACTTAGAGTTTGTAGAGGTACTGATATCCATGAAAAGACGAGGCTGCTTGCATCTGTTGCAGAATGATCTAAACGCGTAATTCCTGTTACTGCATCCTAAACATTCCCAATCTCCTTCTCTTCCGTCTCCCATTTCTACTGAATTCTTCTTCTTCTGCTTCTGCTCCCGGAAACTCCAGACTCCGGCGACGAATCTCCGGGCTCCACTTTTCGTGCTGAGAGGAGGGAGAAGGAGAGTTGACGAAAGCAGGCAGAAATTTAAATGGGCTAACTTTACTGTAAAACTGATTTGGCCCATTAGGCCCATTTGTTTCTCTTTACATCGGAATCTTCTTTCTCTTTCGTCATCGTCGTTCTCCTTTCCGATTTCCAGGTGATAATCGTTACATACATTCTTCATCACTCATCAGTTTTGGGATTTTAAAGTTTCTCTAGATCGATTTGGGGGTTAGATCTCAGGTTTCTGTTGCTGAATTTCTCATTTCGTGGAACCACCTTATCTCGATCTGAGATTTGCAAAGGGAGATAAGACGACACAGAGACGAATAGCTCGGAATCAACAATTTTTCCTCTGATCCACCAGATTTTAAGCTTCAATGGCTCTCAATCTCCGCCAGAAACAGACTGGTAATTCTCTCTCTGTAATTCTATATCTGCGAATGATCTCAGTTTCCCATTTGCTAGATTGCGCTCGATCTAGTCTTATCACTGTATAATAGAAAGGCTGAGTTTTTGTGTTTAGGAATCTGTCAATTGAAGAGAAATTCTTATTTCTTGTGAATATCCATTAATGTTGGATCTTTGATCTCTGGATTGCAGAATGTATAATCCGGATGCTGAATCTGAACCAACCTTTGAATCCAAGTGGGAATGCAAACGAGGAAGTGTACAAGATCTTGATCTACGACAGATTCTGCCAAAAAATCCTATCTCCATTGATCCATGTCAAGGATCTTCGCAAGCATGGAGTCACACTCTACTTTCTCCTAGACAAGAAAGATCGATTGCCTGTTCATGATGTTCCCGCCGTGTACTTTGTTCAACCAACTCAATCCAACATCCAAAGGATCATCACAGATGCTTCAAACTCTCTCTACGACACCTTTCATCTGAATTTCTCGTCTTCCATCCCTCGCAAGCTTCTCGAAGACCTTGCTTCGGGGACTCTCAAGTCAAGCTCCGTTGAGAAAGTCTCAAAGGTGTATGATCAGTATCTGGAGTTTGTGACTTTAGAAGACAACTTGTTCTCTCTTGCTCAGCAATCTACATATGTTCAACTGAATGATCCATCAGCTGGGGATAAAGAGATTGAAGAGATAATCGAAAAAGTTGCTAGTAGCTTGTTCTGTGTCTTGGCAACGCTCGGTGTTGTCCCTGTTATCAGATGCCCTCGTGGTGGACCTGCAGAGATGGTGGCGTCGTTGCTGGATCAGAAGCTGAGGGATCATCTCTTGTCCAAGAACAATCTGTTTACTGAAGGAGGCGGTTTCATGAGCTCGTTTCAGCGTCCGCTCTTGTGCATTTTCGATAGGAACTTTGAGCTCTCTGTTGGGATTCAGCATGATTTCAGATACAGGCCTCTCGTCCACGACGTGCTCGGGTTAAAGCTGAACCGATTAGACGTGCAGGGAGAGAAAGGAAGTGGAATGAAGTCGTTTGAGCTTGACAGTTCTGATCCGTTCTGGTCAGCGAACAGTTCTCTGGAGTTCCCTGAAGTCGCTGTGGAGATCGAAACACAGTTGAACAAGTACAAGAGAGACGTCGAGGAGGTTAACAAGAGAACCGGTGGTGGGAGTGGAGCTGAGTTTGACGGAACGGATCTGATTGGGAACACGAAACATCTCATGAACGCTGTGAACTCTCTCCCGGAGCTAACCGAGAGGAAGCAAGTGATTGACAAACACACCAACATCGCAACCGCGCTCTTGGGACAGATCAAGGAGAGATCTATCGACGCTTTCACTAAGAAAGAAGGTGACATGATGATGAGAGGAGGGATCGATAGAGCCGAGCTTATGGCTGCTCTAAAAGGCAAAGGCACAGAGATGGACAAGCTCAGGTTTGCAATCATGTACTTGATCTCCACAGAAACCATAAACCAGTCAGAAGTCGAAGCCGTGGAAGCAGCGTTAAACGAAGCCGGTGCTGACACGAGCGCGTTTCAGTACGTGAAGAAGATCAAATCTTTGAATGTATCTCTTGCAGCTTCAGCGAGCTCAGCAAGCAGAAGCAACATTGTGGATTGGGCCGAGAAGCTTTACGGGCAGTCTATAAGCGCGGTTACAGCAGGAGTTAAGAACTTGTTATCTAGTGATCAACAATTGGCGGTGACTCGAACCGTTGAGGCTTTAACAGAAGGAAGACCGAACCCAGAGTTCGATTCTTATCTGTTTCTTGACCCGAGAGCTCCCAAGTCTAGCTCCGGCGGTGGTATTCACGTGAAGGGACCGTTTAGAGAAGCTATAGTGTTCATGATAGGTGGAGGTAACTATGTTGAGTATGGGAGTTTGCAAGAGCTGACTCAGAGACAGTTAACGGTTAAGAACGTTATTTATGGAGCCACTGAAATTCTTACCGGAGGTGAATTGGTGGAGCAGCTTGGGGTTTTGGGAAAGAAGATGGGTTTGGGAGGTCCGGTCGCTTCGTCGTCGGCATCGTCTGGTCACTGAGTTTCATGAGAAACCGTTTATAAAACAATCTCGTTATAAAATCTTTTTTTTTGCTTTTGATGTTTTTTTTTAATAACTACAACAATGAAATATTAAAGTTTTCTTTCTTAAATATAACGTTAAAATAGCAAAGATGAAATTTTTAATTTACTCAGAAAGTATAGATCTTTATAATTTAAAAATTTTAAATTTTGTATATGGGGATTTATTTATTTTATCAAAGAAAATAAAGTAGAGGAGACACGAAAAGCAAAGCAGGTCCCTTTCCCATTTCCTGTAAATTGTCTTCGTCTCTACCTTCCATCTCAATCCTCACCCGCTCTCTTCGGAAAACCCACGACGGAAGATTAAGTTTTGCCTCTAATTCCTTCCTGGAATCAATCAGCCGGAGAAAATCTCCAAGCTTATGATCTCGAACTGTGAGGATCCTTTTTTCCTTTTTTTTTCTGCATTAATAGTTTCAAAATCTCTAAGATTTTTCCGATCGATCTCGATATCTGTAGTATTGAGACGATTGATGTGGTCTATCGCCTGAAATGACAATAGCTCAGATAGTCAGATGATTGAAAATGATAATTTCAACAGTAAAGTTTCAGTTTTTCGTTTGCTTGAAATGTACCGATTGCCTCATATTGCTAATGATCGGTCTAGGAGTGAGTTAACACATCTTTTTACAGGAAAGCTTAAGTTAGATCTGTCCTTTAACTTGGGTTATATGTGCTCTTTTGGTTCTAAAGCTGTCTTATTTTTTGCTTTTCCCTGACTTATTGCAGTTTAAAGGGGCTGGGGATGGCTTGTAAAGAGGATACTAATGCTTCTGCACAAGAATTTTTAACCACTGAGATGATATGCAAGAGTGAATTGGAATCTCGTCGGCTGCAGGTAGATAGTTTAGAAGCTGAGCTTTTGGATGTTAAAGCTTACCTTGAGTTTGGCTCATCAGACGAAGACGCCAGAAAGGAGGTAGGTGCTCTTTCGGGAGTAAGAACAACTGCGACAATGTTGCGCTATTTGAGATCAAAAGCTAGAATCTTGGCCATTCCCTGCGATGTGGAACAAATGGAGCTGAAAGAAAGTGGTTCGTCTTCGGGTGTAGAGGATAGAGCCTATGCCAGTGAGATGCTAGAGTCGATAGAGATGGTTACTCGCGTGTTGGAGTCTCTCGTTAGGAGAGTTACAGAAGCAGAGTCTGAGACGGCTCTTCATAAGGAGATGGTACTTTTGGGAGAGGAAGAGATTTGTAGAAAGACGGTCCAAATCGAGCATTTGTCCGTGAGGTTAGAAGAGATGGAGAGGTTTACTCATGGGACTCACGGTGTTATGGAGGAGCTGCGGGAAAGGATTGACGAACTTGTTGAAGAGACGGCGAGACAAAAGGAAAGAGCTGAGGAAAATGACGAGGAGCTTCGTCGTGTGAAGCGAGAGTTCGAGCTGCTTAAAGCCCATGTCACCACTTTCACCAGTGTTAGAGACACACTTCTTTCTTCCGAGAGACAATTCAAAACCATCGAAAGCCTCTTTGAACGGTCAGTCTCATTTTCTTCACCACAAAGCCTAAATCTTCACACTCCATTTTTCCGATTTTGTTTTGGTGGTGAAAGCAGGTTGGTGATAAAGACGTCACAGTTAGAAGGAGAGAAGGCGCAGAAGGAGGCTGAAGTTCAGAATCTGATGGAGGAGAATGTGAAATTGACAGCTCTTCTTGACAAGAAGGAAGCTCAGCTTCTAGCTTTGAATGAACAATGCAAAGTCATGGCTTTAAGAGGATCAAACATCTGATTTCCTTCTTTCTGATCCAACGACCGCCATTGTTATCTCTTATTGTCATCTTTCTCGTCCTGAGACAATGTTTCACAGAAGAGATGATGCAATCTTCTTACTTTATTCTTGCTGTTTCTTCTTTCTCAGATGAACTTTCTTGTAACTCTATCTGTAGATTATCATTCATGGCTTTACGCATCAGCAAAAGAATAATAGTTAGACTGTTGCACAAAGGAAAAAGCTAAGCTTTGTATCCTCTCTTTGGTTTTCTTTCTCCAGACGGCGGGTAGTTCATATGTTTGTGAATCAAACGGCAAACAGTTTAGTTTTTGTTTGCCATTGTGGCAAAGAGGTTAAGAGGATAAGCCAATGTCTTATGACCACGTGTACCATTGTAAGTGAACCATGCAGGCCCAAATGCGTTATGTTAGAAGAGGCCCGTTTCAGATGTAAGCCCAAATTAGTTGTATTGGTCTCGGCGGCGAAACTTGGAGAAGCTTTGTATATCAAAGATGTTAGTCCCGGCTATCTATCACGGAGAGAAGAGGAGGCTCTGTTTCGCATAATCGGAAACAATCAGGCGGAGGAGTGAAGCTGAGGATCGGAAATTTTCTGGCGATGAAGTCGATTGTTCCTCTCCACCCGGATAACGTAAAGTATATCAGACATTGCCATTTTGTTTAAGGAACGTTATAGTTTGTAAAAGACCATTTTCGAAAGCAAAAAACTTGAAAATGTTTCGAATTTTGATGACATCATATGCTCATGGTTTTGAATTTTGATTGTAGAGTGAGAGAAGAAGAGTCAAAGATGTTGAAGTCTCTGTTCCAATTGTGTGTGGATCGATTGCTTTTTTCCGTGGAAAAATGGCTAAAGAGTGAGTTTTTTTTTCAATCACTTTGTTGTTCATCTTTCTTTGTAGATGTTTGATTTTACATATCCATGGATTAGATATCGAACACATAACTGGACCGTGTATGTACGTGGAGCTACAAACGAGGACCTTGGAGTGGTTATCAAGAAGGTCATTTTCAGGTTGCATCCGAGTTTCAAGAGCCCTAACAGAGTGGTTGATTCTCCTCCCTTTACATTGTCAGAGTGTGGATGGGGAGAGTTCAAAATTGACATCACCGTCTTCCTCCATACCGATGTCTGTGAAAAGAAGTTGGAGCTGTGAGTGTGTCTCTAGTGATTGTGAAATTTCTTCAGTAAGATGAAGTCAAAAGCTGAATCTTTTTTGAAACTTCTTGACAGGTCTCACATGTTAAAGCTGAATCCGGAAGTGTACAGTGGTCCTCAGTCTCCCAATGTACCTGTTGTAGCTGAGTCTTACAATGAGATTGTCTTCCCTGATCCGTTCGAGAGCTTCCTCGCTCGTGTGCTTAATCACCCGGCTGTTCACATCTCTAAGCTCCCTGAGGGATTCAACCGGCTTCCTCCAGGTGCATTCTTGATTCTGTTGTCTATGTGAAGCAATCGTTATTGGCTAGGCTGCATGATAGTTAATCACAGTGAAATGTTGCAGGAGCCGCTGATACTTATCATCTGATGAGAAAAGGAGACACTAAGGATCATTCTCTTAGCCCATGGTTTTTGAAGTTTTCAGAAATGGATGAGCTTTCTGAGCTTAAAGCTGCTCGTCAGAAGGTTTCTGCTGCTCACTTACCTTTCATTATCTATGTTTACTATTTCATTAGTTGTAATTAGCCTTGACTCGTTGAAAAGCCCACATTTTTCCTCTGCTCAAACTTACATAGAGTGTGCTCTCACATTGTTTGGGTCTATACTTGTTTGGCTTTGTGTTGATTTTCTAGGATATGGTTACTTTGATGTAGAAATGCGACTTTAATATGACTGTATTTAGTATTTACTATGTAACAGGTACAAGCTGACATCGCCGAGCTTGAAAGACTGTTGATCATGGAAGATGGGGAACCTGAAGAACTTTAGTCTTCCTCTGGCTATGAATGTTAACGACTTGAGAGACGTTTGCTCGGAGGTTTTGGTGTGGTACACTTAGTATATGTCAATGGGTTGCAAAAACCATTAGATATCTGGAAAAAAATTCTAACTGTTAGGACATGTAAAGAAGAGACCATTATGTGGTCATTATGGTTTGTATGTACTGACAAAGTACAAATGCATATGGTTTTGACTCATCTTGTTTGCGTCTCCCTCAAATCTTTTCTTATCATACAATGTTACAAGTTTCTCTCAGACTTTTAAGCATCACATGTTTGTGAATGTGCAAAACCACAACTTAACCAGAAACTTTTTGAACTGTGTGGAAAGCTGCAGGGTCTTAATGGTTTGTTTGGACACATGATGTTGTCTTGCATGCTTTCTTTGTACAGCAGAGGAGGCGGTGATGAATTCTTCCTCAAACATGGCTTCAAAACCGGTTTTTTTGCCTTCTCTTCGACATGGAAGTCATCTTCTTATCATCTATTGTCATTTTCATTCGATAGAAACATGTGGGGATGCGTTGATTTTAGGCATTTGCAGGTTTGTTTTTAGTTTTTTTAGTTTACAAATTCACTTCTCATGGGGAGGGACCTGTGACAATGACATTTATCAGGCTCTTGTTTAATTCTATTGAAATTTGAAAAAGAGATCACATGTGAGTTTGAAACCGAAAGAGAGAGACAAAGATGTCGAAATCATTGTTGTTCTATTGTGGCCATAGAACATGGGAAATTAACTTCCCCACTTTAGGTTATCCAACAAAGAAGAAAAATAAAAGATCAAATTGGTGGCTCAAAGTTGATGGAGAAGAATATATGTCTGCTTATGTATTATGACACTCTTTGCTTAGTTGGTGTTGCTGGTGGTGTTTTTAGGTTTTTGGATAGTACCCACATGGATGAGTCTTATGGTTTCAAGACAATGGGCCCTTCACACTATAGCCTTCTTCTTCTTCTTCTTCTTTCTCTTGGCTCTATACATTTTTTTATAACACCTTGTCTTCTTCATTTTTAATTGTTCATTTGTTAATATTTGGTGAGGTATGTAATGTACGTGTTGAACATCAAATGTCTATGACTTATTTTCCTTTTTTATTGGATGGTCATGGTCTATTGAGTTTGCTGTATTTTTAATTACTTAAATTCTTATAACCGTGTTTTGTTGTCGAAATTTAAACTATTTGTGTAGAACATGCTACTATCAAGTTGAAAGTGATCAGGATAATCTAGAAAATAGTGATCAGATATGTGTTGAACATTGTAAAATGTCACTGACTATAGTGACGCAATATCATTGGACTAAATTCATTTTGTATGCATTTGATATATTTTTTAAGAATTAGAAGATAAATAGTAGATGAAAAATGTGATTATATTGAGCGAGAAAAAACAAAACCAAACAAATTATCTTAATACAGAAGAAGGTGTTGGGGCTTTCGGTTGATGTCAAGGAAGAATGAATTGATAATGTCTCCGAGTTATAACCACAACAAGTGCCCCAATTATAGTCAGCCAAGTGTCATTGTTCCACCATCATCTCACTGTCCACTCTTTGATCCTACACCACTAATCTTCTTGACTTTTCTCTACTTGTTTATTCTTTTTTGGTTTGTTGTTTTGTATACTTCTCAAGATTTATTTATTTAATGTACTATTGTACTAGAAGTGATTTATATGATATCGCTATTTGATTCAGATAGGCTATAAAAAGTGAGAAATCTAGCTAGTAACTAAACCATCATGATCAAAAATTCTTTTTTTTTCGACCAAACCATCTTTTTGATCTACACCATTCAGTAATGTCCATTGTGTGATTCACATCAAAAAAGGAATAAAAGAAAAGGGCGAGAGAAGAACTTAATCTTGATAAAAAAAATGTTGAGGACGGTGAAAATGTACGTGAGCACAAAACATCGACTTCAAGTACTGATATATAGTAAAACAAAGATTAAGTTCAAACCTAAATTATTGTTCTAATTCTCACATGGGGATATAAATCCTTTATGCATTATATACGTATGTTCAAAACAAAGTAACTAAGGGGTTGTTTCACTTCTAGACCCAAAATTGTGGTCAAATGCAAAAGTAACCTCCTGCTTTTTTCGTTTTAAGTTTGTCCAGTTTTTTCCAATTAATTACGAAATGCCATTACTTTTTCGATTGGTAGACCGATATTTAGGTCTACCAGATCTGCTGAAAGACCAAACACCCCTCATCTTCTACACTTAATTGCCAAAATGCCATTTCATCAATGTTGACAACCACCATTTTTACCCAATTTGGAGCTGTTAATGCTCCGAAAACTCACTTTGGAGCTAGCATTTCTCCTTCTTTCATCTCACAAACTCTTATTCTTCCATTTTCTCTCCATTTTCATCCCAAAACTTAAAAGAAAACTCAAATCTTGGGTCTTGGTATTTCCAATTGTTTAGCTTATGGTGATGACCGGAACTCGTAATTGAAGCCTAAATTGAAGTTATCAGCCCTTGAAGAGCCTTTTCCAACGGCCAGTAACTTTTCTTTCAAAATTCTAAGAATTTCAGTTTTGGTCCGAAGGTAGACTGAAGTGTAGGTCTACCATTACATAGTAGACCTCAGTTTAGGTCTACTGGTCAACGCAGAGTTGACTGTGCCATTTCCTTTGCAAACAAAAAAAATGAGTGGTAGACCTACACTTAGGTCTACTCCACGTGGAGGGTTAGTTTTGCAATTGATTGAGAAAAATATTTTTTTTGAGGTCTACCTTGTCGGTCTACTCCACGTGGAGGGTTAGTTTTGCAATTGAAGAGGAAATTTTTTCGGAGGTCTACCTCTTAGGTCTACCTAAAAAAAAAAGTTGGTTTTGCCGTTGACTCAAGTTTGACTTTCCTCAAAAAGGAGAGATTTTGCGTCATTGAGGTCTACCGTGTAGGTCTACCATCCGGTAGACCGCAAGTGAGGTCTACTGGTCAACGCAAAAAACTGAGGTCTACCACGGAAGTCTACCCAAGGAAAGTCAAACTTGAGTCAACGCAAAACAAACTGTTTTCGGTAGGTAGACCTAAGGCGTAGACTAATTCAGAGGTCTACTTTTTTTGGTAGACCGATTGAGAGGTCTACGTTTTCTGGTAGACGTACACGGTAGACCTTGTGAAAAAGTCAATGTTTGGTCAATTGCAAAACTAACCCTCCACGTGTAGTAGACCGACAAGGTAGACCTCCAAAAAAACATTTTTCTCGATCAATTGCAAAACTAACCCTCCACGTGGAGTAGACCTAAGTGGAGGTCTACCGTGAACGTCTACTCCGAACGTCTACGTTTTAGGTCTATTATTATGTGTTTTTTAAATGTCGTTTTCCTTTCAATATATCAAATATTTTGAAATTTCTCGAACAATTAGTTGTTTTTATTTGTTTACTTGCTTCTGTGTGAGTTTGAAATGTTCTTTCGGCGTAATTAAGGCTATATTCGGTTTTCTTTTGAATTAGGTATCTAGCTTAATTTTCTGGTAGACCAAATTGTGGGTCTACCTGTTGGTCTACGCCTTCTGTCTACTGATCCATTTTGTGGTCTGGTTTGTTTTTGTTGCAGATAATGATTTGTCTAGCTTCTGTTTATGGATGATGATGAAAAACCGTTCTGTCTACTAATCTGTTATAATTTTTGTTTTTTTCTTTAAGGCTGGAAATTTGGTGATAATGAGATGTGTAGTATTCATGTGACCTTAGTAATTTGAACTTTGAATATAGATGCACTTCACCTTAGTAATTTGGAAAACCGTTCATGTGAATGTGGTGTATTCCTAGTTGAGAAAATCTCTTGTTCACATGTTTGCAAATATACACATATCGCAAAATCAAGAATCGGTCTACCTCGCAAAGATAGACATAAGAATCGGTCTACTTCGCAAAATAAAAGTCTACTATAGCACTAGTAGACTGATATCAAGGTCTACTAAAAATGTCTACGTCTTTTCTCTACCTGTAAGGTCTACCGTAAAAATCTACTTCGTTCTGTTTTGAGTTTTTTTATGTAAGTTTGTCTTGTATTGTATTAATTGGAGATCTATATTAGAGGTCTACACCTGAGGTATTATTTTCGAGTATTCATGAACTTGTTGAAATAACACACAATAACTAGAAGTGCAAATGCAAAGTCTTACAATCTAAAAAACTCAAATTCGAAAGCAACAAGTGTTTAAACTTAAAACGAAAAGTACTTAAACTAAGAAAAGGGCTTGGCTTTAGCAAAGCTTCCATCTGCAACGCAGAATAGAAACACAACTGTGGCAGCTTCTGTGTAATCTTGCATGCATATTGGTTTCCAATGAAGGGCTTGGTTTCCAATGAAGAGGTTGGCACAAACATCCAAGCTCTTCTTATCTTTAGACGCCTAACAAAATTTCAATCAGTAAAACAAAAAACGTTAGCAAGTTCTCCGAGAGGAAATGAAACAAGTCTCTCTACATAAGAGGAAAACCGCAAGAGTTCAAGATCTTGAGATTCATTATAAAACAAAAGAGAAAAATGCACCTTTTTCTCAACTTCTTCTTGAGCATACCTCTCTTTTGGAATATAAATTCCATTTTTCTGCAATTTGATAAACAATGCTTGCATTTCCACGTTCAACAGCAATGCTAGGAAGCTGCAGTATAAACCAAACACCTACATTAGTCCCACAAGCACAAGCCTTTCCAATAGACAGGACAAAAAGGAATGATGAATCAGAAACTACTTCAAACAATGCTTCCAAATGATTCAAGCTCGAAATATGGATATTTGTGATTAGAGCTAAGCTTAGGTCTTCACAATAAGCATGAATAAGAGACTACTTATTCAACATTAAAGCGAAAATGTTATTTACCAATCTAAAATTCTACTTTAGCTACTGTTTTATTATAGCCTATACAAGGAGGCTCACCTTTCTGCAGTTATAACAAGCTTGTTTACAACCTTTTTTTCCTGCATCATCAAATGAACACTATCCAATGAGGATTTGAAAATCAAAGAAAAAGGATTTCAAATAAAGAAAGAAGAAAAAGCTTACTTGTAGCTCCTCCAACGTTGCTGGAATTGCAGCAAACCTTTCCAGGTATACTGATTTTTGGCTTTTCTTCACAAATTCGTTCACAGTTACAACATCCTGAAACAACATGGCAAAGTATTTGTCAAACCCAAAGCTTGTTATGTAGATTGGGAGGAAAGATATCAACCAAAGCATTAATGTAAAAATCAAAAGAAATCAAAGAAACACAAAATAGCAAGCTTTTTGAATAAATCTAGAAGAAAAGACAGATATCAAAGCTCAATAAAGATCTATACCCATAAGACCAAAAAACTTAACTAGAATCCGAAATGTAACTCAATTTTTGCATTGAGCATTAGAAGAAGATCCAAAAACGTTTTTAGCTAATAAAGGCAAATTTTGGACTAGTAGACTTAGAATTTTTTAAGCTAGCATCGACAAACATCAATCACAGGAGCAATATTTTTTACGATAGCTAAAAAAAAAAGGAAGGTGAAACAGGAGAGTAAGGTCTTACAGTTCTGATCATTGTCGATCTCGTCACTAATCCGACAAGATAAAAAACAAATCACCATAAACCATAGATGCAGAAAAACACAGAAAAAGAAGATAATTTATCATAATGACATATTGGAGAGAGAGAGAGAGAGAGAGAGAGAGAGAGAGAGAGAGAGAGAGAGAGAGATTGAGAATCATCACCTCTTAGAGCCTGAATTTTGGGAGGAATGAAGAACTCATGCCGACTTCTTGGTCTTCAGACCTGGAGCTCGATAAGACAAATCAGACTGAAACAGAGACAGATGCAGACAGATTAGAAGAACATTAGAGAGATAGAGCTGCACATACTATGAGCGATTCATACAGGATCTGAGCAAAGCAACTGTTATTTCAAACACTGAATCTGAGAGATTAACCTCGCAGCGTGAGAGATCCAAGGTGGGAGGGAAGATGCGAGGAATAGTGAGCAGCAGAGAGAGATAAAAGAGAAGACGAGATGGCGGAGAGGCAAGTGCAAAAGAGAAGCGATACTTTAGATCTAGAGGATTTCAGAGTAGGTCTGAGAAAACAGAATCTCCATCTATCACAGAAAAGCTTCAGATCTGATTTGGTATCAGATAAGGAGGAAGAAGAAGAAGAAGAAGAAGATGGCGAGGGCGGCGGGAGAGAGAGAGAGCGCGGCGAGAGAGAAAAAGAGAGAGCCGAGATATTTTTCAGTTTTTTTAACAAAATTAGGGTTTTTTTACTTTTATACAAGGGATAAATTTTCCGGTTTAAGTAGAAAATTCCGGTTTAATTAAATTTATGTTGAGGTCTACCAATTCGGTCTACTTGAATTGTAAATTTCGGGATTCCCGCTAGGTTAAAACGGTTGGTAGACCTCCACTTCGGTCTACTCGATCCGTCTACTTGTTAGGTCTACTTTACCCTAAACCCTAAATCGAATAATTTAGATACAATTTTGCAACGATTTGCTTGCCATATTGTCAATTTACAGTGTATATCACAAATAAACAAACATTGAATCGTAAAACCAACCAAAAACAATTCTTCATCTAAATTTTTTCAAAACCCTACAACTTCCCATTAACCCTAAACAATCTACTCAAACTCTTATCCTTATGAACTATTTACATATGATATTTATAGATTCATGATTTTTATGAAATTTATTTTTAATATATGTTAAATGTCTATTATTTCGTTATTTGTGAAACAAATATTTCAAATTATTTTTTAAATTTTCTTAATTTAAATTTAAGATTTGATTATTTAGTAGACTTACTTGGTAGACCTCTCATGGTTTTATAGGCTTTTAACCTAATTTTTTTTTTCATAGTTCAGTTGGTTCAAATCTATGAAATTATATTTTAGATAGATGCAAGTTGTCTGTATTGTAATTATGTATAAATAATTTTCATCAAAATATTTTTTTTCAATTTTTATAATAAAAATTAAATTTAATGATATAGTAGACTTACTCGGTAGACCTCACACATTTTTATATAAATATATGTCTTTGCTTATCTATAAATCATTCATTTGTATGCATTCATATTTTTTGTATATGATAATGTCTATATTAGAATTATTCATACTTGTGTTTGTATAAAAATATTTTTTATTTAATTGTTAATTAAAATTTAAGATGTTATTACGAGGTAGACCTCTAACATTGTCTACCAGGTAGATCTACGGGTAGATCTACATGCTCCGGAGGTTATAATCGTAATCGAGGCATGCGTTTTTTTGTTTGGTCATGAGGGCTTGTGGGGTAATTTTACTACCCAAAGAGGTTAGTTTTGCATTTGATTCAAATTGTGGTCTAGTTGACTAGAAAAAATCAAATTGTGGTCTAGAATTGGTAATTTCCCCAATAACTAATTCTCACGTCTAATCAGTAATCATAGCTATTCATAACTTTTTCAAATAATTAGTGCCTAAATATTCCTTTATTTCATATAAACCCAAAAATTACCTACACAAATCCATTGATTTTTATATAAAGAAAAAAAAAATCAGTTTTGGTTTTTAGATGATTTTTCCTTTTAAAGTCAAACAGTTGTGCTACAGAAGTATCTTCAAATATGTCGAGAACAGACATCAAATTTACTGAAATATACTTTTGGACATTTCGAAAATTTTAAAATAGTAACTTCACAGATTATTGTTGTCTTAGATCTAGAGAACATTGTTAAGAAAAAAAACATGCTCCTCTTTATCTTTTATTGAGGGAAATGGGCGTTTGTGTATGTTTCTACAATGTCCGGTTGTAGCAAAATAACTTCAAAAATTTGCTGCAAAAATACACGTGTATACGTATGCAAAAGAAAGGCAAAGGTTGTGCGTTTTCTTTTGTGTCGTCACAAGTACGTACTTTCGTTACAACTTAATTACAAAACTCTTATAGTTCGTCCGTAGTTATGTACATACATACATATACATACAGATATATAAACAGTTCTTGGCCTCATCTATATGATGAATAAGATATTAGAGGTAAGAGAAAGAAAATGGACATTTGTTTGTAAAATTGTGTCCAAGTATGTAAAGGCAGAAGGGAGACACTGTAGGGCAATGTTATAGTCCCTACCCGATTTTTATTGTATACATTCTTTCACAATTTTAATTATATCTCTCTCGTCCTTGTTGGCTCTGTCCTCGATGTTTATTTGCCCTTGCCTCCTACATCCCACATGAATTTGCTTTCACAAGAACAGAGAATCTAGTAGGTGTCCTAATTTGAATCCAAACAGGAAATTTGGCTTTATATGATCCCAAGAAATAGGGTTATATGATAGGAGAACCGAGGATTTACGTTTACGGGATAGATTTGAGTTGGAAAATAAATAAACCGTTTATAATCCGACATCATCTCAAATGAACTTGTAATTGTAATTCGACATCGAAAAATCAGATCTTTTAATATTTTCAAAGCTCTGTATGACTGTATCCGTCATGTTAGTTGGAAGGTTTAGTTAAACTTGAACTATAATCCGTTTATATGCTTTGCAACGTCACATGACATCATTGAGATACCATCACTAATTTAATGTATAAACGTTTTACCAAAAGTATACGTGTTTACGTGTGTTTTCAATGGTTTTTTTTATCCCAATTCACATCACTGCATGTGTGTTTTTATTATAAATAGAGTAAATTAACAAGATTGGAAAAGTATACTCTATTGTAATACATATCCATATCTACTAAATGATTTTTGTTTTTGACTAAACAATATATAAATGTAAATGTTTCAACATACATTTAATAATACATATAATATAGTCACTATTTGGTCAACGTCATTAACCAAATTATAAAAGCATAGTAGTTCTGTATCTATTATTATTTTCTCCATTAAATTTATTAGCTTTCCAATCCGTCCATATAAATACGTATCCTTGTACCTATAACCTCCATAACATTTCCACAAACAAAAACCAACGTTTCAGAACAAAAAAAGTTTTAAGATAAAATAATGGCGATAAAGAAGTCGACTCAAGCCGCATCTATCAAGCAAATCTTAAAGAGATGCTCGAGTCTAGGGAAGAAGAAGAACGTGAATGGTTGCTACTATACTCAACAAGACGTGCCAAAAGGTCATTTTCCGGTTTATGTCGGACCGAACCGAAGTCGGTACATCGTTTCCATCTCATGGCTCGAGCACTCCGAGTTTCAAACGTTGCTCCGACTAGCCGAGGAAGAGTTTGGGTTCGACCATGACATGGGTCTCACTTTACCTTGTGATGAAGATTTCTTCAGGTCTCTTATCTCTATGTTCAGATAAAACTTGATCTGAGAGATGAGATCATTATTCTTTGAGATGGATTAGAAGAAGAAATCTCTTTATTAGAAAGAAAGTTTGAAGTGTCTCTACATCAGTAAACCCAAAAACATCCCTTTTTTAGGGTTTTCTGATTATGACGAAGGAAACTGGCTAGGAAGCTTCGTGTTAGGCATCAACCCGTTTGGGTTTTTTTTTTCTTTCTTGATTACAAAATTTGTAAGTTTTTTTCAATACTTTTGTAATAGTTTGGGTTGGGAACATGGGTGGGCGATTTTTTCCCTCAAGTCAACGTGAAATGTTAACCGGTGATCTTGAGAGGAATAGCTACTTAATTTCTACAAATTAATTTGTTATGATCAATCAAGAAATTTTACATATCTGTGTTTTTTTCGGTATTGACTTACAAAATAGTACGCGTGAGTTTACAAAATGCTCCAACGATTCAAGTTTTAACCCTTGTTACTAATTTGATTCTGAGTAAACAGATTTCTATATTCTAATTAAAAATTAGTAAAATTAATACAAAGTTTTTTTACCTTTATGCTCACTAAACAAAGTTAATCTCTTAACTTCCTACAGTTTTGAAATTAGACTTGACTTTTATTCTAACTAAAAAAGTTACAATAAAACATTTTTTGCTATATTTGGTAATTTACTTGTCGGAGTGTAAATTACCGTATTTGTCTCCATTCCTTTTACTTCTAAGTTAGTCTAAACTTGTAGCAAGTGATATTTCAAAAGATTTGTTGATGTCTATCAAATAACTGAGTCAGAGTTTATTGATGGATCAATATGGTCCTACCAGATCCAGTCCCTCCATTTATTTGTATCTATGCAAATTTATGGTGGTTACCTACACAACAACAACAAAAATGAAAAGAAACTTCCGCAGTATGTATATAGATGAATTAATTTGATGTCCCATTATGTTTTTCTTAAGAAGAAAACATGTATTTGACGTTTTGGTGTCAAGCGAGTTGGTTTTTTCTTCTATGGATCATGCATCCCCAACACCTAATTAATTAAGTGCTTTGAAAGAATTTGATGTTCAACCTCAAACTTTGACAACATGGCACATTGTACATAGGCAGAATACTAAACTATGATGTCCTATCAAAGTAAACTGGTTACACATATGCAAAACATATAATTAACTCGCATTAATGTCTCTTATTCATATCTAACAATGTTTGTGTAGCTCATGCTAGTACCCCTCATTCATATCTAAAAATGTTTTTATATATATATGACCATACTCCAGACACTACTGCTTGTTTGACTATTAATTCTGTGTGTTAATTGTGACTCTTGGTTTGTTAGAAAAGTTAAAATGAGATTGGTTACAGTTTAGGTCGTAAAAGGTGTAACAATCGTTATAGCATAAACATGTAATTATATTTTATGAATAAAAGTCACACTTTACTTTATGTTTCTTTTTGCTGTTATCTTTTAGAAAATTGTTCAGATTTGATTCAACGAATGCACGTTACTATCAGATTATCTGGGTTTTATACGTTGCCATACCATATTCACGTGAGAACAAAATAAAACACAAACAAAAATATACAGAAAACACAGAAAAATGAGCTTCAAATTTTTTATATTTCAAAATGTATTGTCTGCTCAAAAGCTAGCTTGCCCATACTTCCAATTGGTTTTGAGTTTATACCTTGTCTGCTTGACATTCGTAATATATTATGTGTTCTCCAAAACAATTGTTTATTGTTATTTTGGGGTTTCTTGCATTAAAATATCATATTGTTGACATCATATGTTCTAGGGAGCATTTCAATGTCATCGACAAATTAGTACATTATCCTTTTATTTACCCTTTTTATATAAGTATTTCATTTAGATTGAGCTTGAATATATAATTTATCTAAAAACTGAATATATAATTAATCTATAACTGATTCAATTAGAAATTCAACATAGACTATTGTTAAATGGGATTGAAATATACATGTTCAATTGATTTTTCTTGATTTGGGCTTTTCCTTCGTTTTAGATATATACTGTGGGCTTCATTTCTCAAATCACATAATCGAAATAGAGATCTATTGAAGCCCATTAGGGTTTCTACAAGATCAGATAGCACAATAAAAGGTGAAATTTCACACTCTCTCGAGTTCCACCGCAAACCCTAAATCTAATCTTCGCCGTCGAGAGCATCCATGGGTCGTGTCATCAGAGCTCAACGTAAGGGAGCGGGTTCCGTCTTCAAGTCCCACACCCACCACCGCAAGGGTCCGGCTAAGTTCCGCAGCCTCGATTACGGCGAGCGAAATGGATACCTCAAGGGAGTCGTGACGGAGATCATCCACGACCCCGGACGTGGTGCGCCGCTTGCTCGCGTCACTTTCCGTCATCCTTTCCGTTACAAGAAGCAGAAGGAGCTCTTCGTCGCCGCCGAAGGCATGTACACCGGCCAGTTCCTCTACTGTGGTAAGAAGGCTACTCTCGTCGTCGGAAATGTCCTCCCGCTCAGATCTATCCCAGAGGGAGCCGTCGTCTGCAACGTCGAGCACCACGTCGGTGATCGTGGTACACTCGCTAGAGCTTCCGGCGATTACGCAATCGTCATCGCTCACAACCCTGACAGCGACACTACTAGGTTTGTTTCTCCGATCTAACTCATCATTTACAATTTTATCACAATTGAACAATGAATCATTAGAGGTTTATAATACCATTTCCAGATCTGTTTGATTATTTGGTGTAGATTATGATAAGCTTAATGGATCATTCGTCAATTAGAAATGCTTATTCAGATTGATTCCAGTGGATTCGTTAGATTCATGTGATTGATAATACCTTTGAACAGAGTCATTTAGTGAAGAACAAAGTCTCATTTCTGAATTGCTTGTGAATGTGTTTGGATAGGATCAAGTTGCCATCTGGATCGAAGAAGATTGTGCCGAGTGGATGCAGAGCCATGATTGGTCAAGTTGCTGGAGGAGGAAGAACAGAGAAGCCGATGCTCAAGGCAGGAAACGCGTACCACAAGTACCGTGTGAAGAGGAACTCATGGCCTAAGGTTCGTGGTGTGGCTATGAATCCAGTGGAGCATCCTCACGGAGGAGGTAACCACCAGCACATTGGTCACGCTAGTACCGTTAGGCGTGACGCACCACCGGGACAGAAGGTTGGTCTCATCGCTGCGAGGAGGACTGGTCGTCTCAGAGGTCAAGCCGCTGCTTCTGCAGCCAAGGCTGACTAGGTTTTACAATTATTATCGTCTCGGTTCGTTTGTGTTTTGCTGTTTGTTTCGTTTTCGGACCTTGTTCTCAAAACCCCTAAAGATTTTGTTATAATCTTTGTCTACTCTTTTTCATCAAAGTTGAATGTTTTTGTTTCTAATCGTTTCAAACTTTGGCAGTCGTAATGATATTAAATTTGGCATTGGTTACAAACTTTCAAGACTTGAATTGCTCCAATTTATTATTTTTTTGATAAAATTTGCTTCGTTTTAGTGTAAACCGGACAACCTAAACGAACCAAATCAAACCGGAAATGAGAAAAGTCGTAAACTTATATCCGAATCATAACCTTCTGAATGACATAGAGGGACTTAAAGTCTTGCTTGCGCGTGGCTAATGAGTTTTAATGGAGGTTGTGTGAGCATGGAGTGACTTTTGGGCGACTCAACAAAGGTTCATGTGGAGAGATTGGGTCCCTGGCTCGGTTCGGGGCGGCTAAGTCTCACAGAGAGAGAGATAGAGAGAGAGCGACACGAAATCTGTAATGGCTTTATCGGAGAAGAGGAATCGTTTCTTCATTTCTTATGCGAATCTCGTCTTCCTCTTCTTCTTCTTCATCTCTCTGCTCGATAACGCTGTATGCATCAGGATATCGAATCAGATCCCGGATGCTGTCGTTGATTCGCCGGATCGTCCTTTGAAATCTGCGGTTTTCGCTCTCGGGAGCTTCTGGCGATCGGAGGCGGCTTTCGGTTGTATCAGTGGCGTCGTACGAACAACATCCGGTTACGCCGGCGGGAATAAGGCGAATCCGGAGTATCGAAACTTGGGTGATCACGCCGAATCTGTACAGGTTCGTTTAGCTTTTTCGATTTCACCGGGAAAAATCCGAGCTAATTTTACATTTCTGTATATTGATTTACTTCGTTATTCCAATGCCACTTGCTTTGAATTGAGCTTAATCCTTATCCTGTTGCATCTTCTAAAGTCATTTCCTTTTTCGATATCGTTTGCTCTGCTGGTTATATTGGATCGACGAATTTGTGTAGAATCTGTAGATGATGAGATTTTGCTCTAAGAACATATCCAAATTATGCAGCTAATCTCAGCTGCTATTGCTGAGTTTTGGCAATGTGTGATCTTTATGTATATGTAACATATGCTCTAGTGAACTAGCATAATCACTGTGTCAACATCCGTTTCATGAGCTGGTTTTTGATTGGTTTGTGTTGCTCTGTGTGGCTGATTCAGGTCGAATATGATCCAAGGATAATTGGTTATCGTCAGCTCTTGGATTTATTCTGGTCTAGCCATGATCCCAGACAAGTGTTTGGACAAGGTCCTGATGTCGGTAATCAATACAGGTAAAAGAAGAATTACATATAGCTGTTTGGTGAAATCTTGGGTTTATCTAAGCACAAAAACTAACAAAAACAAAACATTCGAAATCTTTTTCCCCAACAGATCCTGTATTTTCACTAATTCTACAGAAGAGCTGAGACTGGCTACTACAAGCAAAGAGAGAGAGCAGCTTAAGTCAAGAAACAGCATCGTAACTACTCAAATTCAACAGCTTGGAACCTTTTATCGCGCAGAGCCTGATCATCAGGTTTGTTCAACTTCATAGCAACTCGTTAGGTGTAGTTTCCTTTTAAGTGAAAACTCATGATTCTCTTTGACATTTGAATTTGCAGAAGTTCGAGCTGAAACAGCATCCACTCCTTCTACAGCTAATAGGAAACATACCAGAAGAAGAGCTGGAGAGATCGGCTGTAGCCACAAAGCTAAACGGTTATGCAGCCGAGCTATGCCCGCCTAGAGTCCAGAAAAAAATCGACTCTAGAGTAAACGAGATCATTAGAAAAGGTTGGCCTGTCTTGAGAGACATCTAATTAATATACATATATAAAAGCCATGAGAGATTCGTCGCCTGATTCTTGTGATAAGATCTCAAATGTAAGTTTTGGATTCATTCTTTTGAAAGCCAGAGGACTATCCGTTGGTTGTATTGTATCACAGCAATGTTTATGTATTGCTCTTGCCTCTTGAGTGGTGAGTGCTCATTGTTTTGTCTTGAGTTCTCTTACATAGAATAATTAAGTTTGTTTTGTTTTGTATCCTTGTGAACAAGAGATTATTTAGACTTCATTGTATCATTTATATGGTATAGTTCACTTTTGGTTGATTAATCATTTTACTAATTAGACATTATACAAAGCTTCTAATTTGACTCTTACAAATTCTCGTAAACAACTGTATATAGTTCAACTTTTGATAGCCAATAGCCCAATACACATATACCTACCATCACATGGAATCAAAAACAAAATGGTGTCAAAATGATACTACTGAAATGTTACAAATAAAATCACAAAAACAGTATAATTTTTTTAAATATACAAAAAAACTTAGGAGAAAAATTTACAGCTAAGAAACTGGATGGTAGCAATATGCTATTTTTTCTGTTTTTGTGATATAAAAAAGCGTCTCGTGTCACACCGTAACAGAAGCAAAACGTTAACAATTAGGGTAAAAGAAAGGAGAGCCGCACGAACTTATCTTTTGTGTGTCAGATAAAATCTCTCAGTCCCCAAAATCGTCGAAGATAGATTCATCAGATCGAAAACGAAAGAAGGATTCGGTCTCTTCGATAGATCGAACATCGGAGAAATCCAAGCAGAAGAAGGACGATCACCACAACAAGCACCGGAAGAAGAGCAAGATGGCGTCGAGGGACCAAGTGAAGGCGTCGCACATTCTGATTAAGCACCAAGGATCTCGGAGGAAGGCGTCGTGGAAAGATCCAGAAGGGAAGATCATCATGACCACTACCAGAGAAGCAGCCGTAGAGCAGCTCAAATCGATCCGTGAAGACATCGTCTCTGGCAAAGCTAATTTCGAGGATGTGGCCACTCGTGTTTCCGATTGTAGCTCTGCCAAACGCGGCGGCGATCTCGGTTTGTTCTCATCCCAATCCTCTGGTTCATCGATTTTAATCGCCCTGCAATTTCAAGTGTGTAGTGAATTTAGGAAATTGAATCGAGTTAGAGGAAGATCAACGAGTTTTTAGGTCTTAGATGATTGCACATCAGATATCAAAATAAGATGATGAAAGGAAAAGAGAATCATTTCAATGCTTCATTGGATCCAATGCCTTAGTCTGCTTAAACCATCACTAGTGTTTATATAGTCCAAAGTTTCTTCCTTGATGAGTCTATGATAGTATGATGCTGATAAATCGTTACTAATCTCTGCTTATATCATCACCGATGCTAAGAATCTAAAAGGTTGTTCCTTAATGAATGAATCTCATAAACATTACTAATTTGTCTACTTGGATCATCACCAATGTTTAGAATCTTACTAATGTCTGTTTAGGATTTGTATCTGCTAGAGATCTCAGCGTCTTGGGTATGGTATCTTCAGATTCTAATTCTGAGTATTGAGTATCTTGTGGTTTCGTAATCTGATTGGATACATATTTGCTTTGGTTGAATTGTTTATGTATTGTTAACATTAGACGGCGATAATGTTGATTCCATTAGGTTTTCTTGTTTATTTGTTATTAAAAGTGTTTGATGCTGATTGCACAATATACCGTTTCAGGTCCCTTTGGTAGAGGTCAAATGCAGAAACCATTTGAGGAAGCAACTTACGCACTCAAGGTTGGAGATATTAGCGACATTGTTGATACAGACAGTGGAGTCCATATCATAAAGAGAACAGCTTGAATCTGATGATCCTCCTTCTCTTCAAGACCAATAAAAACATACAAGATGAAGAAGAAGGAAGACTTTGCAACATTGTATCTCAATTTTTTCTTATAGCTTTCATAAAACATTCCTGTTGCAACAATGACTTGTAATATCATCTTTCAGTTTTTGTGTCATGTTCTTTATCGCAACATTCGTCTGCCTTCTACTTTGTGTTTTATTTATTTATTTGAAAACTCCTTCGAGTCTCTGTGGTTCTCTTTTCCTCTCTTCGTGATCCAATCTTTAAACTAGTTAAGTAAGTTTTGCGTGGGATGATGATGTTATATCTAGATTCTAGTTTGAGTTTTTGTACTGTAGAAACTAGCCAAAACCAAAATTGGTAAAACCAATCAAAAGAAGAGCCTTCAAATTGAAGCTTTGTACACAGCAGAAAACACACACACTAACACAAATGGCTAATCACACAAATAACAAATGCTATTGTATACAAAGATCGCCAGCACATCGAATCCGGAAGTTCCCTGTCCATAACTCTAACACGTGTACGCTCAGGATTCATCACTGACCACGTAAGAGATCCTTCGTACTACACTATAGCAAATCAAACGAAGACACGTGTACATTTACCGGTGCTATATATAAAACGGTTAAAAGCTAGCGCCAAAAAAATGTAACAGATAGACACAAACAAAAAAACATTTTCTTCTCTTTCCACACTCACACTGCTTAGCTAAGTTTTTTTTCTTCTTAATTTCCCTCTCTAATGGCTAAAGCGAAAATCGAATCTCCGAAGACTCGTGCAGCGTCAGAAGACAAATCTAAGAAGCCCCGAAAGTCGAAAACCGCCTCTCATCCTCCATACTTTCTGGTGAATTTTTCTTTTCAACTTAAATTCTGTTGAGAGAGAAAGAGAGAGAGAGAGATTTTTGGTTACTTTAATGTTTTTGTTGTTGTTGTTTTGGGATTTGATGATGAAGATGATAAAGGAGGCTTTGATGACACTGAAAGAGAAGAACGGATCAAGCCCTTACGCGATAGCAAAGAAGATCGAAAACAAACACAAGTCCACACTTCCAGAGAATTTCCGTAAAACACTTTCTCTACAGCTGAAAAACTCTGTCGCTAAAGGTAAGCTCACAAAGATCAGAGCTTCCTACAAGCTCTCAGAGACCACCACGACGACAAGGACAACGAGGCAGCAGCTGGAGAAGAAGAAGAAGCCGACTCGGTCTTCGAAGAACACTATGCCTCTTAACAAACCAGAAGTGGCAACAAAGAAGAAGAGGAAAACCAAGAAGCCAAGACAACCCAAGTCGATCAAATCTTCAGGTTCGAAGAAGGTTTTGAGAGCTTCCGCTACTTGATCACCTCGCAAGAACAAAGAAGATGTGTGGATATGAAGAATAAGGTTTTGTTGCTCTTTGTAAAAATGGACGACTCTGTTTTTGTGTTTGGTGTGTTTCCTTCTTTAGAGTTTAAAGATAAAGTCTCTTCGAATGTATAAGTATAACAACTACGTTTTGTATAATATATGCAATAATTATGGTTGGGTTATATATTGGTGTTCTTATTAGAGATTTGACCAAGTAGGATCCAAACATCTCAGACATAATCTTAAAAATCACTGGAATTTTTCTTTGTCTTGTCAAGAAGAAGAGATTCCCAAAGAAAAAGAAGAAAGCCGAAAGACTAAGGCCCATTATAATGTTAGCCCAATTAATAAGCCCATTAAGTAAGCTGCGTATTTTCGCGGAAGCAACGTTTTTATTTATTTTAAAAATCATTTAGGGAGAGATAATTACGAAGCTTAGCTGGAAGAAAGTGACGCCTGTGCTGTTCAAAAATCTTTTTCTTTCTCTTCAGTCTTCCCCCAAAATAATATTCTCTCCGAATCTCAGCAGCCGAAAAATGCAGGTGATGATGATGATTCCTTTACTTTGATTTTACACTTTAAGCGAAAATTTTCAATTCTCTGTTACTGATTTCTTGAGCTGAAACTGATGCTTCGAATTTTTTTGAATTGGATTGTAGACGAGAACTGTTCAAGTGAGGAATGTTTCAGATCTAGCGACGGAGAGGGAGATTCACGAGTTTTTCTCCTTTTCAGGCGACATAGAGTACATTGAGCTTTTTAAGTAACTTCTCTTTCTGGAAATTTTTAACTTTAAGCTTTGTTTTTCTTATACTAGACAAGTAGACCTAATTTCAAGCGTTTGGGATTTTTGGTTTGCGCAGAGAAGCTGAACATTTAAGAATCGCATTTGTTACGTTTACTGATCCAAAAGCCCTTGAAATCGCTCTCTTATTATCGGTACCTAATTTGCTATTTCACACTTCTGTAAGCTTTGTAACTTCTGTATTTGGAAGAAATTGGTCTCACTAAGTTTCTACACAACTCTAAAAGCTCTAACATCTCTGTAAAGTTTTCGAAATGCTAACCAAAATCTTCATTTTTTCCAAGCAGGGTGCCACAATTGTAGATCAGATTGTTACTATAACTCCGGCTGAAAACTATGTTCCTAAGCGTGATACACAGGTTTGTGTGTTATTCAGAATCAACTTTATTTCTTTTCTTCATCAAGTTTGTGCTTTGAATGATTTCTTAAAGTTCATGTTCTTGCAGGAAGTAAGAATGGTAAATAACAACAACGCAATGCCTCCATTACGCTAGGTAAATCTTGTGCTTTACCATTTGATAAGGAAGAACAAATCTTGAATTCGATTTGTATATTTAGCAGGAAGTGAAGAAAAACGAAATTGTGTATATGAATTCGTGAACACAGGTGATGTGCGTTTGCAGAATTCTGATGGGAATGGTAGAGGAGGAGCATATGTTAACAAAGCGCAAGATGTGGTGGGTACGGTTTTGGCGAAAGGATCTGCTTTAGGACAAGATGCAGTGAATAAAGCCAGACGAGTTGCACCAATTCAGAGCCAATGCGTCAGCTAAAGTTTCGTCTTTTGATAAGAGAGTTGGGCTTATGGAGAAGTTCAATGTAGGTATCTCTGCGAGAAAGTTAAATCCGTTGATCAGAAGCTTCAGGTTTCAGATGAAACCATGGCAGCAATATTTGCAGCCAAGAAGAAGTTAAACGACACTGGTTCAGCTGTCAAATCAAGCAGGTTATTGAAAATTTCTTCTCTTTCTTTGATCAAACTATTATGTTTCAAGTGTTCTGCTTTGTACATTTAATGAACTGGTGATTGTCATCAGTCTCATCACTACTATGTTTTGTTTCTGCGAGAATTTGTAGCTGATATGTTCTTTGTTTTGGAGTCTGGCTTCCAAGTAGGTACGTGACTGCTGGAGCTGCTTGGTTTAGTGGCGCTGTCAGCAAAGTGGCGAGAGTAGGTCAGATTGCTGGCTCAAAAACCAAAGAAAAGTTCAATCTAGCCGTCTCAGATATTACTTCCAAGGTTACTCATCAAAACCAATCCATTTCATGGTTTTGTAGGCGGCAAAAAGTCTGTTAGGTTGCGAAATCAAGGACACACACACTGACTTAGTACTTAGTACTAGAACTAGTTGTATTTTGAGTTATATTGACTCTTACAGTATACATTTGAGGCATAACAGGAGAAATAAACTGATTTATAAGTGGCTTCTGCAGGATACACCGATTGCTGTATAATAATAACAAAAGGGTTTGGAATCGAGTAAGAGTCTGAAGTCAGGATCAGTGAGAGCTGCTCTAAGCTGTGCTGGCATTGTGTGAAACCAATTTTGTGTGATATTACAATAGCATATTCCCATTCTTTAAGTGTTCATCTTATTCTTCTTTAAAGTGTCCCCCCCCCCCCCCCCCCAATTTCACTTCATTTGCTTCGTGTTTTGCATCAGTGTAAGTGTTTTTTTAATTAGCTTTCAGTCTGTGTTTGTATCGTCTTCCATTAAAGGACATTAGAATTTGCTTTGAAGGTGGACTGCTTCCACTTGATTAAACATTGGAACCTTCTACTTAGCTTGGAGTCTTTACCTTTTCATGCATTTAAGCCGAGACCTTCTCTTAATACCTTTGGCTCTTCGAACTAGAACACATTCACCTTAATTAGTCTGTACAAAACAGAAAACAAAAAAAACGCGGAACGTCTCCATTGGCAATTTACATTTTCCTTGAAGATTTTCAAGATCCACCGTTTTCCTCAAGAAAAATGGTTCCATGTTAGAAAAATTGCATTAGAATTGAGAACCAATATCTACCATTTATCCAAAAAAAAAAAAAACAAAATTCCAAGTGAATAAAGAACAAAAATGATCTATCCGAAATATAATATACTTGCTCTCAAAGTCTCATTAAACTGTTGTGGACGACAAAGCATGCCCAACGGACCTCCGTTGTGCACACCGCACGCTCGACATCTCCTGGCCCCACTTCTTTCTTTTTATTTCATTGCTTATCCTCATTATTATGTACTAGTTAATTACCCCTTTAATCATATCTATAAACTATAAATTAAACACCAAGGGTTCTTCACAATCCATACGTACATTCGCAAGGCAGCAATAGCTCTAACTCGGGTACTAAAACTCGTATATAGATCATATGCGACGTAATTTATATCTATATCTTCACTCATGATCACAACCTAAACCATTCTGTTCATAAAAATGTATATTGAGTTGGCTTATACTGTTGATATTTGCATATGTGAAGTTTATAAGGCCACGTACCAACAAATCTTACATGGCATCAATATAGTTTCATTTATTAAAAACGCAAATCCCAATATCGTAATCCGAGTTTGTACTCAAGAACTCACTGATGAACATGTTCTCTTCTTCTCTCTCGTTCAACAACAACATCGACGAATCCATATCCATATCTTCATGATCGATATGATGATCAATGAAGCTAGAAGTTCCGTTATCCTCTTGGCTCATAAGTTGAGAAGCAACAAACTTGTCTAACTCTCTCCAGTCTCCCGTCATCCTTACTTGGTTCTTCTTCTTCTTCCTCTTATTCTCACTGCTTATTAATGACCCGAAGCTTTCTACGTCCTCTACTGAGAGTTTGTAGTTATTATTGTTGTCCATTGAGGTTATGGACATCGCGCTTGATGGCCTTTTCATCAGTGGGAGAGATGGGCTTTGGAGTTGCGGGAGCTGAATAAATTGATGATTTGATTGCATGTAGTTTAGACCATCAACCATTCCTTCTAGTTCTTGCTTACACATCATACCTTTTCCAAAAATGTGATGTTGTTGATTAGATATGTAATCAATGGGGTCCATAACCGAGTTAACTCCATTCGATGTGACTTCATCGTAGAAGTAACTTGAGCTCCAAGTTTCCGTGCTCTTGCCTTGCCCTGTCGTTCTTTTCTTAAATGCTCTACAAACCACCCATCCTTCTTCCTACAATGTACATAAACACAATGATCATAAGAAGACGAGTACTTAAAATCTTTCGCTAGTTTTTGATGCATGAAACAATTGGTAAAAAACCATACAATATAAAGGCCAATGCAAAAAAAAGAAAAAGAAAGAGAAGGCATCCAAATTTTTAGTGAACACATAAGGACATGCTTGAAAAGTGTGAGACCACAGGAAAGAGAGCTAGTACAATGAATAGGTACATGCTCATGCAATCTACTAGAGTTTTACTTTTGAACTTTATTGACTTCAGGATATTGGGCAAACAAGCACATAAAAATAAGAGTGATTTATATCTATAAGCACTTTTGTCTTTTTTTTTACACTTATAGGCACTTTCCACTCTTAAGGGACTTTGGTGTATTGTAAAGACAAAACACTCCTTCCTTCTCTTCTTTAATTACAACTTTACTTTTAACTTTACTCTTTATTTTTTATTTCCATCTTTCACTAGAAATCAACAACTCCACTTCACACTTTGTCATTCACCACCGCCGCCGTTTCTCCTTCCGTCCTTGTTTCTAAATTTTGCCTCTCACTCCATCGTTCATAACCATAAAATTTTAAATCCCATCACCGTTCAATTGCAAAGACGTCGCATTCAATTTTTCACGGATTTTTCTGGATTTCTTTTCTTGGAGTGAGGAGAAGATGAATATAACTGTTTTCAGATTCGATGAAGTTTGGAGTAGATGAATTTGGGTTAAATCGCGATCATGTCCACATCCAGATGTCCACGCAGTCGTGTCTACTTGTGATCTATTCAAGAAGAAGAATATTTTGGTACATCTGTACAGGAAGATGTGGATGGTGTGCATGACTCCAACGGGCAACAATCCATAGATGAGGACGTCAAACCACCCATGATTACCTGCACATAGAAACTAGCCAGTACAAAGTTACCCATCCAAGGAGGATAAGAGGTGGAAGGCGTACATGTTGCAATGCCGATGGTAGATAGTATTGTATATGGCAGCTGTGACACGAACATGGTCAGTGGTGGACCGAATGGTGTGGATGGGAACTGTGACTTTGATGGACCGAAGATTAGTTAATTATTTTTTACATCAAACGGATCCATCCATATGACTCTGTCCAATTGTTGTGTATGTACATGTATCTATTTTTAGGTCATCTCATATGTCCAAATATCTACTGCATGGACATGTAGATGTGGACAAGATCACCTACGATTGTAATATGTGTATGTATCAATGCATGGTTTACGATATATTAGTCATATGTGTATGTATCCAACATTATTTGTTTTTATCCAATACCATTTGTCCATTGGCCTACAATGTATTAGTCATATACATCGCCTCGTCCTTTCTGGGTAAATATTCATGCGTATCCACGCTGACCAATCCAAACGTATCCGATCATAAAGTCAAGCCTTTGTAATCACGTTGGCGCATCCATGAAACTGGATCAAAACGTGTCAAACCGAGAAAAGAGTCTCCAACATCATTTATTTGTGTCCACTATCAACCATCCATATATTGTTGACCCTGTTTCTTACGTATTAATCATGTAACTTGCCTATTCGTCCATGAAGGGGAAAATATCTAAGCGTGTGTGCACAGTATCCACGCTGACCAGTTCATGAAACTGAATCTAAATATATCCTTCCGGAAAAAGAGTATACAACATCATTTGCTTGTGTCTACTGCCATATGTCCATATGTTGTTGATTACATATATTCCGTATCCACGCTAACCAATCTATGTAACTTTATCCATGTGTCCATCCGAGGGAAGAGTCTCCAACATCATTTGTTTTTGTTCGCTAGAACAGCGCTTTGGCGAATGAAAACCCAATTCATATTTGTTGTTCCAAATTTCGACAGCACATCAATCTTACAAAAATTGCAGAAGAAAAGCTTTTTTCAACAGAACTAATGTTTCCAGATCTACCAGTTTCTCCAAATCCACCAACTAATTTCTTTAAATCCACCAATTTTTTTAGATCCACTACCATTTTTATTCTTAGCCTCCAACATAAAGCAATGTTACTTCAACCAGATCTCACGGTTTGTTATCGGATAAGAAAAAAAAGAGATAAGGTTGTGGCAAAGAGCAAAATTTAACAAAATTAATAAAAAGGATATATGTGGAATTTCCCTAGTGGTTTTTTTGAACAAAGTCCCTCTAGAATCTAAAGTGCCTTTACTTGATATTTGTAAGTGTTAAAGTGCCTTTAAGTATAATATTCTCTAAAAATAATTCATAATTACTTTATTTTGCAAACATATATAGTGTATTATCTAGAGAGGAATATAAATTATTAGAATTTTCTTGAATGAGTAAAGTTAACATTTCTCTACTAATCAAAAAGAGAATGGAATTGATTTTTTTTTTTCGTTTTTGATTAGTAGAAAACTGCAAATTCTGCACTGACCAAATATGTACATCTGAAAAATAATTCGACGTGCGACTGAAATGTGATGTGCTTAGGAGACTACTCTTACTTCTATTATTTAAAAAAGACAAAAAAATAATTCTGACTGACTGAGAGTTTATACATAAGTCATAAAAGTATTAGACTTTCACCTAAAAGTTAGCATGTGTCTCCCAAAGAGCCCAATTAAGAGACAAGAAACCCTAATTAAAACAAAAGTGTCTTGTCCCCATGAAAGTGGAACCACACAAGTACTAGCCCCATGGAAGTTTGTATAAGAGGACAAGGAAAAAAAGGTGAAAAGATGAACGTGAAACTTAACAACGTTATCATGATAAATCTTGATTAATGAGGCCAATCGATCAAATGGAAAAAAAACATGCTTTATGGGAAATCATAATACAATACCTGAGGCGGTGCGTTCTCATCTGACTCGAGCCGGTATTCATGCATGATCCAATCGGATTTCTGGCCATTAGGAGCACGTCCTTTGTAGAACACAAGTGTTTTCCTCATCCCAATCAGTTTTGTTTTGTCATAAACAGCTTTGTCTCTTCCTGTGGCTTTCCAGAATCCAGCCATGGTTGCTCTATTAGTCCTTGTCCCCGTTGGATATTTCTTGTCCTTGTGACTAAAAAAGTACCAGTCATTTTGTTCCTCATACCCGATTCGACATCGCTCTGTAAGTTAAAAAACTTCAATTTATTTCCATCATAAAGACTTGTATACATATCTTAACATAATGATGACAATATAGGATATGTGATAAATCACAATTACATAATTTAAGCATCTTTCAGTATTTTGTAAGTAACCTTGTAGATCCCATGGTTCGATTTTGTATAGATCAATGTCTCTAATGACATCAAGATCAATCTTCTGCGATGCGACTTTCTTCCTTAGATAGTACCCGACAAGCTCTTCGTCTGTAGGATGGAACCTAAATCCTGGAGGAACGCTACAAGATTCCACTGACTCCATAATTTCTACACCACCGAAATTAAAAACACCACAATTTATAGAGTATTCGATAGATAGTTGACAAAATGCTATGAGATATGATCATGCTCTTGTCGTGGTAAGTTTCCACTTGACTATTTCATATGGCTCATGTGGTTTATGATCAATTATATTTACATATACTGATATACATACACAAAAGATATAATGTATGAAATTTAGGTTTTAAGTTGAAGAAATCAAGGAGATGATGAGAGCATAACAAACGGACGTGGAGAAGTTTACTAATGATACTGTTCTGTTGTACAGTGTAAGTGAATGGAGGCAATGATCATCTAGAACGGCTTTTTTTTCTTCTCAAAACTCTTTTATATTAACAAAATTGAATTTATCAATTCTAATCATTACTATAATAAACAATGTAATTAGCACTATACGAACAAAAACAGGTACTTCACGCAAGAAAATCAAGGGGAAGGTGATATGAATATGTTCTTGAAACCCTTTGTTATTTTAGCTAGGGTTTACCTTATAAATCTTATGTAGAATAAATAGGAGCTATACTCGATCGTGGCGAGAACCGCTTAACTATTATCAAAATATGGGAGAAAATAATTAAGAAGAATGAAGAAAGAAAGAACAGTAAGAAGATAGAAGTGGTAAAGAGCGAACGAGGAAGAAGACGAATTGAGGAGAAAGACGATCTGATTTGGTGAATATAAAGGAGAGAGTGTGGACCGCTCCATTGCGCGTGGCCTTGTCCATGTCCTCACTCCTCATTCATTCACCTCACTCTCCTCTTGCTTTTTATTGTTTTTATAAGTTAACTTTTAACTTCCCCGGATTTTATTTATTTATTCAGTTAACTTTTTTTTTTGCTTTCACAAAAAGCATATTTTTATGATTTATCAAATAATTTCGACCCTCACACTGCTAGTGCATTATTGCAGGACCAAGAGCCATCTACACACAAAAGAAGAAATTTTATTAGGGTTTTTTTTTGTTTTCATTGTTAGGTTCGTCCAATATAAGAATGAGGAGTATCATAACATGATTCAACATCGTTTCAATACGGGTACTTACAAAAAATTATTATAAATAAAAAACGAACTCTTAGAAAAAATATTTTATATAGCCTGTATCTAGAATATATATAGCTTTTTGTTTTTTTTTTTTTTTTTTTTTTTTGGTAGAAAGCTTTTTAGTTTTTATAATCATACAACAATTAATCTTGAGTTTTACTCTTTCCTTTTTCTTGTCCTCCACTAACATAGCGCGTTGTACAGGTTTTATTTTGAAAAGTATATATATTTCCCCTTATGTAGCAGTGAGATACAAGCTTCGATCTTAATGGATTGTACTTTTCGCATTTTGAGTTTATTTTAAGCCGGGGTTTAAATATCTTAAAAAAACTGTTCTACTTGGCTTAGAATTTAATTAGGTGTCAGCATGAGAATGTTAATACTATTTTTTTGTGTTCTTATGGAACTACAAAGTTCGAAGTCTTTTTTTTTTTTTTAAGTTTCACCTAATTTTGGTATTTTTTGTCTTTCATAATTTAACTATCTGTCGATATTTATTTCTATGATCTGTGGGTTCTAATAATCAAATGAAACGCACACGGTTGACATATTTCATCAAATTAGTGTTGTGTGATTAAATGATTAGGAAGATCAATAAACGAAAATGAAATCGTGAAGAGAAAGTGACGATGATTAATCATGATATCTAATCAGAGAGTGGGCAATAATATGTAAGAAAGAGAGGGAAAAGGTTTAACATGTCATCAATAAATCATAAACAGCTCCAACTACAAGCACTATGTACGTTCTTCTTCGCAACTTGCAAGTCATATTAAAACCGTATAGGTTTTGATAGCATATGGGAGAGGTGATGAGGTTGCGTACTTGCGTTGCGAACTTGCGTAATCAATATATGATCTAAGTTAAAATACTTAGAACTGGTTAAATATAGATATTTGAAACAGCAAAAAAAAAGAAGAAGAGAAAAACAAACATGGAAGAACCCTTGGCCTATAAGGCACGCATTGCCAAGAAATTAGATTATTCTAAATCCAGAGGCGAAACTCTTTCCTACCAAAGTTGATGTTTCAAGCAAAATCATATATCAAATTATACATATAAATCACAAAGTAATTCTTCCAACCATTCAGTGAACAGAAAAAAAAACTACCAGTAAGATCATGTGGACAAATCAATATAACCATAGAAAAATCAAATCAGGTTGGGCCTTAGGTTAGCACCGCCGACCCACCTATTTAATTTTACCTTCTTTTGTGGGGGTTTTTTTTTTCCTGTAAAAATGGTAGCTAGGTCATACACTCATACTCACAATATATAGTGTTTCTCTAGGTCTTGTATAAAGTTTTAACATCTCTCTCTTCTTCTCTTCCGATCAGCAAATGCAATGAATTTCATCCCGACTGATCTCATTTTTGAGATATTCTCAAGATTGCCTGAAAAGTCAATAGCTAGGTGTTGTTGTGTGTCGAAGCAATGGGCGTCAATGCTTCACCTTCCATATTTCACCGAGTTGTTGCTGACCAAGTCCTTAGCTCGTCCACGTCTCTTATTCGACGTCAAAGATGGCGGTGCGTATCGCTTTTTCTCCGTGCTTCAGCCTCAACATCCATATGAGAACTCATCGTCTCTTGTAGTAGCCGCCGATTTTCATATGAACTTCCCTCGAAGCAATATGTGGACACGTGGCAGTAGCGACCAGACATTTCCATGTGCATATGCCTCCGGTTTGATCTATTTCCCTGATACTTGGATCTCAATTGAGAGAGACAAGATAGTGCCTGTGATATGTAACCCTAATACGGGGCAGTATGCGATCTTACCTCAACTGCCGTATATCTACTGGAACCCATTCAACCAAAAAAAGCCGTCTAGCTTTTTAGGGTTTGATCCGATAGGCAAGGAATACAAGGTATTGTTCATTGACTATCGATATTCTTATGAAGGGTATGATCAGATAATTCACACGTTAGGGAGCGTAAAAATGATGTGGAGTAATATCATATGTCCCTTAGTCCATGAGCCTTTGAGTGAAGGGGTTTGCATTGATGGGGTTTTGTATTACTTAGCTTGTGTGATAGTTCTGGGGAATGTGATAGTTTGCTTTGATGTTAGGTCTGAGGAATTCTTCAAGTTTATCAACGCAGACTTGTTTTCTGGTTGGCGTACTACTCATATTGTAAACTATAAGGGAAAGTTATGTGTCATTTGTTTCAAGTATGATGGTGAACGCATCGTTCATAAGGACGTTGTGCTGCGTATGTGGGTTCTAGAGGATGTCGAGGAACTTGCATGGTCGAAACATGACTACACTTTGTCAGACTATAAACTCGTTTATCACTTCCTCGACACTTTGGTCGCCGGGGTCACTGCTATGGGTGAGATCGTTTTCTCGATGAAATGTAGAGGGAGTCCGTTTTACGTTTTCTACGTCAATCCCGAGAAGAACACTTTCCAAAGTGTTAAAATCCGAGGTTTTGTTGGATGCAATGATGATGAGAGGTCAGATAGGGTTTACACTTTTGTAGACCAAGTAGCGGATCTAAATGTTAACTATGCAGAGCTATTCAAGACAAGCATCTCTGCCCCATCTGTGAAGAACAAGAACGGCCTTAATATCATTAACAAAGGGCCAAAACCACAGCGTCAAGAAAAGTTAAGAAAAGGGAAGAAGGGGAGATGAAGACCACCGTCCACCGCGAAGAGATGAGAGATAGAGAGAAAGGCTTATGGAGAGTCGAAGATATTTAGACGATCACTGGAGAGACGATTGATGAAGAGTATAAGAGAAGGAGACAATGAAAGAAGGAATAAGTGAAAGCAATATGCATTTTATGTTTTTTATTTTTAGTTATCGACGTTGCTGATCAAAATCTCTATAGCTTTGATACAAACCTTTTTTTATATAACTTTTGTTTTGTTAATGAAGATGTTTTTTTTCTTCTTTAACTCTATCTCTCTCTTATCCTCCCCACGGTAATGAATACAAATTAGCGATTGTAGAGTTTATATGTATGTATACATAATACATATCGACATAGTGTGTAACAAGAAAATGATAGTGTTTCAAGTTTAGGATACGTCCAAGTTTCTTCTCTTAGATTTCATCGGATCCACATCATAATGTTGATTTGACATACAGTAGATGTATAAAAAGTTATCATTATGGAAAAATTTGATACTGAAATTTTGAAAACCTAGAAATGTGGCCTCATCTTCCGATACAACGTTAGGCCCATACAGAGCCAAACCCAATAATGGTGCATACACAAACGATGGCTACGATCATCGAATCCAGTTGAAGCAATTTGGTCTTCCTTAAGCATCGTTTCTACAAAAACACACACACTTCCACTAAAGACAACGCATCTCACTTTCCTTAATTAGATTCGATCGTAGCCATCGTCTAATCTAAGATGATTTATAGCCGTTGATTTTGTTCCTTCTCTAGAAAGCGGTCTTCCTCTCTTTCCGGTCAAGGGTTGACAAAGTTTGAATAAAGTCAAATAAAAAAAGAAAGAAAGAAGAAACCAGATAACCGGAATTCGGTTTACCACGCCGGAAAATGTCATCGGATCACGTCATTATCCTGATCACCACCGTCACTGCGATTCTATCTTATTCGAGCTTGTCCAATGCCTTATTACATTCCGGTAGTGTCTCTCATGGTATTTCCGAAAGCGACTATTTCTTGACGACCAATGAGCTCTGGTTTAACCAAACCCTAGATCATTTCTCACCTTACGTAAGCTTCTCTTTACCGATTTCTTTCCTTTCGTAATTTTCTCCAAATGCATCTATTTGATGTTTGTTTTTATCACAGGATCATCGTAAATTCAGACAGAGATATTTTGAATTCATGGATTACTTTAGAGCTCCAGATGGTCCTGTCTTTATGATAATATGCGGTGAAGGTCCTTGCAGTGGCATAGCTAAAGATTATATAACTGTAAGATTTTTTGTTAACCAAGAAATTCTTGTGATCAAATCTAAAACTGATTTTATGTTTTTTTTTCATAACATATAAATATATATTTAGGTATTAGCAAAGAAGTTTGAAGCTGGTGTAGTTTCATTAGAACATAGGTACTATGGGAAAAGCTCTCCATTTAACTCATTAGCTACAGAGAATCTGAGATTTCTTTCATCTAAACAAGCCCTTTTCGATCTTGCCGCTTTCCGACAATATTACCAGGCAAGTCTTGCTTTCATTTCAATGAGATCATACCATTGTAGTTGAGAAGTAGTGACTACATTTTCAAGAGGATGTTACATTTGTGGATGCAGAAATCTTTGAATGTTAAGTTGAATAGAAGTAGTGGTGATAGTGACAATCCTTGGTTCTTCTTTGGTGTTTCTTATCCTGGAGCTTTAAGTGCGTGGTTTCGGCTTAAGTTCCCTCATTTGACTTGTGGAAGTCTCGCTAGCTCTGCGGTTGTTCGTGCCGTTCGTGACTTCTCTGAGTTTGATCAGCAGGTATAAGTAACAATGTTCTTGGCATGATTTTAAGGCTAGAAAGTAAGAAGCTATGAATGGTGTGGATGTGAAGTTATGGTCACAGATTTGATATTTTGTTCATTTTGAGCAGATTAGTGAGTCAGCTGGTCAAGAATGCAAAGCTGCATTACAGGAGACTAATAAACTCTTGGAATTAGGGCTTAAAGTAAAAGCAAAGGCGGTGAAATCGCTCTTTAACGCCACCGAGGTCTCTTCTCTCTTTCTGTGTGTTGGAAATGATGATAATGGAAGTAGAAGTTCCACTTCAATTCTAATAAGTCTTTCGAAATCTGCAGCTTGGTGTTGATGCTGATTTCTTATTCTTCACCGCAGATGCAGCGGTTATGGCGGTAAGAGTATTTTTGGAAATTTTGGTTTTGTGGTATTTTTGGAAATTTTCAAATTTGTGGTATTTTTGGAAAAACTATTATTGTGGTATTTTTGGAAAAACTATTTGTGTGGTATTTTTGGAAATTTCCAATTTTTTGGTATTTTTAGAAAACTATTTTGAGGTATTTTTGGAAAATTTTGGTTTTGTGGTATTATTGGAAAAACTATTTTTATGGTATTTTTGGAAATTTTCAATCTGGAAAAACTATTGTTGCGGTATTTTTGGAAATTTTCAATTTTGTGGTATTGTTGGAAAATCTATTTTTGTGGTATTTTTGAAAATTTTCAATTTTGTGGTATTTCTGGAAAAATTATTTTTGTGGTATTTTTGGAACTTTTTGGTTTTGTGGTATTTTTGGAAAAATTATTTTTGTGGTATTTTGAAAAAAAAAAATCATTTTGTGGTATTTTTGGAAAAACTACCACAAAATTGTCAGATCTTAAGGAGTTTTATTTATTTAAATGCCAAACAAACACAAAATTTTGTAAAGATAATAAAGCAGGCAACAGTGAACTAACGTTTTCCGATGGGATGGATAAACAGCAAATGCGCTTCCACAGATCTTCTTGTTTCACAATGAACACGTGCTCTCGCTTGTGACTTGCGTCACTCCTTTCCTATATTTTTCATTTTCATGTTCTTTCTTAGTGTTGCATAAGCATTGATACTTTACTGTTCAAAATCTTGCAGTTCCAATATGGAAATCCAGATAAACTATGTGTCCCGCTTGTTGAAGCAAAGAAGAATGGTATTGATTTAGTGGTAAGCTCACATTTGTTTCTGAATTAAACCTTTTGTATTTACTATTAGAAACTTAATTAGTATCGGGTTTGTAATGCAGGAAACATATTCTAAATATGTTAGAGATTATTGCATTGGAGTTTGGGGCCTAAGAGCTAGAATGTATAACCGAAGAAATCTGAGAAACACAGTTGTTACCGCAGATAGTACATATCGGCTATGGTGGTTCCAAGTTTGCACAGAGCTAGCATATTTCCAAGTGGCACCTTCAAATGATAGCGTTCGATCGCACCAAATCAATACAGAGTAACATTCTTGAATCACGCACTATTTCTTAAATTCACGCAACATGATTATTGACTGTCTTGCTTTACTTTTACTAGGTACCATTTGGATTTGTGCAAGAGCCTTTTTGGGAGAAGTGTATACCCTAAAGTTGATGCAACAAACCTGTTCTACGGAGGAGATAGAATCGCAGGTATGTGACACTAAAAAACTTTCTCGATTCTCATTTTAGTGTTTTGGACCATTGTGATAATGTTTTTGGAATAACTACAGCAACCAAAATCATCTTCACAAATGGGTCACAAGATCCATGGCGTCATGCTTCCAAACAAACCTCCTCTCCTGAATGTAATGTCTCTTATAGCTTTCATATCGAATTGGCTTACGTTCTCTGCCTTTTCTGACGGATTATCATGTGCCAGTGCCTTCTTACACCATGGACTGCCATAATTGTGGCCACGGAGCTGATCTCAGAGGATGCCCTCAAGCTCCAATTGTCATTGAAGGTACATAAGCACTTGTCTGTTTTGTCTCGAAAGTCAAGAAATGTTAATATCTCTTTCTTTGTTTTCAGGTAAATCAAATAATTGCAGCTCACCAGATGCTGTAAACAAAGTGAGACAACATATGGTGAAACACATCGACTTGTGGTTGTCCGAATGTCGTGGATCTACTAGGAGTTCTATGTAGAGTCGTAACATAGAAGTCACGGTTTCGGTTCAAAACAAACCTCAGTGTACATTACACACTTTTTTACTTACTACTAACTTGTGATCCAAACTTGTATGAATATTGTCAACCTAGCTAAAACAGTCGCAAGGTGAATATTTTTGAGGTATTTCTGTTTGTGTGTAAATTTTCAAGCCACAAGCAGAATGGATACAGTTTCTGTATGTACTGTATGTGTCATTTTGTTAAAAAAGATTGCAGTGTAAATGTCTTTTAACTGACTTCAATCCTCGTATTTTGTAGAACTATTGTCAGTTTCTTTAACATTTATGCTTGTCATGTAAAAGGTGGGCTTTCAATGCATCATGCATGCGTAGGTGAACAAAGTTATTAGTTATTTAATTTAAGGTTTACATATATAAATAAATCATTATTATTGTGTTGTTGATATTACTTCGTACAAATGTATAATCTGTGCTGATGAAATAAACTAGTTCGTATAATCATAGAGTGGGTTCCTGTCAATCCATGTCGGAGGAATAAATAAGTAATTATATTGTTGGGATCTCATTATTTATGTTTTATTATATAAAGCAAAACCGTTGAATTTGAAAATTCGTTTGTGTTGCACGAATGATCAATTTCTTTTTGATTTTCCTCAAGTAGGAATTCTAATATTTCACCTAAACTTGTAAAATTGTTTGGTAATTTAAATGTTTCGATTTAGAAGTTAAGTTTGCAAAGAAAAATATGTAGTGTTACTCGGTTTAGTTAAAATATCTCTCTCACATTCAACTAAATTCCATAATATTCTGTTATTTTATTTTTCTCACTATTCCTTTCATTTCCATCATTTGAATCGAAGTCAAACCTGTTTTTTTCCACGTTACAACTGCATCTGTGAATCTATCTATACTGATATATACATTTAACAATGACATTCAAGTGAGATAGCTCATGTCACATCAGCCTATCCATCGTTTAATTTGAAAAAGTCTTGTATAGAGCTTAATTTCAGCTCAGTGAGTAGTAACAGATTCATCTTTACGATTCGTATATCCTTTTATCATAGAATTGTCTCAAGCGGAAGATATAAATTAAAGCTAACCTTCAACCATAAAGAAAATTAAAGCTTACTCTATACTAGAAACCAGTACGCATTAATATTAGTAGGTCTATCTTCTATCACTTCATAGTCTTTCTTTAACACTCATGTTTTGCAAGTGGCATTTTGTGCTGTTGGAGAAAGATTTCCTTTTGTTATCGAACATTTTTTTTTTTTTTTATCTTGATAAATAAGAAGAAGATGGGGGAAACAAAACTTTAAAATATCAGTTAAGCTCGTTTATAATTATAAAACATTATCCTTCTAGAAATGATTGTAACTTTAATAAAGTCTTTAGTTATGATTTATGAATCGTTTCGTCCACTTCATTTTGTTTTATTTGTAAAGTTTTGTCAACTAATTATAACACCATATTTGATTTCTTGAGAGAAAAAAAGATCTTCAGTGAGCAATTAAAGATAAGATGAATGGTTAGGTAGAGAGGGAAGACCATAGCAGGAAACTACGACCACGACACGAAACACAGTCGACAAAAAATAAAGTAGTTCAATTTCATTTTCGCTTTGGTCCACTTAATTTTTTACAAAAACAAAAATATAAATTCAATAAAATAAGTCCTTTTATCTTTCCGTGTTAGCTTAAGACACGAAGCCTCCCCACTAAACAAATAAAAAAACAATTTTAAATTTATTGGAAAAGACGCGCGTGGCTCCCACTACCTACAACTTTGCCCACGTGGAACCAGCCATATGAGCGGCGTTTAGAGAAGAAAAAGAAAAATATATAAATAAAAAAAAAGCGTTTTCTTTCTCTCTCTAGAAAGTCAAAAAAAGGAGACAGCCAAACACTGCCTTGTCACATCTTACACTTTCTCTCTCTACCTTTGTTCCGAGTAAGTCCATTTCTCCATGTGCCCACTGTGTCTTCTCTCCCTACACGCCACCATCTCCACCACCACCTCCTCCTCCGACGATTTCCAATTCCCAATTCGCGAACCCTAGGTTTTAGGGGTTTTCTAGCTTCTACTTCCCTCGTCTCGCTACTTTTTCCCGACTTTGGATCTTCCGATTTTTGGGATTCTCGGTGTTGATTTTTCGGCTGGTTGAGCTGGATAGTGACTTTGGCTTCCCGAAGAAGCCGAGGTTCGTTGACGAATCGATGCCGGAAATCGATCTCATGAGAGTCGATCAATGCGTTTCCGATGTGAAATTGGATGGTGAATCTCCTTCTCCGCCTATTGAGGAGGAGGCTCCTGGTTTCGGGGGATTCGATTGTTGTGGCTCGATAGATGTGGAGGTGAAGCTAGAGGAAGACTCGGATTGCTTGAAGAAAACCGTCGGGCGCTCGGCTAGACGCGGCCGTCCTCCGAAAACACTGGGTAAAGCTGCTTCGTCTCCGACTTCGCAGACGAGGAAGAGGAGAGAAGACGAAGATGTTTGTTTCGTTTGCTTCGATGGAGGTAGTCTCGTCCTCTGCGATCGTAGGTGAGTGAGTTTGAGTTTCAAAAGAAGAAAATTCCAGCTAAATTTTCTCACTAGATTCGTGCTTCTAAAAATAGAAATGAGTTGCTTCTGAGATTTCTTAATTTGTCAGGGGATGTCCAAAAGCGTATCACCCAGCTTGTGTTAAGCGTACTGAAGCATTCTTCAGATCAAGATCAAAATGGAATTGCGGTAAGTTGTTTCGATTCAACTACTTCCTCTGTGCTTAATCCATTTTGATACATTAGTCTCGAGGTTCTTGGAGATGAGCTTTAATGGCGAAGATTGTGATGTTTTTTTTTTCAGGTTGGCACATTTGTACCACTTGTCAAAAGGACTCTTTCTACATGTGCTATACTTGTCCGTATTCAGTTTGCAAGATATGCGTTAGAAGCTCAGAGTATGTAGTTGTACGGGAAAACAAAGGATTCTGTGGAATCTGCATGAAGACCATAATGCTTATTGAGAATGCAGCTGACGCTAACAAAGAAAAGGTAACCACAATCTGTCACCATGAAAGTAATTTGTGGAAGTATATAGAACCTGAGGCCTTTTTCTTGCGATGTCAATGTGCTTTTCTTCTAGCTAAATGATTTACTTGTTTGATTAAATGTACATTTTCCAGGTTCAGGTCGATTTTGACGACCAAGGCAGCTGGGAGTATCTATTCAAGATTTACTGGGTTTCCCTTAAAGAAAAGCTCTCTTTATCGTTAGATGATCTTACCAAAGCAAGAAATCCGTGGAAATCTTCTGCTTCGACTGCTTCTAGGAGAAGAACAGCTAGCCGAGTTCATGGAAAAGATGATGGCAGTGCTACTGGGGTTATGAAAGCAAGCCGTGCTAAAGTAAGGAAAATGGAAGCTGTTTCCGCGAGTAAATTGGCTTTAAACAGTTCAATGGGTGGTGACAGACTTCCACCATTGACTAGCGCTGCTGCGTCGTGGGCAACAGATGAGCTCTTGGACTTTGTGAGGTATATGAAAAACGGCGATCTCTCCGTCTTGTCGAAGTATGATGTCCAAACTCTCGTGCTAGAGCATGTTAGACGGAACAATCTACAGAGCTCTCCTCAGATTTCGGAGATAGTGTGTGACAATAGGCTTGTGAGATTGTTTAGAAAGGAGCGAGTGGATCAGTTGGAAATGTTAAAGCTTCTTGATTCTCACTTCCTAGATCAAGAGGGGTCTCCGGTCACTGAAACTATGTCCTTCCAGGTCCATGCGAGCAGAAGCTGTGATAGGTTGAATACATCTGAACACCGTCATGAAGGAGAGCCACAGCACACTATTCAGGTTAGACCTTCCAGTAACAACGCCGCTGTAAAATACGAAACATGTACCAATAAGCCAATTGAGAATGGCTTGGATGCGAGTATGATATGGTTGTATGGAGATCCAGATGGGAAGATCCACGGACCGTTTTCCTTATTGAACCTGCAACAGTGGAATTCGAGCGGGCATTTCCCGCCAGAGCTGAGGATATGGAGGTTGAGTGAACAGCAAAACAGCTCCATACTTTTGACGGATGCGTTAAATGGTCAGTTCCATGAAACAGGATCGCTTCAGAATCATTCTGTCCCCAAGCAGGAAGTGGCAGCTACTATAGCTAATGATCAGAACAGGACTGTGGCTGTTGTTGCTAAGCTAGAGAGTAGAGTACTTGACTTTAGCCCCAACTCAGTATCCACTGATCAGAGTGTCATCTCGAGTAGTAACAGTGTCATCACAAGGAGCTCTGATGCGAGCAACAAAAGCGGCAACAACTTCAGCCACACCGTGCCATTGGATTTCACTCTCTCTAACGAAAGGGAGGCTTCTCTCTGGAACAAAACGAAAGTTGAAAGTCCTTTGGTTGGACAAAGCCCGATTAGCTGTTCGCTTTCGCTGGCTACATTTCCCGGAAACTCAAACTGCTCTCTTCCACAGCACGAAAGATGGAACGCTGGTGGTCAAACAGACGTACATGGAAACGACGCAGCAAAGAACGCCTGCAATCAAATCGGTATTGACCTCGACGCGGCTGAGAAACAAGTCACGGCTACAATCCAGTCATGTGGGCAAAACTGGAACGCTGCTACTCCAAGCAGTGCTTCAAACGTGTGGGATTCTTCCAACTCCGGCGTGGTGTCTTTCACAGACAATCAAGAAATCGACTTCCTAGATCTCTTTAGCCCGACCTTCAAATTCAACTTCGCATCCACCACCACGGACTGGCAACCAATTGTAGCTGGACCTGACGAATGTGACGAGTCAGTCTCAGATCTTTTAGCGGAAGTTGAAGCCATGGAGTCTCAGAAACGTCTTCCTTCTCCAACTTCAACGTTCCGTGGCCCTGGAGAATTAATCCGACACTCCATTAACGATAGCTTCAGTCCCGCTGAAGGGCATAGCCCGGCACTTGATGTAAGCAAAGGTGACTCCATGAGCTCCACAAACGAACGGCAAATGCATTCACGAACTAACAACGCCGTGGATTTTTAGCCGTGGGAGCTCGATATAGATCGGTTCAAATAGAAGAGAAATCATAATCAGGGCACAGGTTACCACCATGGATCATCCAGTGACCTTAGATCGTCTGATCGATGGTGGACTATGCCCTCTTTTTCTCTTTTTTTTTTGCAGGATTATTACAGAACATAAATAAGTGGCGAGTCAGCATCAGAAGAAAAGAAAAAAAGAGTGGTGCATAGGAAGAAGAAGAAGATACTGTATGATCAAAGTTTCTTCATGATATTTTTGGCTGCACCACCCATTTGTTTTTCACTTTTCAGTATCTATTTAGGTTTTCTACGTTGTCCTGTGCTAAGATTTGCACAGAGTCACAGACCCAACCTCTGTACTTTTACATTGTTTGTTGTATTACTTAGGGAAGTATAAAAATGGAAACAAATGTTGTGGATGGATGTAATCAAAACACTGTAGGGATCTTCCTCCTATATATGATAGTGTAACAACGTTTCATTCTTATTTTTGAAATGTTTCTGTTTCACGTCTCTTTTCTTCGTTTGTTTTTGAATTGTTGTTTCTTCTGATGACAAGTGTAGGCTCGAGCCTCTTTGATTCAAAACGGCTTCGTTTTTCTCTACTTGTTTGAATCAGTACAGATTTGGGAAATGAGAGAGACAAACTCGCTCTCTTCGATTGATCGTTGTTTCTTCGATTTTGCTGCTTTTGCTGGTTCGATCAAGATAAGTTTCTCGATTGATGGTGGAAGCTACGTCGAATTTGACGCCGTCGCAGAGATATGCGACAACGGCATTGTTTGCGATCGCTCTCAACCAAGCGCAGATCAGTCAGACTAAGCCACTCGGAATTCCGGCCACCGATCAAGGCGGAGACAATGGAGAATCTGAGAATTGCCGGACCGGAGAGACAATTAGCAGCGGCGGTGATCATATCTCCGACGACGCGGATCTCTGGGTCCAAGAGGATTCTGGCCTGCTCCGACCCGTTCTCAGGTGATCCCCTCTCCAAACTGACACAGTTTCTTAGATTCTGAAATTCGTTTTATATGATCACGACGAAATCATCTGGAATTTGTTCGTGTTCTGGAGTTGTAAATGTGTTCATATGCGACTGTGTGTGATGTTTATCAGATGTCTTCAGATTGATTCCTCAACTTGGCATGACCTCGAGGAAATAGCTTCTTCTTCTTCGGCTAAACACCACATCGGTGCGGTATGATGAAGTATCTTCCCTATCTTGAAAGTTCGCTGTACGAATCCAGTGTGTTGATAAGCATCTTCTTCTTCATTATCTGATAATTTTTGGTTTATTGTAGTTCATCAAGTTACTCTCAGAAGATGCTGCTAGTGATGATGACGGTTCTAGTGATATGGTGGAGAAAGAGTCAGCCTTAGCTAAAGCTGCTGAAGCTATGGTACAAAGCATTAAACAAGGCTCTATATCTGTGGAAGCTAAGATGGAGAAACATGTGGAATACGAAAACGAATGCCGTGAGAAGTATTCAGTTCCCGAGGCACAGTCTTGTGAGGGTCAAGGGGTGGATGAAGTTAAAAATGGAGGTCACAAGGCTGAGAGTGTTGAAGATGAGAAACCTGTTGAGGAAGCAGCATTGCTTAGCCATGAGAGAAAGATAAGTGTGCTTTACGAGCTACTATCTGCTTGCTTGGCAGATAAACATGAGGAGAACGAGAAATGTACGCGGACTAGGAAAGGCTATGATGCGCGTCACCATGTTGCTCTGAGGTTACTTGCGACTTGGTTTGACATTCAGTGGATTAAAATGGTTTGTTTCTTTATTCTATCAAATGTAAATTTGATGTTACCACATCGCATAAAAACCTCATAGTTCTAAAACAGCCATCTTTCTGAGGATTTAGTATCTGATGACATTGCCATGTATGAGAAGTTTTGAGAAGCTCAGTTCCAATCTTAGGCTGAAATTGTATTTTCATATTTCGTACTTTGCAGGAAGGAGTTGAGAAAATGGTTGCATGCTCTGCCATGGCATTGCAGAAGTCGAGTGAAAATAAGGAAGAGGAGACTCTGTCACCAAATAGTGAATGGGATAAATGGAAGCGAGGAGGCATCGTTGGAGCGGCTGCTTTAACAGGGGGTACTTTGATGGCCATCACTGGTGGTATGGTGTCTTCTAACTGTTAATATCCATTCCCACGTTTTGGAAATTATAAGAGCTTCGATTTATAAACCGCTAACTTTTAACTTGTTTTGATTTACATATTATATGAAACAGGATTGGCTGCTCCAGCGATCGCTGCAGGGTTCAGTGCATTGGCACCAACACTAGGCACGCTAGTTCCGGTAATTGGAGCCAGTGGGTTTGCTGCAGCTGCTAGTGCTGCCGGAAGTGTTACTGGTTCTGTTGCTGTTGCAGCATCTTTTGGAGATAAATAAAGAACAGACCGTAGTTTTTAGCTTCTTCATAGAGGAAAAACAAGTATCAGATTCATCTTATGCTCTGCTTTTAAATGTGCTCGTGATCAGCTGCTGGAGCTGGCCTCACTGGGACTAAGATGGCGAAGAGAACTGGGGACATTGAAGAGTTTGAGTTTAAAGCTATTGGAGAAAATCATAATCAAGGAGTGAGTTTTGTGTAGGGATTAATGATTAACTGTATGTGGTTCATGTTGAAACTTCTTGCTTGGAATTATCCGATTTTGAAGATGACATCGTTTTTCTAATGTTGATGTAATAGCGATTAGCAGTGGAGATCTTAGTTGCTGGCTTTGTGTTAAAGGAAGAAGACTATGTAAAGCCCTGGGAAGGCTTGACTAGCAACTTGGAAAGGTATTAACATGAGTTGTTCTTCTTTACATTTTTGTGACTGATTTTACTAATTCTCAAGATTCATAATGTTTGCTATAATTGTTTCTTAGGTACGCAGTGCAATGGGAATCCACGAATATTATTGCAGTGAGCACTGCAATTCAGGATTGGCTTACTTCAAGTAATATATATATATAGTTTCATCTATTACGTGGGAATAAGAAAATCTATATATTTTTTTTTCTCCTGAGAATAAATGGCAACAACGCAATGATATTGTTGCAGGAGTTGCAATGGAGTTGATGAGACAAGGTGCAATGTACACTGTACTAAAGTCGCTTTTAGCAGCAATGGCGTGGCCAGCAACGATCTTAGTAGCTGCTGATTTCATAGATAGTAGGTGGAGTATCGCTATTGACAGGTAAAAGGAAATTAAAAATATCTTGTGAATGGAAATGCAACCACAAGATTATGCTTCTTATTATCATATTATCCTATTGCAAGTCAGACAAAGCAGGAAGACTTCTTGCTGAAGCGCTTCGAAAAGGGTTACAAGGAAATAGGTATAAAGTTAAATTACATCACATTTCTATGTAAAGAGGTTATACAATTAGACTTTGACGTCAGCTTATTTGGATTTCAGACCTGTGACTCTCGTGGGTTTTTCGCTTGGTGCGCGTGTCGTCTTCAAGTGCCTCCAGGCTCTGGCTGAGACAGAGAAAAACGGTATACTTCTCGTTCTCATATCTCTGCTTCTTTCAGAAATTTTGTTATCTTTCGGATTGAGTCTTGGCTTAAACACATTTTTTCACGACAGCTGAAATTGTGGAAAGAGTTGTTCTTCTTGGAGCACCAATTTCAATCAACAACGAGAATTGGCGAGACTTAAGAAAGGTAATAAGGTCCCTTACGTACATTAACAACAATCGATGTCACAGTCTAGGAAACAAATCCGTTATTTGGTGTTCTGCTTAATCTTCACGAGTCTATTATCGGTTACCAGATTGTGGCTGGAAGATTCATTAACGTTTACGCAACAAATGATTGGACCCTCGGAGTTGCTTTCCGTGCAAGGTACTTCACCTTCTACCTTCCTTCCATTGCCAATTTGTTCTTCTATTCTCTGTTTTCACCTGCAAATCCAAACTCTTTTTCGCTTCTTAATTCTTGCAGTCTGTTGTCTCAAGGATTAGCTGGAATCCAACCGGTTTGTATCCCTGGGATCCAGGATGTAAGTTATCTCATTTTTTCTCCTTGTGTATATGTTAAATGAAATACTGAAATGAGAGAAATAATCAGACCTTCTTCAGCTTCATTATTACTTATCTATAAACCATAACATTTGCAGGTGGATGTAACCGATATGGTGGAAGGTCACTCATCTTATCTATGGAAAACTCAGCAAATCCTTGAAAGACTCGAACTCGACAACTCTTACCCAGTCTTTCGAAACACTCTCTAACTAATCCCAACATTTATTCTCAGGAGTTAGGGCCATATTCGATTTTTATTTAGATTCAAAGACCAGATCAACACTCATGATTCTGAATCAGGCAAACGAAACCTTTTTTTGTTTTGTTTAAATGTTAAGAAGCGATTAGTAGTTGTATATCCGACTTTCCAAATTTATTTCATGATTTTATTTATATTCAGTTACATTTTGAGGATAGCAAAAAAGAAGGGAAAAAAGACAAAACTTATGCACCAACAGAACAGTAAAACTCTCTTCATCGTCCGGGTTAAACAGGGCAGATGAGTCGCCTGGTAGGCACGGCGATTAGTCGCGTGGCTCTGGGAGCGGTGAGGCCCATAACGTCGCTCATGTCGAGCTCACTCGGTTTCATCCCATCTGGCAACTGCCACGTGTAACAGTGGATGATGTTAGCCACAGCGACCTCCATGGCGTAAAGCCCAAGCTGCATCCCCGGGCACGATCTCCGACCTGCCCCGAACGGTATAAACTCGAAGTTCGTCCCCATGAAATCGGGCATATCCGGTTCCATAAACCTCGATGGCCTAAACTCTTCCGGGTCAACCCACAGTTTCGGGTCACGTGCGATGGCAAAGGCGTTGATCATCAAGCGCGAGCCTTTGGGGACAGAGAAGCCTTGGAGGGCTGTGTCTTCAACGGCCTCGTGGAGGATGAGTGGGATCGGTGGGTGGAGTCTCATGGTTTCTTTGAGTGTGCATTTGAGGAATGTTAGTTTCTCGAGGTGCGTCTCTTCCACGCGCCGGTCAAGACCCACGACTTCGGCTAGTTCTTGTTGGAGCCGTTTGAGCTCTTGTGGGTTACGTAATAACTCCGTCAATGCCCACTCGATCCCGGACGCCATCGTCTCCGTTCCTCCGAACATAACATCCTTCAAGTAACAAAAATTCTTAAACATATCGAGCTTATAACTCAAACATATAATATAAGAGAAAAATATAAAAATGTTAACGTTTTGGCTTACCATGACGAGGGCTTTGATATTATCACGTGTGAGTTTCACGGCGTTCTTATTACCATTAGTTGGTGAATCCTCCTCGCTATAAAACGCAAGTAGATCATCCACCATATCGGTATCTTCGTCAGCGTTTACGGTTTCTCTCTTCTTCATATGCTCATCGATAACTTCATCAATGAATCCATCAAGATCGTTACGGGCCTTGACGAGCCTTTTGTTTATCCCTTGTAGATCGAACCAGCCTAGGAACGGTATGAAATCCGCGACGTTGAATGCACCGAATAGCTTCGAGAACTCTTGCAAGATCCTTATGAACTCGTCTTGTTCCGTCTCGCAGGCCGCACCAAACGCTGCTCGGTACGTTATGTTCCGTGTCAATGTGAAAATGAGCTCTCCAACGTTCACGGGCTTACCGACGTTGCTAGACAAAGACCGGACCATATTGTTTACTTCTTCTCGGACCGAGGCCCATGACTCTGCCCGTTTCCGGCTAAACACCTTCATGACGCACACTTTCCTCATTTGTCTCCAAAAGGGTCCGTAAGGAGCGAAGGCCATGTCGGCTAGGTCGTAGGTTAAGTAGTTTATGGCTATGGTCACGGGCCGGTTTGAGAAGCTAATGTCCTGGACTTGGAGGACTTGCCGAGCCACGTCGGGTGATGTGATGGCAAACACGTGGCGAAATCCCATTCGTAGGTGGAACAAACCGCCGTATGTTTTGGCTAGCTTGGCTAGACCATGGTGTGAGAGTTGGTCCATCATGAGCATGTTGCCAATTATGGGAAGGCCCTTTGGTCCGGGAGGGTAGAGCGGTTTACGGTATTGTGAGATGAGGAAGACTAGGACCAGAAGAGAGACAGTGATGAGAATAGCCGTCGTTTTGGCATCTATTGCTTGGGTTAGTGTTTGTGATAATAGAGACTCCATTGTTAGTTTGTCACTCAATTTATTTGAGATGATGTGAATGTGATTATTAAGGCAATTGCTACCTTTTATATCATAACTTTGGCCCCACTTACCGAATATTAGATCATCTAAAAAAAACCATCAAAAGAGTGGACTTTTTATAGAAACGAGTTGACCTTTGCAAAATGTTCGGTCATGTATACAAAACAAGTAATGCTGCACTAGATTCTATCGTAATTAATGATAAAAAAATAGGGAAAATATACTAATATTTACGTTTTAAATTTTTGATTTTGCTATTTCTTTTACGTTTGCATGTAATCACGGTTTTCAGAAGTGTATTATCGAACTAAAAAAATACAACCGAATGAAATACCCAAAATTACGAGTGAAAACATTTTCAACTTGTGCATTTAGTTTAGTTACTCAATAACGTTTTAAAGAAAATGCACAAAATTAAATATTTTAAATCAAATGTTACTTAAGAAATTACAATCCAATTTTCTCTTAGTACTATAGTACCTAACTCATGCATCATCCAAAAACTCATGGGATGATCAAGCAAAAGGAAACAGAGAAGCACACTTAGACTAGTGTAAAGGGCGTGCGTACAAGCTCTATTAATCAAGTAATTAATTGTTAGTTGAGTATTATATATTACATCATGACCTTATCTAGAGTGGCCAACTTCCTTGGCATGGTTTGGGCCCCTTTCTTCTACGCAAGTATGATAATTTGTTATTGGGCAACGACGACCGAGGGATCTATAGTGATCACCTTTACACCTACATTCTCTTCGATCTCTAACATCTATATGTATAATTAAAAATGGTACAAAAGAATAATGAACACCTGTTCATAGATATATACAAGTAGACTGGTATAAATATTAAACAGCCAACTCCTTGTTTGTAATAAGAAGGGGTATACTTTTTTATTAACAAATGATCCTACAAAAAGAGCATGGCTCATTTCCTCCAAGTTGTTGACATTCCTCTCTCGTACAACCAAATTTAGTTATAAAGGTGATAATATAAGTTGAATCAATTAGTCAAATCAAATAAATATTTATAAAAACAAAATTGCTTGCTAACATAAGTATGAAAAAATATAATAAACCAGTTTTCTTCCCACATGAGGACGACTTGCTAGATATATCGCCATGTTCAGGTCCAATCTATTGAAAATCTGAATAAGTGTGGGGTGGTTTAAATTAGGTATAGATTTTTATGGTCTGATAAAATAGTGATCTGGCCCGACTCTAGTCAATACTAGTGCATTTCTTCAAAAAAAAAAGGAGAGAAATTTTGTTGCTGTCAAATTTTCCATGGTATATTTTATATTGCCAAATGTCATTTTTTCTGTGATAATTTTAAAATAAATATAAACTTTGGTTTTGTCACACAAAATATCCTGACATTTCAGTATTTTCTTAACGTTTCCACCAAATACAGAAAATTTTCATGTTTGATCACTAGCAGCATCATCATCTCTATCAGTTTCTTTGAGTTTAAACCGCATAAACAATGAAAGTCAAGAACAAGGACCTTGCGCGTGAAGCACTCTTCTTGTAGTTTTTCTACAGCGACATCTCCTTTTTGTAGTCTTTTACTCCCATAAAATAAAAGAATGTAAAAAAGATGGTAGGTTTCATATGGGTAATGCATGTTCCTTTTGTTGCTCAATTTAATTATATGGTCTTAATATGGGTTTACAAGAGTATAAATAGGAAATGAATGGAGTTGCTTTTAGTTGAGTAAAATCTCACGATGGAGATATTGGTGAGAATTTCAAGCTTTGTGGTGTTCTTGTTAGTTTCTGGTGCTGTGTTGCTGTTTTTGAGCTCAAGCTCCGTTCACGGGCTGCGATATGGACCCGCGAGGAGATATTTTAATGATAGTGATCAATCTTCCGTTTTGGGATCCGACAAAACGTTTGAAAATGGAATGGTGAGTGCTCATAACAAAGCAAGAAGAATGCAAGAAGGTAACGTAGAAGAAGGAGGAGGAGGTTGCGGAAGCTGCAGAGGAAGAGAAAGACAAAGACAAAAAGAAAGAGAAAGAGAAAGAAAAAGAGAAAAAGAAAGAGAAAGAGACTGTGGAGGTTGTAGCGATGGAGGAGGAAGCTGTAGAGGTTGCAACGGAGGAGGAGGAAGTCCGGGAGATGGCGGAAGAGGAGGTCGTGGAGGCAGAGGTGGAGGAGGAGGTGGTAGTGGCGGAGGAGGAGGAGGAGGAGGAGGAGGAAATGGCAAAGGAGATGGAAAAGGCGAAGGGGATGGTAGTGGAGGAAATGAAGATTGCAATGACCATAAAAAGAAGAAAAGAGATGATAGAAATGACGATAATGTTGGTGTTGGTATTGGTATTGGCATTGGCGTAGGAGATGGCCCTAGTGGACCCGGAGGAGGTGGCGGTGGTGGAGGTGGAGGTGGAGGTGGCGGTGGTGGTGGAAATGGAGGTGGTGGGGTGGAGGTGGAGGTGGTGGTGGTGGAAATGGAGGGGTGGGAGATCTCTCTGGCCGTGGATGGGGAGGCGGTGGATATCAAGGGGCAGGTGGAGGAGGATGGGGCCGGGGAGGCCACGGAGGAGTATGGGGTCCCGGAAACAGCGGTGGTTGTTGGTTTCCCGGTTGTAATAAAAAGTTAACTAAAGGTCAAAACTAAGCATACATGTTAAAACTGATTTACACGTATTGAGTCTCATGGATGTGTTGAGTTTCAATATGGAATTCTTTCTTTAGTTATTGAGAGGCTGTTTGATGCTTATGATTGCATATTCTGATATTCAATAAAAATAAATGAACAGTTACAAAATACTTCTCTATTTTGAGAAAGACAAAGGTTACAAAAGAAACCCACCCTCAAAGAAGGCGAAAATGGTGAGAAATGGGAGACAATCTTAGTGTTAATTAGGTTGGTTTTGTGTTAAGTTAAGAGAAGGTAGGAACAGGTTGGCCACATTAAAAGAAACTTGAAATTACGATGACAAAGCAATATATAACAAGAATCAAGATCAGACCGTATATAAATGAAATGTTGGTTCATAATCATACTCAATTTGTAACAAATCTTTCAACATGTGAAACAATGAAAATAGTATCCACCACCACCTTTTTAATTCAAATACATAAGGCTTTCCATGTTCAGGATAATGTAAATCAGAAGCTAAAAGTTTTTTCTTATTTAGTTCAAAGACATAGACTTCCATGTTCAAAATTATGTAACTGAGAAGCTACAAGTTTCTTGCTATTTAGTTCATAGACATGTACTTCCATGTTCAGGGCTATAAGTTTCTTCCTGTTTATAAATACCCCTTAGTCATTTGCTAATAGCAACTTAACAAAGTTTCCTTTACTTAAATATATTTAAGAGAGATAGAGAGAAACGAATCAGTGATGGAAGCTATGAAGGAGATGGTTGAGAAAGACTTAGGAGAATTGAGAGAGACATTCGCGAGCAGGAGGACAAGAAGCATGAAGTGGAGGAAGAGACAGCTTAGTGCCATAATCGAGATGGTTAAAGACAAAGAAGATGAGATCTGCGAAGCTCTGTTTCAAGATCTTGGCAAACACTACACGGAGGCTTATAGAGATGAGCTTGGTATTGTCAAGAGATCAGCCACTACTGCTTTAAACTGTCTCGATCAATGGGTCCTCCCCAAAAAGGTATACATATACATACATAAATACAAATAAAGATTCGAGACAAAGAACTGTGCTTTCTCTAATTAGCTTTTGATTTTAACAGAGCAAACTTCCTCTGATGTATTTGCCAATTAAAGGGAAAGTGATCTCAGAACCACTAGGAACTGTTCTGATTTTTTCCAGCTGGAATTTCCCCATATGTATGATTTCAATCTTGAATTTGAAAAATGTTTTTTTCTTCTTAGACTAGAAACTTAACTAGTTTTTGGAACCAGCTCTGTCTTTAGATCCACTCATTGGAGCAATATCAGCAGGGAGTACCGTGATGCTCAAGCCTTCTGAGCTAAGCCCTAATTCTTCCTCTTTCCTCGCTAAGACGATCCCAACTTACTTAGACTCTAAAGCTATCAAAGTACTTGAAGGCGGGCCTGATATCGCCACAATCCTCTTGCAACATAAGTGGGACAAGATCTTCTTCACCGGTATCAATACCTCTCTATATTCACATTATAACAAAAACAACAAAAAACCATATATTCTGGATCTGATTCACGCAATTTTTTTTTGTTTAGGGAGCCAAAGGGTAGGACGGGTTGTGATGTCTGCAGCTGCACAGAATTTAACTCCAGTAACCTTGGAGCTTGGTGGAAAATGTCCGACCATTCTTGATGATAGATCCATCCCAAGGGATATCAAGGTTTTGTTCAAAATTTCTTTTTAGAATTGTAAGAATGTAAACATGGAGCCGTCTAATTTTAATAATTTTGGTGATGTAACAAATTATAAGACGGCTGTGACGAGGATCTCAGGAGGAAAGTGGGGATTTTGTAGTGGACAAGTTTGTATCGCTGTTGATTATCTTCTTGTCGAACAAAGATTCGCGTCTTCTCTGGTATGCAAATGCACACATTCATATGATCATGTTCTCAAGACTTACGCATATATTTTTGTTAAAAGATTTGAATCTTTGATGTGTTTTTCAGATTGATATGTTGAAGCAAAATATCAAATCGTTCTACGGTGAAAACCCTAAGGACTCTGGATGTATTTCGAAGATCGTGAACAAGAATCATTTCTTGAGACTGTCACGTTATCTAGATGATCCTCGTGTTAAAGCTTCCATGGTTCATGGCGGTTCCATAGACGAAGAGAAACTGTGATTAGACTTTTTGTTTTTCTGATTATTCACTAATTCAGTTTCTTGCTTCACACGAAATCTCAAACCATTACATATGCTTGTACAAGGTATATCGAGCCAACAATCTTGTTGGACCCTCCTCTTGATTCCGAGATCATGACTGAAGATATCTTCGGACCTATCCTTCCGATTATTACCGTAAGCAATTAGACTTAGTTTACAATTCGCATTTTCTTAATCCTTAATCAACTAATATATAATGTATTTGATTCGTGTATCAATTCAGTTACGTGATATCCAAGAAAGCGTAGAGTTCGTGAGGTCAAGACCAAAGCCACTTGCCCTTTACGTATTCACCAAAGACGACAACCTCAAAACCAGAATCTTGTCGGAAACATCCTCAGGAAGCGTCACGTTCAACGACGTAATGATCCAGGTATTTACATATATACATGTTTTTTTTTGTCGGCAATTTTCATTAAACCCATAAAAGGGTAAACTTCTACAAGTGGTTTTTCTGTTATAATTTACTAAAATTCTGTTCCAAATTTCATCTTACTCTTTCTTTAGTTTGTAATTGTTTAAACGATGTCAGAAATTTTTTGATCGAATTAAAGCAAATGCTACTTTTAAGATTGCATACCTAATTTCAAATGGGCATCCAAATTGCAATTACAAAACTAAAAATAGAAAAATGTTTTTATATTTACATCATACCTGGACACGGTCATGTACATAATATATTAATGTTGAAAAAATGCAGTCTGTTTGCGAAGCGTTACCATTTGGAGGAGTAGGAGAGAGTGGGATGGGAAGGTACCATGGGAGATACTCTTACGAATGTTTCAGCCACGAGAAAGTCGTCGTGGAAGGAAACTTAGCCGTGGAGTTAGAAGCTCGATATCCGCCATGGAACCCATACAAGCTTAGCTTCTTAAGGCTCGCTTTTGTTGAAGATCTCTTCGGTCTTGCCCTCCTTATGTTAAGGTTCTACGTCACTAGTCTCTTTAATTATGTTGTCAACAAATTATAAGCGAGAGACTAGAACTCTGTTATTTTATTTGGTTGTATGATATATTGTCCCATTATAGTCGGTAAATAAATACTGAACTAAAGTCCATATACTATTTGCTTGACCAAAAAAAAAAAGTCCATACTATTATCCTATAACTTTAGAGAAAGTCCCAATCTTTATTTTTTGTTGAATATCCATTGCTTTTTATTTTTCAACATATAGTCAACTTATTTTATTATTTTTGTTAAGGGACGAGCAAACTAAAGACGGAACAAACTCCCCTGTTACTTACTGGCTGCTTGTTTTGTACTGACAAATCTGACTATACCAATGTATTGCATGTATTAATCAGATATAAACAAAAAGCTCAAACTTCAACTAGGTCTCGCTAATTTCTTTTAGCACTATAGATCTTGTAAATGGTGACAAAAGTCTGTTTTTTTTTCATGTAAAAACTAAAAAGGCTTTGTATTTTGGCATAAAATATGCTCTGTTACTAAAAATAACTACTTGTGCCTCCAAGCTTCGAACGGCTCAAGGGCTACCAAAATAAATACAGTAGAAAATAAATACATCCGTACAAGTTTTACACGGTTATCGGAGTAGCCAATAACCATCAGCCTCATTTATTGGAATTTACTGTGATAGACCATCCCTAATCATGCATAGGCACGTTACACAATTTACATAAATTAAATCACGTGTCATGAGTTGTCTTTTTCATATTTAATTACCTATTTTTGTTTGTTCTTTGGAACACTATCACTAGATATTTGCAGAGTAGACATTCTTCTTTGCAGGGACGTGTATCTACGTATACCTGAACTTCCCCTCACATTTGCTGAATTGTTTTGGACTAAGTTTTTCCTGTCAACCATTTTGACATAAGTTTATACAATTTGTTCAGTATTAAAAAAAGACTATTCCTGATTGACCTTTTCTTTCCTGAAATTCATTTCCCCACATTCTAAAAATCGGCATCGTTCATCTTGAAACGGTACTAACAATTACTGAAAGTTGAAACGGTAAAAATCGGCATCCTTCATCTTGTGGGTATATATTTATAGTAATTAAATTTCCTATTTTTCTTTCCAAAACTAGGAAACCTAACCGGCAACAATCATCATAAATGTGCCCTTTTTTTAACCAAAATGTAGTTGAAGCACACTCTAAGCTCATTTTTATTTTATGATAAAGAAGCTCCAAGCTCAAATTGTAACGACTCATCAAGTTGTTTCGTTTGTTAATGATTATTGGATGGTCCTAATCTTTAATCAAAGTTTTTATAGATGTCTAACAAAACAAACACATTAAACAATAAAGAAATTAAGTGTACGTAATTAAGATCTTGGTGGGTTCTCGTAGAATTGTGTACCAGGCATAAACATGGTTTCTGGGCCTTGGTTATATAAAATTCCCTTAAAGACGTGACCAGCAATGCCCACCGTCGTCTGGTAAGCATATTGGCCATCTCCGTCATCGACACTGCTCATTCTAACGCACCGGAAAAGTGCATCTGAGCTCACTTCTTCTGGAAATGTTGTCTCTCCAATCTCTAGCCCTACAAAAGTTATACTAACTCAATTCAAAAACTTCACAGTATAACAGAAATCAAAACCCTAACAAAATCACAACATTGATTGCTTCAAACACAATTTTTTGTTGTTATACAACATTTAGTACTATTGATCTAATTTTATATGTAGCAAGAATGAAATATTTCAACCAAACCTGATGAGTCTATGGTAGTCGGTAAATTCCCACCTCCGCGGACACCGCCATTTCCATTGGATGGCGTCTGTATATGTTGCTGCCGTTCACGGCGTTTGGCGATGGGGATCCACGTGCTCCTCACGTGAGTAGGACAGTCGAGCCCTTGGCTCTTACAACAAGTTCTGCACCGCATGTGCGTGCACCCTTTCTTGGCTTGGTTTCCACAGTCTTGACAGCTTATGTTGACGGATCTTGAAGACGTGGTCAAATCACACACGTCGATTTGACCTGGATACAGATCGAGACTTTGCTGGTGCCACATATGCGGCTGATTGTGGCTCATGTTTGAGTAATTGGTGTTTTTGAACTCGTCTTTTGTTGATCGTCTTTTTGGTTGTTTCTTTGATGATGATCCTATCCCAGCGACTTCTAACTTTGACCTAGCTACTCCTCGAGCCCTAATCTTGAATTTACAATATCCATAACTTACAAAACCCAATTACCATGATTCCATGAAATCTTGAGCTTTAACACAATTCTGGCCGTGTCGCCTTGTTTCTTTCGATGCACTTACAAATTCAGTATCTCTCCGGAATAGAGTATTATCTTCACCAGGATGAGTAGTTGTGGTGACAATAGAGAGAGAGAGAGAAAAAAAAAAAGAGAATGTGACCATATAGCTAGCCACGTAGCATTGATTAACCGGAAAAGTCGGACATATGGTTGTGTGTCCATACGTAAGATACCTCATCTCATTCAACTTGCATTAATGTAATCGCATTTTTTTTTTTTTTGGTTTTATAATGTAATCGCATTGGTATTTCATATGGTAAAGAAAAGAAAACTAGAGTTCTTTTTCAACTAAAAGAAAATGAAACCTATCGTTTAAAAATCTATATATTCATAGTATAGACTACAGAGAATTAATTAGTGTTCTAGATACCATAGGATCCCTTTTTACACATGGTACCGTTTTAATAATTCAGAGTATTCAATAGATACCTAATAAAACACAGAAAAAAAAAGAGAGATAGATACCTAGATTTTCACCTAGTTTAAAATTCATTGATCAAATTCTTAGATGATGAATATCACAGATTCACAATTCACATGAAAATAATTCAAATTCGTTAAACTTTATCGGTTTCAAAAGTTTTACTTATGGAAGGTTAAAATGTTTGTCGTTTTCGTCAACATGCGGGTCAGCGTTCTAATGGGTTGTTCCTTATCCAAATGGGCCAACAAGTCTTAAACGGGAAATTGCATCCGTTGCATTGTGCTCTTATCTGTTAAATTTTATTTAGTTAAACATTAGTGTCTATACTGTATATCGCTGGCTAACTAACTTAGCTGGAAACTCCCAAAAAAATCTTAACAACATATTGAATTATAATTAACACTTTTCTCCAAAAATAAAAACATTTTGGACTATATTCTGATTTTTGAATCTTCTTGTTTAAATAATGGAGATCTAGTCGATCTATTTGTTAGGTTAAATATCCTACTAATATCCGAATTTTTTTAACAAACACAGATATTTATTGTCTGAGTTTATGAGAAGTTATACTGAACAGTTAATAAAACTGATGTACGACAACAGAGTGGAGGTTGGAATTATTTTTCATTAATATAATTGATCCAACACAATAATAGTAGATAAGAATTAGAAACAAAACAAAATAAAACGTACCAAAGTTCAAAGAACACTAAAAAAAAAACTAAAAGAGAGATAAAAATACATAAAGAAATTCAAAGCAAATCAGACGGAAACAGCCTCGTCCTCCTCCGGCAAGAAGTGTCGGTTCTTCACCCATAGAGAATCCGCGACCACAGGCTCGTTATCTTGGTTCCTATGCCAAGTGTAAAGGGCGTGAGTACGGTTCTTTATCTCTAGCATAGCGTGTCCAAAACTCGCCTCCCGGTACGCTGAGTAACTTGGTTGAGGATAAGTGAAACTGTATTGAAAAAGATAAAAAAAAATGGTTAGCAAAAAAAAAATAAATAAAAAAAAATCAAATGTTATATATCGTTATGTTTTTCTTACTCGTTAGCGATTCCTTCGATGTTGCCTCCATCTCCAATGGTGATGTAAATCGGAGCAGATGGATTTTTCACCGGATAACTTAAACCATCAGTGATATTGTACTTAATGTTGGAGACACGCTCTGATCGCTCGTAAGCATGAACATGACCAGCGAAGACGATATCGACTTTGTTTTCGACACACCATGGCTCGAACGTGACTCTCATGCTTTCACCTTCCATGTAGTGATAATTGTTGCTGTTGTACCACGGCGCGTGAACAAGAACAAAAAGCCATGGAGTCTCTTCTCTGTTCACTTTCTTGAGCTCACTCTCCAGCCACGAGTTTTGCGGTGTGTACTTGTCTATGAGGTGACGTGTAACACAAGAAAATCAATTAGATTCTATAATACAGACTTAAATATTGTAGAGTGAGAGAGTATTAGATCGTTACCAAAAGCTGAGTAAGATGAGAGTACGATGATGTAAGCGGAGGCTCGTTTGATTGAGTACCAAAGCGGAGAAGTGCTCTGCGATGCTTTGTAGGGAACGTTGTAACGATTCATGTATGGCTTGAAGGCCTGAGTCTCTCCCTGCGAACGGATGAAGTGATTTTAAGTTAAAACTTTTAACCCTAAACAAAACAAAGAAAGTAATTTTTTCTGATGGAAAGATATATAGAGGTCGGATCTTACTATGTTAGCATCGTAATCAATCTCATGGTTCCCTGCAGCCCAGATCCAAGGCTGATACGCAGCGCTCGGTTCCACAAATCGGCCGTACGAGTCCCATTTCCTTTGGTCGTGGTTCGGGTGGTCATCGGCGTATGACAAGTCTCCGACCATAAGCACCGCTTGACCTTTAGGGTTCGACATGTAATTGGCCAGTGTCTGGTTAGAGGCATAGGTTTGTCCCAAATCACCTTCAAAAATAACAAAGAGTCCATAAGATTAAAGCCTTAAACACTAAAATTTAATTATTGACATTATGAAAATATGTAGATTACCAATGATGCCGAATGTGTAAGGAACATCAGGACCGACTTTCGGAGGTGTCATGAAGTTGAATTGTCTAGTGGAACGACCGGATCCAAGCTCGTAGAAATACTTAGTATCGTACTGCACAAGGAAGTAAAAAAACAAAAGTTAATTCATTTAAGAGCCGTATTTAATTAAACAGATTTTATTAAGTTAGCAAACAAAGTAGAGAACATATACACATACGAACCTCAAGCCCTTTGATGGTGGCATGGTGAAGAAAACCAGAGGTGTAGTCAAAGTATCTGTAGGATGTCGTAGAGGCTTCAACGCTCAACTTTGTAGTTTCGTTAGTACCGGCGACCCAGTAATTGACGATGTTGGAACCATCATCGTTTACCGGTGTCACCCACGAGATTATCATAGCTCGACCGTTGTGATCACCTTGCGTTATATGAACCTAAAAAAAAACGAAAAATGAATGTTGGTAAGTCATAGTAAGTAACATAGATCTAAAACATCGATGTGATAAAGAGAGATTAAAAAAAAAATACTTGTTCAGGAGCGTTGTAGCCGGAAGGGGGAGGGAAGACTTCGAGTGCCATCTCTTCGGAAGGTTCAGCAACTCTGACGTAGCTGCTGGTGACTCCGGCATGGCTCACTACGGAAATGGTCAGAAACACAACGAGAGAGAAAAAGAGGGCTAAATGATTCAACTTCATATTGAATCTTTGTGGACTCTAAATATTGTGTGCTTGGATGAATTTAGCTAATGATGTGATCAGGTTTTATATAGAAGGTAAAAATGATAGGTATATTCCTAGTAAATTCTCGTTGAAAGATTTTGTTCCAAGTACGAAGAATAAAATCGTTGTAGAAAAATAATATTCTAGGATTTATTCAGGTTGTTTTGTTTATTAAGAAATATCTCCACGGATTTTGTGAAGATTACGATTTATAACAACAAAAATAAGCGACATTTTTTTTTCTAATAATTAATACCATTCTTTTGATTTTTATTTATTAATCAGTTCGAAATTTTTTATAATATTTTTTATCTTATTATTTAAAAACAAACAAAAATGATATCAAATCCCTTATAGACATATATTTTACCTTTCAGAACGTTCCGATAGTGTTGCTAATGGGTTCAACAGAGTTTCTTGTGGCCATTTAGAAAACGTAATTATATAAATGACCTTTTAATTATAGAGGCTTAATCATTTTAACTTACAAAATTTAAATTCTTGACTTACAAATGGAAATACACGCACATGCCAAAACAAATAACACAGTTACATAAAGATAAATTAATTCCCTCAAAAACATTTCGCATTTCTATTACACCCAATACTTTTTTTTGTCCAATATTACATTATCAAGAGTTAATCTTCCTGCAATTCTTCCTGATCTCACCATTCGAACCCGTCAAGGGAGAGATATTACCCATTTTGATCATCGATTCTGCAAACTGCTCGAAGAACTCTTCTTGATCATCTGCATACTTCTTCACGAGCTCCATCGATTGCTCGTTGCTAGAGAACAAGACCTGGTCGGAACTCAACAGTCCCATGTTCTCGATCAAGTTCTGAAAGTAGCTGTTATCAAACCTCCCGGCACTATTGATGTCCAGCTCCGACAGGATCTGGTCACCACCCGATCTAGGGCACCTTTGGCGCAAGTTAGCAGCGTAGGATTGCTCTAAGGTGGAGTCGGGGCTACCGTTTCCGGACTGGTTGTAAAGCCTCTGTCTGAAACTCGTGCATCTTGAGAATCCGATGGTGTGGCTCCCTGAAAATCAATTTCAATAGGTTTAGGGTTTATTTATAACTTGAGAAGAAAGTAAAGAAAATATGACCATGCATGTCTTTTCCTTGTATGGGAAGTAAGCTTACCGGAGAGTGCAACGAGGTCGGTGAGATCAAGACCTTGACTGGTAAATCTGGTGAGAATTGTGTTGAAGGTGTTGTTCGGTGCAGGAATGTTGTTGTTTGAGCCACTCAAGCTTGCACTTGTCGAATCTCTTCTTCCCAAAGGAACCATCCAGCCTGGTCCACCAGTCTAAACTCAAACCGAAAAGAAATTAGATCTTGAGAATCTAAGAAAGCAGTAAAGAGAGAATATTAGAATAATGAAGACACATACAAGAACAGAGGAGTCTCTAGCGGCTAGAGTTAAGGCGTCAGCGCAAGAAACAACGTTAGGGCATTCATTCTCCAATGCAGATTTGATCTGGTCAACAACATCAAACCCGCGAGCCGAGTTGCTGTTAGGGTTAGAGTTCTTCTCAGTAACTATACTCCCACTGCTGTCTAGAAGCAACGATCCATCACAACCCTACATATTACAAACCGATATAATGATGATTCTCATAACTAGTCGTTAGCTTGTTTAGCAAGTAACTTAAAGAAGAAAAAAAAGAAACTCTCGACTACCTGAACGAAGCAGTCGTGAAAATGGAGCCTCATGAGAGAAGCAGCCATACGAGTCTCTCTTGCAATAGCTTGGGCTACAACTGACCTCACAATTTCCTCGGCTCTAGGGCACGAGCTTCTGTAAAAACCTGGGAAAAGGTTCCCTCTATCGCCACCATAATTACTCTCGTCCTCGCAGATGCAAAGAGTAAAAAAGCAAGCGAGAGAAAGAAGAACGAAAAAGCTTCCGATTCTTGCCATTGTCAATTTTCGCTAGATCAAAAAATATGAAAGGAGATGAATTTGTGAGGATATGAGATATGGAGAAGGAGAAGAAGAAGCGAAGGTATTTATAGGCAAGTGAGTTCGTGGAAATTTTGGTGTCATGGAGAGGAAGAAGCAAAGGCAATAGAGTTGGTAGCTTGATTGGAGTTAAATTAGTCAAGAGCAATATTTTTAAAATGAAATATATTGAAAAAGTGGTTTGAATTTAAGGAGACTAAATCTTGGGTTTGGTATCCAAATGTCCCAATCTTGCATGAATTGTCTGACTTATTCACCCCCTTTTTTGTTATTAATAGTTTTTAATTATTATTTTTTTTACTGTTTACAAAGTTAAAAACTACCACAATGCATGATAGCATGCAGAAGTTTGAAGTAGTAACTAGAAAGGTACCTTTATTTACTTAAAAAGAGTGAATCTTTGGTGTTGAAGAGAAAAGAGAGTGATATATATAGGGCGTTTTAACCAACGAAACCTAACGTATAATTTGATCACCAATTGCTCAAGTTTTAGAAAACAAAATAAAATAGTTAAGCTAAATAACGAGACAGATCCAATGCATATATGCAATGATATGAAAATGTACAGTCCCGTTCAAATAAGAAAATGAATAGAGACGAAAAAATTGTTGAACTGAAAATGAAAAAAAAAAATATTACACCAAAAATTCGAGCACCATTTTGAAATTAAATATTAGATATATGGTGACAAAGCACGCGGCAATCTTAAACGCGTTTAATTAGATAGTACTTAACCAACCTAACTATTGTAAAAGCGTTCTATAGTATACTTGGTCGTGATTTAAGGTCTCAGAAGTCTTCTTTTGTGTTATATAATAACTAAAATACACAAATTAGTATGAACAGTTCGTAACTGCTCTCTTGACAAAAAAAGCACAACAAGCAATATCCCTCAAAGTTTCACATGTTACGTTTGTTGACTTATAGGCAAGAAAGGGAAAGGGGCTTTGTCCTTTATCTAACATAAGACATGGATATGCAGGTAAAAAGCAATCTCAAGGGTGAAGAAAACTATGAACATGTCAACGTGATTTACGATTCATACTTGCAATGAGCTTTGACCCTTGACATCGTCTCCTTCTAGAAACTAGTCAGTGAACAAGAAACAAAATCAAAAAAATAACTCTTACAAAGAGATATGTACTTGAATTGAACCGCGTTATGTTTTCTACAGAACCGTGTCAAGAAACAAAAGAGCATAAACAAGTGTAAAAAAAAAGGCTCTTGATATATGAAAAATATAGTTTTAGGCATAAAATATCAATAAGAGTGAAAGTAGCACTAATCTTTTTTAAGCAAATTTGAAATTTTAAAACCCATAACTTTCAAAATAAAATTAACTTCAGAGATTTAATGGTTGTACATTGAACAAACTTTCACATTCAGCACAATGAAATTGGAGAAGCGATGGACCGAAAAAACTTGAGAAACGGGTCAGGAATAACTAACGCTTTGAAACTTAAAGGTGCTTAGACAATTAAGCTTAACTATAACAATATGGGCCAAATTAAGGAACAATTACAAAATATGTATAATTTTATTTATAATTCAGTTGCAAGTTGCAACTATAAAACCGAAAAAACTTGAGAAACGGGTCAGGAATAACTAACGCTTTGAAACTTAAAGGTGCTTAGACAATTAAGCTTAACTATAACAATATGGGCCAAATTAAGGAACAATTACAAAATATGTATAATTTTATTTATAATTTAGTTGCAAGTTGCAACTATAAATGGACTTCATTTGAGTATCTGAGCCATTTGAGAATGTACATTGTTTCAAATGGATAGTTTTGCATTAGTAAAGTCCATTGGATAGTTGCAACTATAAATGGACTTCAAAATTATTTCTAGAGAGAGTGTAAATGAATCAACAAAGTTACAAAGGTATAGTGAATGACCCAAGAGTAACTCTTGCCTAGACACCATGAGCGATGGTAAGGAACTCATGATGGCTCCACTTACCTCTTGACTTGGCTCAATGAAAAGTTCCGAAAATCTGCGTGCGACCTGAAGTTTGTACAAAAAGTTCGTGGAAAGGGGTAATATGCATTTGCGAGTGATATAAAACTTCAAAACTACAGTGAAACAATATTGCCTTCTGTTTGTTACTTAACTTTGTTAGCACAACTTTCGATTTATTTATTTTATATATTCTTTTTGGTAAACAAGTTTCGATTTGTTCCATAGAATTGGTCCTATTTTCGGTGAACTACACGAAGTTTTCCGAGTTTGAACTATATTTCAAGAAGGTTTAAAATCAGGACGAACGATAGTGGGTTTTTTTTATGTATGTGTATATTCAATGAATAGGATGAAAAATTCGAACTCAAACTGTTATACACATGCACTCACATGTGTGCGCACCACTACACAAATATAATTCTTTTTCCCCGGTAAAACACATTTATACATCTTTAACGAAAGAAACAAAAGAAAAACACATTATAGATAGTCATACACTCATACTCATACCTAATAATTGTCTCATGTCATGTACGAAAAATAATAGCCCATCGTTAGTGATGAGATCATTTCTTTTCTATTATATCTATTTCAAATCAAACAAATCGGAAGAAACAGCCAATGATTTTGAACAAGTGTGTAGGTTCACATATACGAGAAGAATACGACAGCCAGTAGTGCGATTATCTTTTCTTTTTTCTTTTTGTTTGAAGTTTATACTTCGTTTTCATAATTATTAATAGGCGGGTGCCTGTGAGCAACATAAAGTTTTTTCTTTTTTTGTCGCCAACAGAAATAAAGTTAACATTCAAATCGTAAAGACACAAGTCCAACTTTTTATATTCATAGTAGAATTAAAAAGGAAAAAAGGTGACAGATAAAACCTGTCCCGTATTCAGTATTCACTCACAACATGACAAGTAATACAACTACACAATAAATTCCGCAGGATGCAAAAAGAAAAGAAAGATGCCAAAGCAATTAAACGAAATGGACGTTAAATGTTTGGTTGGCCACATATGTACAAGAACAAATAGAAAATCTTCAAGATAGCACATTATAAAAATGTTTTTTCGTTTGTACTTTGTACATTAAACCTTAATATTGGCATTATATTTCCTTTAAACAAATTCATTTAATTATGTCAATTCATGTCCTTTTGTATGAATGATAATTTTCAGAAAAAAAAAATACTTAGCTAAATAGGGTTTTACTGATTTCTAGATAATTAAGATACACCAAATATTTTTTTCTCTATATTTGTTGGGTTTTTTTTTTGACGTCTTATTTGTTGGATTAAAGTGAAAAAATCTCTAAATTTTTATTAACATAATCATTATTGAAAATCTTCAGCTTATATTCAAACAAATTCTTGGATAAAAAGTAGATGAAAACTTGGTTTGAAAAGTTACATAAGAAATGTTAAACAATGTACTCTACCCAAAACATAATAGAGGGAAGCATATAAGACTAACAATTGGAATAATAGGGGGAAGACAAAATGATGATAACATAATCATATCAATTATAGAATTTGAAATTTATATATTGATTAACAACCAAGCACACACCAATACATGACAAAGGACAACCCCATATATATGCCCCAATATATATAAGTTTATTAATCCTTCCAACCAATCAAAGATGCATGTACTATAATTACATCTCCACACCAACACAAAAAGCTAAACTTCAAAAAAGAAAAAAAAAGCAACAAAAAAAAGGGGGCAATAATACTAATTATTATAATTAATCTTAATTTAATACATATTCATATCATTAGCCATGATGGGTTGGTTAGTGTAAACCGAACCACCCCAAGGATTAACGCCACTCATCATATCTTCGTAATATCCGTCGCTATTAATCCCAACCGTACGATCATCGAATCCACAGCCGTCGATCTGGTCGACTCCACCGAATCCTGCACCGTTCGTCGTCGTCACGAGATCGACGATCTCGTTCAACGACTCGAGTCTGGTGCTAAGCTCAGCCATTTGAGCGGTCAAAACGGAGTTCTCGGCTTGGATCTTCATGTAAAGCTGAGACGTGACGGTGAGGCTCGTCAAGATCTGACGGTTGTCGGTCGTGAGCTGATTGATCTGAGCCGATAGATCGTCGACGTGTTTCTGTTTACGCATCCTGGATCTACGCGCAGATTCGCGATTCGAGAGCATTCTCTTACGCTTTCTCTCGTCGACGGTGACGGTGGAATCCGATGGATTATTACCACCGTCGGAGGAGCTAGAGCTCCGGTATGTGCTGCTAGATGACGCCATTAATTCCGGCCGCAAAAAAGTGAAATTAAAAGAGCAAAAAAAAGGACAGATCTTTTGTGGTTTTTTAGTTTTAATTCGTCTGAAAAATGATTAATTTAAGGATTAGATTTGAAGTGATTCAGCAATTCATGAAACGTTGTAAAACCAGTAGAGGAAGACGACGGAGAAAGATTGAACGAGATGGGTTCTACGGCGGAGAGCAGATTTAACCGTGAGCCCAGAGAGCAGGATTTCGCAGAGAACCGGAGTCATCAGTTTCCGATCATCAAATTCTCAGTTTTTATGTTTTTTTTCTTCGGGGAGGTTCTGTCTGAAATTTTTATGTGAAAACAGAGGAACAGAGAAACAGAGGAGGAATATTGTTGTTATGAATTTGTTGTGGAGAAGGAGAAACAGAGAGGAGATAATATAACAAAAAACAGAGAGGAAGATTTTTGGAGATAAGGAAGAGAGGATGTGTGAAGGGGAAAGAGGTTTTTGATGAAGGGTTTGTTGTGGATTATATAGAAATCAAATCTCAAGCATCCACTTGATCGTTTTTAATTTGTTTCTTTTATTTATTTTTGAATGAAATAATGGATGGTGGAAGCGTTACTACGCCCATTGTTTTATCATTTTATATATAAAAAAAATGATTTTTAAATTTAAAAATCTGTAGGTGGGTGTACTTTGCTTTTTTTTTGTTTTCATTATCAGTGATGGTATTTTGCCTTTTTGATCTTAAAGACTGTATTTTTTAAGAGATTAGTGTTAATGGGTAAGTCTGAATTTGTGTGGTGTAGTTAATGATGGACGAATAGGTGAGTAAAAGTTGACCAGATTTCAGTATAAAAATAGAGATAGTCAAGGTCTTGAAAATTGCATTTTTGGAAAATTGCAGAAAATCTTTGAATATTTGTTACCATGGTTTTGAATATTTTGATATATTATGTTGAATTAAAGTGATACTTATAAATAGTAGTAATAAATACTAGGTGTGAAAAGGTTGATAATAGAGGCTACTTAAGCATAGTAAAAGAATTGTTGATTGCAATATACTATGGGGTTCTTTGCAAAATACCTTGTTTAGGTTTTAATATTTGAAAAATACCCTAATTTTTTTTGGTTTTGAAAACTACATTTTTTAATATCTAAAATACTTTTTTGACTTTATTTAAACAAAGCAATAATAGATAATTAATTTAAAATTAAATTCGAAATTAAACTTGTACTAATATAAAATAAAGAAAATCGTTTTAAAATTGATCTTTAACAACATTTAATTAATTTTGTAGTCTTATATAAACTAGTTTAATATCATACATATAATTTATGTTTCATCAAACTATTTGAGCAATAAACAAGCTATGAACTTGACAGTCTATCGATAATAATGTGGTTTTAGTTTCTTATGTACATGTATTTTATAATGGTCAATTTTGTGCTTATGATGGTGTTCTCCTCATTAACAAAATATTACTACATGTTCTTGTAGCTTCTGCAGTTGAATAGTCTACACCAAAGAAGAAAATATGAAATTGTGTACAGAAATACTAAATAATAGTTTAAAAAAAAAAAAGAATAGCAGATAATGAGGAATATTTATCAGTTTGAAATGAAACAAATCATATACTATTGTGTGGATTTATGGAACTAAACATAATATTGTGTCATTTTATTAATTTTAAATTCAATCTTGTTTTTTTTAAAAATAATAAATTCAAACTTGAATATAACACTATAAATGATTTTGAATTCACTTTTGTATTTTGTTGGTTTGTACTTTGTACTAATGTTATGACGACTAGACTACTATCATTTTTTAAATAGTTTCACCTCGTACCCACAAATTTTAGGGGAAATTTTAAAACTACACCTTTTGAGGTGTAAATTTTCAAAAATACACCTCTATGGTGCCAATTTTCAAAACTACACTTTTTTCATTTAGTAAAAGAACTCTAAATCCTAAAATATAAATCCAAAACCCTAAAATCTAACATTGAACCCTTAAATCTGAACCCTAAACCCCAAAATTTAAACCCTAATATAGGATTAGTGAACCCAAACATATATATTAAAATTGGGGAAAGTTGTATTTTTGAAAATTTCCACATTATAGATGTAGTTTTGAAAATTTGCATCTCAAGAGGTGTATTTCATAAAATTTCTCCAACTTTTAGTTACCGTTGGTAGTTAATCATTCACCAAATAGGCTACTACGTGCACGACGCCGTTTTTGACGGAATCTCTTTTATAGATCTGCACCGTAAGAAACCACGTGCTTTGCGCAATACATGTTCTCAATGATCGGCTCTTAATATACTTCAAAGCTCATATTAAATAAATAAACCAAAGTAATTGTTTGGCAAAGAGAAATGAAAAAGAGTATTTTAAAAACAATATAAAGGTGATTAACACTTAACCTCTAAGCAGAGGCAGGGGACAATAATCACATGGGTCCATAGCTCATCTCTTCTGGAACTTCATCACAATTTTTTAATTGTGTAAACTATTATTAATCTATAAAATATCAGTCCCTAATCTGTTATGAATATGACGACTACTTGGCGCATCAGGGTTAGGTGAAATCCATATTAACAGTATATCTCTAATAATTTTATTTAGAACGATATGTAAGTTATTCAATAAATTAAATGAAATGGATTATTCTAAAATACCACAAAACTTATTTTCCTAAGTTATCAAGCTTATTTTAGAAAGTCTACATATATATTTAGGAAAGCTTTATAAATTTATAAATTCTTTTTAAATATTTTTGCATCCTTTTTTTGACAGCAATATTTTTGGTATCTTTAGAAAAAAATGTCATGTAATCTAATTCTCCACCATGTATTGAGGATTCTTTCTTTGCCAAGAATTGTACTATCTAATATCTTCTTTTTTAATTTCAAAATTATGTATGTTGCTTTTACGAATGACGTCCCGGTTTACGTATCAATATATTAACTTTATATGTATAACATAATGTATATTAAAAGATAATGAGGAAAGGAAATGCAAAGTTAGGTTGCAGGGGGCCATCAAAATATGGTATACTCTTACTTAGCTTCTTTTTTTTGTTTGTTCGCCTGTTTTTTTATATTATTTGTCAATGTACAACCAGCATCAACTTTAAAAATTCGTGATAATTTTAAAGTATATGCACTGTCATGTTAATATGTGTAATAAACACAATCTAATATTTGAAATGATCGACGAGAAAATTTTACCCTTTAAGCGACTCGAAACCGTTTTTAGGAGAATAGTCAAATGCAAACCAAATTACCTGGAAACACAAAAGATTTATTAACACAAAACTAGTCCAGTACATAAAATTGATATTAAAAAATGTACAAATTGGGCTGCTAATATGAGTCACAAAGAGGTTGGCTCCAACTTTGAGAAAGAAAATAGTATAGTGGAAAGATGAGGAGAAAAGTAACTGTTTATAAATTAGAAAATAAAGTCACTGCATGCAACCACAGCCCATATAGGTCAGACCTTAAATTGGACCATTCTTTTTTCTATTTTTTTTGTTCACAATTAGTTAAAATTGGTACGAAAGAGATGTCGAATAGAATTTAATTTCACTTTAATGTGAAATATTATTATATAAATAACTCAATGATGTAACTGATGAGGAATATTCCCAAACAACGATTGTTTTATATTCATTGAACCTCTTTACAAAAGTTTAAACATGTATAATGGACAAATCAATGAGGTCACTTATCATATGATTATTGTATTTGATTATGTTATAAATGACTTATAAGTCAGCATTTTCGGCAAATCAATAATTCCTTTTTGAAAGCCTAACTATTTTGGTTGTCTCGAGCCAAAATGAAAAGTGATATTTTGTAAATTTATAGCTTAAGCGATGATACTATGTAAATTTATAAGAATCAAAACTAAGATAAAAAATCGAAAGCAAATTATATTATCAGCTATGTGAAACAAATGAGTTGGATACCAATAGCGTTTACTATAAAAAGATTGTTTTGGCTGCTTTGAATATTATTATCTGTAAAGAAACATTTTAATTTTCGTGATTGGTTTATATCTAAACGAATATACGAAGATACATTAAAATTAATATAAGTGTCAAGCGTGAGCGTGAGTTTCTCGATGGCTTGAATCGTATGCTCGGTCTGGGAAACTCATGGAAGATCAAGAAACAAATATGGAAAAACTGAATAAGATCATCTTTCAAATTGCACAGTGACTACTATTATAGCAAACTAAAGACAGAGATCACAGTACCCGATCTTTTATAAGCTGATTACAGAAAAGTATGGTTTCAAATAGGCGAGGACTATAATTAAAATATAACACCGCAAACACAAACAAAGAGCCTACTTCAGCACTAAGCAAAGCCTCTTTCATTCTTTCAAAGAAGCAAAAATAGCTTTATTTTACTTCTGTTCAAGAATATTTTGTAAAAGATTATACAGGTCATGTGCTCTGTTAAAAGTGATTTGATTCTTTCCATCTTTAAAAAGGTGAAAAAACCCACACGGTCGTTGCCAAATGATTCTACTACGTGCTGGCAGAAGAAATTGATTTTGTTATGTTACTTGAAACTCAAGATCGAAACATTTGACTATTTCAAAATATTTGAAAACTATATTTCAAACTGAGGTTTATTAGATTGGATTGGATGCTTTCATTATTTCAAAGTCTAAATGAAATCTTATGTTACTCAATCACTGATTTCGAGATTCTAATTAAAATCTTATGGCATTCACTCATTCATTTTGAAGTTTAAGATGAAATCATGTGTTATTCAATTAATAATTCTAAAGCATGAGATACGTTAATCCTTTAACAAAAAAAAGCATGAGATACGTACTTTACCAAATTAGAAAGACAAAACTTATCTAGAACCTTTTTTGAGTTTACTGCACATAAATATTTTTTTATGTCGGTAGCCAGCACGAGTTTACTAGTCAAAATACTAAGGACTTCAACTGGTAACAAAAAATGAGTTTACCAACTAATAGATGGGTCCAATTTCGAGATCCTTTTCCTTTTCTTAATTAATTTTCAAAGCTAATGGGCCACAAATTTTGTGCTGTGCTTGGGGGCCAGTCACCATATCTTATTATTCCATTCATTTATAGTTATGAAAATCATATTTATTTTTTCTGACCAGAAAACCAAAAACATTGTATATACAATTTTTTCAATAGTTTTTGATATTTTTTTTCTTACAAATTTCACCTGAGAGAAATTTTAGTAGTTTTCTGATTTTATATGCTTATCTTTAGGAATGGATATATAGGAAATAGATGTATGCAAAAAATCTAGTTTTCATATTGAAAATTTCAAATTTCTAAACAGAGAGCTCTTTCTTAAATCAAAATTTGCAACACTCTGTGACACATTTTCCAATTTCCAAATCTAGTTGATTTGAGACATGTTGGGCCAGCTTTGTAAAGGTAGAACAAACAACAAAGACTCAAAAACAGAGAAAAGTACAATTGGATACTCAATACTTTTATAGTATCAGAGAGTATCTAAATATGTGGCTACCAAGCAACAAGTGCAAAGATTTTGTCTTTTTAACAAGAACTTGGTCTGAAAATCTGAAGTGAACAGCTCAAAAGATAATGAAGAAGAAACAAGCCTTAAACTTACTTATTAAACAAACACAGAGCCTCGCACAGTTCACATTTACAAAGTAGAAAAGAGATACTAAGAAGAAGCTCTTCAAACTCTGTTTCTATACTCACTCACTCACTCACTCACTGCAACTAAATAAACAGGCGATATCAAAGCACCACATAAAAGCTGCGTTTTAGAAAGAAAAGAAACTGGAAAAAAAAGTCTTACTCTTTGTTGTTGTTGTTGATGATGATGATGATCAAGCGTTTGCGGTTTCAGCTTCAGGGTGGTAATAAAGCATCTCCTCCCACATCATCTCTCTGATTATTCGTTCCTCCATGTTATCATCAATGTCAAGAGAGATCGGAACATGAGCAGGCGGGTTTGATCCAGGATCAAACAATCCCGCCATGTACGGGTGCAAGAGCGCATCAGTCACAGAGATCCTCTTCGTTGGATCAAACACAAGCATCCTCTGGAGCAAATCTATAGCCAAAGGATTGGCCTGTGGATAGAGACTAGAGAGATGAGTTCCTCTTGAGAAAGGAAGAGACTTTATGAATCTTCTCGCTTTCGGATTGTCTATAAACCGAATATCCGATTCTTGCTGGCTGCCAACGACATTGATGATCAGTTTAAGCTGATTCAAGCATTCTGTTCCAGGGAAGATCGGTTTCCGACCAAGAATCTCTGCGAATATGCATCCGACAGACCAGACATCAATGGAGGTTCCATAGTTATCACAGCAGAGAAGAAGCTCCGGTGCTCTGTACCAACGTGTAACCACATACTCCGTCATGAACTGTTCATTGCCTCTGCTCGTCCTCGCCAACCCGAAATCGCATATCTTGAGATCGCAGTTCGCGTTCACTAAGAGGTTCCCTGGCTTCAAATCCCGGTGAAGGATGTTTGCAGAGTGAAGATACTTCAATCCTCTAAGCAACTAAACAAGAACAAGAAACAGAATGTCAAGAACTAACCGATAATGCTCGAAATCTAGAGTTAAGATTTTGTACCTGAAACAAGAAGTATTTGGAGTGATCATCAGAGAGAGACTGAGAGGATTTGATGATCTGATGAAGATCGGTATCCATCAGCTCGTAAACCAAGTAAACATCTTTGAAGCTGGATCGATTCGAAGGCAACATAACATCTTTAAGCGCGATCACATTGTCGTGCCTCACATGCCTAAGAAGTTTGAGCTCTCTCAGCGTCCTCAAGGCATCGACACGATTCTCAAACACATTGTGGATCTTTTTGATGGCGACTCTCTCGTTGGTCTCTCGGTTGATCGATGAACAGACCACGCCATAAGCTCCTCTTCCGATTGGTTTGATCGGAACGTACTTCGTGTCGATTTCGAACAATGTTTGCCACATCGTGTAGTAATGTTTCCCTTCTTGTTTGATCCCGTTTGGTGGCTCAACTAACATCGCCATTTCTTCTGCTGAATCAATAACAAAAAAAAAACTCAGAATTGGGGAAATCTGTAAAAAGGGTTTAGAGGGATTCTCGAAATTTTGGGGATTTAACGAATCATTGAAGCTTTTTTCTTCTTTACGTTATTGAAAAAAGGGGAAAAAATCAATCCTTTTTATCCTTTCCTTTACTTAGCTATCAATCTTACTACTCCAAAAAAAAAAAAGGCAAACTTTCGGCGTAATCATAATTCAAAACTCTTTTCTCAAAATTAAGACAAGATTCGAAGTTAAAACAAGCTGAATCATGTAAAGAACAAACAAAGTTGGAAGATTTCGACATACCCAAACTGTAATTACAGAAGCCGAGTCGTTGTTGCTGTGTGTTGGGTGTGTCTGCTTGTATTGATGATCAGAGAAAGAAGAGAAGAGTATGATTGGATCTGAATTGAGATTGCTTCTTCATAGTTATCGAGAAGATATATAAGAGAGAGAGAGAAAGTTAGGAAGTGGTGAGACCCATACGGGAATGTCAAGAGAAAGAGGAAGAAGAGGAAGCAATACGTTGTTTTTGATGAAGAAGCTTTTCTTACTTCTTTTTCTTTTTTCGGACAAAACAGAAAATAAATTAAAATTGTTATTTGTCTTTGGAAAGTCTGCTAATTACGAAAACGACATTCTTTTGTAAGATATTTTGTTTCTCCTTCTTCAATTAAAAAACTTCAGTTACAAACTAGATAATTGTAGATAAATATCTGAAAAAGTTACTTGGACTCTCCGTATTACAGAGATCAAGATATATTTATGAGAATTAAAGTAGATAATAATTGCATTAGATTATTCACTTATTGGAGTATTGATTTTGTAATTAATAAGAAGCATAACTGCATAAGATTTGTTAGCATTATACTATAATTAATTGATATATATACGTACAAGGAAGAGCGAACGATTTAGATGGATTAAGTAAGTAACCGGCTAAGCACGTGGGTGCAGTGAAATCAGACACGTGTCTAACGTAGATTGGCAGCAACGTCTTTTGTGTTCGAAGTTTCCACTGAAAGCCGGTGTAGTTTAAACCCAACTCAAAAGCCTTAAAAGTGGCGTCAAGTACAACAACTCTTTGGATACACCTTCTGTTTCTGTCGGAGGCTTTCAAAAAGAAGATTGAATAAAAAGATAAAGTGTGGCTGCTGGGATTCGAGCCCAGGTCTCCACGGCCACAACGTGGAATTCTCACCACTAAACTACAGCCACTTTTGTTGATTTTGTGTTTCACTCTTTGTGGGTTGAGCAGGATGAAGACTTCACAAAATCATTGAAATCAGAGGATAAACTTATATAACTTTAAAAATTAGCAAAAGCTATGGCAGATGTATCAGTCAATAGTATTGTTCGTTTTTGTAATTTTCATAAGAAACTTTGATATCTTTATATATCTGTTCTTGGCTTATTTTGTTGCTACTGATATTATATGACAACAATTCAGCTGATTTTGGATTTGACGAAATTTCAGTTTGAGTATTGTTTAAGATAATCATATTCGCAACGAAGGTATACCACTCAAATGTCAATATATTTAACATAAATAACACACCTGAAATGTAAATATATATAGTAATTAACCTAATGATGAATTTTTAAATAAAAAAATTCAAATTAGCAGATTTTGATATTAAATATTATTGATAGTGTTGATAAAGAAAAAAAAAGTACTAATTAGATTATATTTTAGTAGTAATGATTTTTTTTATCATAGTTTAGTGAGAAATTTTATGAAATTTTAGGGTTTAGGCGTTTAGAGTTATTTTAATCAATGAAAAAAGTGTAGTTTTGAAAATAGACATCATAGAGGTGTATTTTTGAAAATTGACACCTCAAAAGGTGTAGTTTTGAAATTTCCCCTAGTTTAGTAGCCAAACATTATATATATATATATATATATATAAATTTTAATAATCTAAATCTAAATCTGATATGGCTATATAATTTTAGTTTATTTAATTAATAGGATAAATGTAGAAATCATCTGAAATACTTTGAATTAATACCTAACAAAATGAGTAATTCTCAATTTCATTTCATGCAATATAATTAACATGTAAAACAAAAATTGGTTTCTAATAGGTTTTTTATTTTTATTTTAATAGTATAGATACAACTTGTGAACAAATATCATTATTATCATATTTTAAAAAAAAGACAGACATGGATTATAATGCACTACATATTTACAAAAATAAACGTCACAATGGGATTTCACTAATTTTGGCTCTACAAATACATTTATGAAAAAAAAATATATTAAAATATCTCAAAATAGGATCTCGATTCACTTTAAGTCTTTAACGTAATATTTTTTTCATAAGCTCAAGATACAATTATGAAAAAAATAGTAAAAGATCTCAAATTAGGATATGATTTTAAATTTATTTTTAAATGAATTACTCAATTTAAAATCAACTACTTTTTGTTATATGCAAAAAGTCAAAAGTAACTAAGACAGAATCCAGAGAAAATCAAGTATAGACTGTATAGTATCACCAATTAAGCAGAAGTCATTAATTTCATGTGTATATATATACATATAAACTTGTTAATGAATATATATAATTTTCCATTCACAAAAAAAAAACTTAAGAATGAGTATGAAGAAATGCATTGTATTGATGATGGTGGTGACAGTAGTAATGGCGTCTATGATAGGAAGAATCAGCTAGAGGCTCTCATAGAGAATGTTCTTGTCGCTATAGAAAAACAGAAGAAGGGATCACTCACCTTCATGATATCTGGATTGTTCCATGGCCCTTTGTCTGATCGCATGCAGCCACCATTGTCAGCACAGGTGCAAGAACCTCCCAGAAACTCAGGTAGCTCACTAGTACAAAGAAGAAAAAACAAACTCAGTCCTCAATAGCATATTACAGAGAAAGAGTATCTTTTGGGAGCTTACCTAGCATCAATTATTTCAAGCAACTTGCTTTGGTACTTGTTGCCAAGAACCTGATTATCATCAAATAAGCTAATTTGTTAAAATATGTTTCCACTCAGAACACCCAAAAGAGATAACAAAAAGGGTTTTAGATACATGCATTAATCTTTGCAGTAGTCTTTGGGTCAAGAAAGGACTTAACAGTGCTCCACAACATCCTGAATCCTGAGCCAGCATTGATGATAAACATCCTGTTCAAGCTCTGACCACATGACAGAGGAAAAAATGAGAACGAGCAAGAATCATTATTCATGAAAGATAGACCAAAGATGATAATTAATATAAACTGCACCTCTGGATAGTTGTCTCCATCGACCTTTTGAAGACGAGTAACCAAATCCCTAGCTGACTTGTTGAAGTTTTTGAGCCCCTGTTATAACCAATTGATCATGTGTGTGTATGAGTTATATATAATAATGTTTGGATAATACTTTCTATACATTACTATTGATGTTTGCGTTGAACACACGTAAATTCTTTATTACATACCACTCCTTGGACATCAAGAATAGTGGTACTTTGATCAATGTGCTTCTTAGCTGCGATGGAGCATGCTGGGAACTTAACATTGAAAGTCCTCTCAAACTCCATCACATGGTAGTTAACATATCTATCCATAGTTGTGACTTGCATCAACTTTGTAGAATCTACTTGGCCTAGCCTCTCTATGTACACAGGTCTTCCTTCTTTGTCTACTCCGTGGTGACCTTGAGGGTAGTATTTCAACACTTCATCTATTTCCTTGAATTCAAATTCCTAACAAAGAAAGTGTAAATAATTTTTTTTCAACCACACTGCACTTTCTCTGAAATACATAAAGCTCCATGAGTATTGAGTACCTCCATAACTGTGTCAGCACCAAACTCCTTCCTCCATCGGAGCATGTCAGACCACATTTGTTTGGTTTTCTCTAGATCAAACTTTCTAGCCTTCAAAAACCTGCAAATGCAGAAAATGAAGGACCTTATCAAGCTAAAAGTATACAGCATGATCTCTCATATCATTGTGTTTGTAAGTATATTCCAAGATTAGCTGACCTGAGCATCATATGGTAATCATCATGTTTGTCCAGGGAGAAGCTCATCGAGGATAAGCGCTTGGCGGAATGCATCAACCGCTTTCAACTCCTCTGCGTCATGCTCATCTTCAATGATCTCCACAGACATCACTTTGCTACTTCTTCTCTTCTTAGTCAATGAATGCCTCAACTTTGAGGAACTCCTCTTTTTAAAAGAACCCATCTTTGGTTTCTCAACATCTAACAAAATATCCCCAAAACCCACATACATCAAGAAAGGCAACAGAAGACAGATTCACAGCTAGAAAATCAATGGACAAAAAAAAAACACAAACTTACCAATAGCGAGAGACATGGTGTGTTGTTAATTTGTTATGTATAGTTATAATGGGATAAGTTTGGGATTAGGCAGATACAGGCAGGCGAGACAAGGCAGTGTTATAATCATTAATCAACCAAGGTCCTTTTTCCAAGCGCCTGCAAATATCACATCCTCAAATTACAATCAAAAGAACAAATTTTCTTCACAAATGACTTATCTAAAACCAGAGTGAAATGGAATATCATCAAAACACATTCAAATCCAAACACGCAATGTAAAAGCCAAAACCATTCCAATTACTGATAAAATCCAAAAATTTAAATGCCCATTTCAGAAAATCCATGATTTCAGACAATGGAGGAGGAAAAATTTGATAATTACCTCTGCAAAGGGGAAATGTGGAGATGGTGAGAGATAAAAAGGAGAATCATAAAATCTCCGTAAATCTCTCGTAATCTTTCTTTTGGATTTCTCGATTCCGAGTGTGTCGAGAAGAAAGCTCCACCACATACGTTTACCAGTTGATTCTCTTCTCTATTGGTAATTGTCGGAGGGAAGAGAGAAATATGATTTGACACAAGCTTTGTTTATAATCCTATGCATCGCGCATTTGTTTCTTATTGTACAACTCTCATTAGGAAACGACACGTGTCTAAGGCGTGTTTTTGGTTGCTTTTAAAGGAACACATAAGTTATGTCATGTGATCCAAAAGATGATCTCACATATGCAAGCTTTTACTTTCGAGAGGAAGCTTTGACTGAACAAGTTCACTTTCTTTTTACCCAAATTTTGAACAGCAAGAGATAGAAAGAGAGTGTGTGAGTGAGTGTGAGAGAGGAGGAAATTGAAGGAAGAAAGAGGTTTGTGAGTGAGAGCGTTAGAGGCAGAAGTCTTGCAATGGCTAAGAGCAGTGACTTTGGTTCGTGCAAAGAAGAAAGGATGCAGGAAGCCTTCTTCAAAGTTATCCAGGGAATCGACATTTACTCAGAGAACATGGTAATTCTGTTTTCAAACTCTTCTTGTTCTTAAATTAGGCAGTTTCTTGTTAGCTTTAGCTAAAACCTAGAAAGTTCGAATCTTTTAGTTCTATGTAACAGTGGGTTTCAAAAGTTGGAAACTTTTTTTCGTTCTCTATTTGAAAAGTTTGAATCTTTCGGTTCTGTCTTTATGGATCTAAAAAATCTTCACTGATTTTCTTTTCTTTAGTGAGCTTTCTTCATCTTTTAGTTCTTGTGAGTTAGCTTTGTTTTAAAGGTGGGATCTTTTTTGTATAATTACAGAGAGCATTTCCTCATGACTTTGTGAGGAACTTCTCCGACAAGGAGCTGTCGGAGAAGATGAAGATAACAACTAAATGGGGCAGATCTTGGCAAGTGAAGATCTCCAAAAACCCAATATTCTATTTCATGGAAAGATCTGGATGGGAGAAGTTTGTGAGGGAGAATTTCTTGGGAGAGCATGAGTACCTTAGCTTCACACACAAAGGAAACATGAGCTTCGTAGTTAACATATACAAACAAGACGGCACAGAGATGCTTCAACCTCGACAATCCACAACCTTCTTAGCTTCTTCAAGTAAGATTTGATTTTTTCTTATGATTATGAAACAGTGAACTAGATCAAGAGACATTTGTTCCTAATTCCTTTCAACTTTGATGATGATGAAACAGGTAAGGTTAAGACAGAACAAGGAGAAGCTGGCGTCTCCAATGGTGTCAAGAAAGAAGAGGTTGTGTCTTCTGAGTTGAATAACCATGGCCCGAAGACAGCTGAATCAAATGGAGGAGGAAAGAAGAAGAGGAAGCACGACTCTGGTTTGAAGAAAGCTGAGGAACCACGCAGTTTTAAGAGGACCAAGAAAGTGGTTACTGGCCGGAGAAATTCTGTAGGAGCATCTTCTTCTACTACAGCTGCAGAATTCACCATCGAAATCATGCGCTCTTACTTGACTCTCCTGGTAAGATAAGAGAAACCAATACCATCTATGTGTTTGGTCTTTGTGTTTCAAACAGTTGATATGTGTGGATCGATCAATCTTTCGATTTTTTTTTTTTTTTTTTTTTTCCAGGGGGTCCCAAAATCTTTTGGAAATGATCATATGCCAAAGACGACTACAACGTTCAAGATACATCACACGGATGCGAAGAAGTCATGGGACGTGGTTTATTGTGCAAGGGAGAAAGGTTCATTCTTCTCTGGTGGTTGGGTTCGTTTGGCTAGGGAGTATCCTCTTCAAGTTGGGAACATTTGCAAGTTCACTCTCATCAAGCCGGACGAACTGGTTCTCGTTCGTCTTTGAATCTTCCTGATAGTGTAGACTCGGTGTGTTTGAGTTTAAAGTAATTTATGTTAGGACTTAGCTTATCTTCTTGTTGAGACTTTGTGTGTTTTATTGTTAATGTAAGACTTCCATTTGGATTCTCTCTACTCTCTACTTTATTGTTTATGTTATTTTGCTTCGTCTGGCTTAAGCGGTCAAGCTTACAAATGGTCTTTGGTTTGCCATGATCAAACCAATCATCACATTTTTCTACATCCTGTTTCCACATTAGACATTTGGTTTGATAATCAAGTACAGTAACAAGTTTTATTTACCATATAGTTTACATACAACCAAGACAACAAATTATTTGACATTACAATATTAATTTCAGTAAGTTTTACTCTTCCTTTTCCCTTTCCGTTTACCAGCATTCTTCTTCTTCAACTTATCAATCTGTTTTTCGTCATCATCAATCACAACATCTTTATTACAAGAAACCTTCTCCTTTAGTTTGCTTCTCTCAAGCTTCCTCGTCTCAACAAAGCTAACCACACCACGAAGAACAACGTCAACATCATCGTCCTGCATCAACTCTTCAGCTAACTCAGCTGGAGTAACCTCCGTAGAATCAATCAACCTCTCAATCTCCTCACACAAAGGATGGTTTAAGCCATCTAAACCCAAGTAATTAGAAACCAAGACCCTAAATCCCAACCCTGTACAATAAGACATATGTACATGCATATCCATTCTTCCAGGACGTAACAGAGCAGGATCAAGCCTGTCTTTGTGATTCGTAGTGAACACAATGATCCTCTCATCTCCAAAACTCGACCATAACCCATCAATGAAATTCAAAATCCCTGACAAAGTCACCTGCTTCAAGACAAACAAAACTCACAGTTAGGGACCAATAAGATTCTCACAAAAATCAAAAGCCACAAAAGATCTAACCTTTCCTCTAACTTTCTCTTCATTTTCTTCCTTCTCAGCTTCTCTATCCATAACCTCAGCATTGCAATCAATATCCTCAATAACCAAAATCGAACGGTTCGTCGTCGACAACAAAACCCTCTTCAGTTCACCATTGTCATAGATACTACTAAGCTCAAGATCAAACACATCGAACTTCAAGTAATTCGCCATCGCAGCGATCAAGCTCGACTTCCCAGTCCCTGGAGGTCCATACAGCAAGTAACCACGTTTCCAAGCTTTACCAACTCTCTTGTAAAACTCTCTCCTCTTGAGAAACCTCTCCAAGTCATCGATGATCTTCTTCTTCGCGTCTGGATCCATCGCCAACGTATCGAACGTCGACGGATGCTCGAGGCTTATACATCCCCAATTCCCGCCGGCGCAACCGTCGTCGTCGTCGCTCGCGTAAACGTCTCGGCTGTAGAGCTTCACGACTCTGAGATTCCTCTTGATCTCTTCCGATTCGGCGACGACTTGGGTTAGGTAAGAGGTCATGACTCTCTCTCTGAGCTTCTTCTCGAACGTGAGCTCGTAGAAGCGTTTCACTTTGTCGCCTTTCTCGTTCTCTGACTGGACGTAGCTCCATTTCACCTCGGAGCCCTCGAAGGAGTCGACGATCTCTTCTCCTTTCTCGATGGAGATCGTGAAATGCTTCTGCTTCGGCGTTTTTCCGACGCGTAGACGCTCCGTCTCCGGTCCGATTTTGTTGCGGAGGTACATCTCCGCCGCGTCGAAGACTTGGTTCCTGTTCAATCCGAAGTTCTCGTCGATGATTACTGTGAGGGTCTTCGATTTCGGAGTGAAGAATCGGTCGAAGAGGCGGTAGAAGTAGGATCGGAGCTGCTCCGGGACGAAATCGTGGAGCATCGATTTGAAGAGCATTAAGAATCCGGTTAGTGATGCGTACGCTGAGAACAGCGACGACGGTGAGAAGGAGAAATCGGATGATGGAAACATTTCAGCTGATCGATCTGTACAAAAATCTCCGGGAAGAAATCTCCGGTGACCTAAATTTTTTTTTTTTTTTGGGGTTTTAGTAAAGTGATCACAGTGGTGTGGTTGAAGAAGCTGTTAGAAAGACGATAGTGTTTTATAGACACACATGGCATATGCTTTTCGTCACATTTCTTTATTTAATTCCTAAACTAATTAAGACATAATTATACGTTACGAATTGAGAATAGAAAAATGAATAAAAGGCTTCTCGAGGGATGAGAGAAAAATAAGAAAGAAGCTTGCAGAGGAAAGAAGCTTGCGTCGCAAGGCGATGTGCCGTGTACACGTCAGATGTCAACAAGTTGTTTCTTTGATTTGGTCTGTAGTTGAAGAACACAAAAGTCAAAAAAAGTTGCCTTATTAAGAATCGAACCAGACTAATGTTTTTTTTCTAAGGAATTGACGAGGAAGTTGTCGAGCCAATCTTGTCGGAATTAGAGGACCCTCAAATTCGATAATTAAGACGAAAATGTGAGTTCCATGGCCCATGGGTTTGATTAGTCAACCGTATCAGAGAATCGAATTTCTTAATGGGCCGGTGGTGTCATTACTGTGTGATTAGAGGATCAGGCTCAAACTAAAACTCAAGAGCCCAAGCCTTTTGTTTTTCCTTTGCCATTGACCATAAAAATTCGAAAATGTGCATGCAATCCTCGGGAAATCCTCTTTAATTAGTCTTTTCATATCAGAAACAAAAATTTCAGAAGATAGAAACTCTGAGAAAGAGATTGGTTTTAGGGTAATCCTCTTTTCTTTTGATGTATCTAATATTTAATATATCCGTTCAGTTGCATTATAATAAAGTTTATTTTTAATGACTAGGGCGAGCTCATGAAATGTAGAAAATAGTATAAACTCACAAGGCAGAAATTACTAGCATAGTGATAAGAAGTTAAGAACATGCACAACTTGTAGCTTTGTTCTGACATACGATGAAACGAAAACTTTATTAATCTTTTAATTAGTAATGATTACTCATTGTAATCTTTAGAACATATAATGTAATGAAAATGTTACAATCTTTTATAGAAATAAAGTCTTCATGCTCATCGCACTGGTTACTTAGCAATTAGCATATGTTTACTCTCACTCATTCTTCTTGTTCATAGAACCACTATGTTTTTCGTCATCGCCAACTTCCTCCTTTGCAATGTTTCTCTCGACCTCCTCTTCTCCAAAAAGCTAACTAATCCACGAAGAACAACCTCAGTATCTTCGTCATGCATCAGCTCTTCAGCTAACTCAGCCGGAGTAACCTCTGTAGAATCAATCAACCTCTCGATATCCTCACAGAGAGGATGGTTCAAGCCATCAAGACCAAGGTAGTTGGAGACCAATGTCCTAAATGCTATGCCTGTACAGAAAGACATATGGATATGCATATCCATTCTTCCAGGACGTAGCAATGCAGGATCAAGCCGTTCTTTGTGGTTTGTCGTGAACACGAAGATCCTCTCATCTCCATAACTTGACCATAACCCATCAATGAAATTCAAAATCCCTGACAATGTCACCTGCTTCAAAACAACAATATCACAATATGAACCAAGTAAAAAAACCCTAACTTTCCAATTCATAATTTTCAAAATATTTCACCTTTGAGTTAGTTCTTATGTCTTCTTGATCCTCAACTTCCCTGTCTTTCACCTCAGTAGTACTACAATCAATATCCTCAATCACCAAAATGGAACGACTCGTGGTGGACAACAAAACCCTCTTCAAGTCACCATTGTCAGCAATACTACTAAGCTCAATATCGAAGATATCAAATTTGAGGTAATTAGCCATAGCAGCGATCAAGCTAGATTTACCAGTCCCTGGAGGCCCATACAACAAGTAACCTCGTTTCCAAGCTTTACCAACTCTCTTATAAAACTCTCTCCTCATAAGAAACCTCTCTAAATCATCGATGATGATCTTCTTGGCATCTGGATTCATCGCCAAGGTATCGAACGTCGAAGGATGTTCAAGCCTGACACATCCCCAGTTCCCACCAGCACATCCATCTTCGTCGTCGCTCCCGTACACATCTTGACTATATAGCTTGACCACTCTAAGGCTCCTCTTGATTTCTTCCGATGCAGCAACGACGTGGCTCAAATAAGAGCCCATGACTTTGTCCTTCAGCTTCTTGTCGAACGTTAGCTCGTAGTAACGTTTCTCTTTGTTACCTCTCTCGTTCTCCGTCTGAACGTAGATCCATTTCACCTCAAAGTTTTCGTATGAGTCGATGATCTCCTCTCCTTTCTCGACTGAGACGGTGAAATGCTTCTCCTTTGGGGTTTTCCCCACGCGTATACGCTTCGTTTCGGGTCCGATCTTGTTGCGGAGGTACGTCTCAGCCGCGTCGTACACTTGGTTCCTGTTCACTCCGAATTTATCGTCGATGACCACCGTGAGATCCTTCGACTCCGGAGTGATAAACCGCTCGAATAAGCCGTACAAGTACAACCGTAGTTTCTCCGGCACGAAATCTTGGAGTATTGACCTAACGAGCATGGAGAAGCCTGTTAGGGATGCGTACGCTGAGAACAGCCCCGATGGTGTGAAAGAGAAACCGGATGAAGGAAACATCTTTGCTGACACAAATCTCCGGCGAGTTTTTTGTTTTTGTTTTTTTCCGGTGGAAAGAAACTGAAAGATTCAAGAAAGTGGTTTTTGAATATTGTATGAAAAAAAGAGGATACTCTTATAGGCCGTGTACACACGTCACTCGTTTGTAAATTGAAATATTAATGAAAGTGAAAAGAAACATACAAAAACACGAGGGAGGGAAAATAAAAAATACAAAAGAAAGGAAGAAGTCAACTTGCGTTACACGTCTTAACGTCTTGGTGTGAATAAGATTGTTTCTCCTGTGAGACAGATTCAGCTGTTGCGGTGGCTAACGTGCGCAGAGGCTGGCATGGGACTGTCGTGGCAGACTCAGATCCGAATAAATGAATTATTTAGTATAAAAAATATTGTTAAATAAGCTAAAAATATATGAAAAGATAACACGTTTTTTTTTTACAGCAGGATAACACGTTATGTACACTGTCAACGTAGCTCGCATTATTAAAAAGAATTTGATATGATAGATCTGATCAGATTTGGTATTTAATGAAATATTACATTATCAAAATAGTATCATGTAGTCGATTTGTAGTTGGATATGAATTGAATGCGCAAAAGTATTGCAGAACGGTTTGAAATGGGTCAAAAAAAATTGTGATCCGTGCGGGGTGGGTTTGATCCGCTTGACATCCATAATTACAACTTGTAATAAACGCGCCTAAACCGCTTTTACGATCACAACTTGTAGATGTTTTAAAAAAATGTTGGTCTAAGACAAAAAAATATTGAGAGTTCCATGGGTTAGATTAGACTCCAAACTTATTAGTTGACCAAAACAAAACCATGTTTATTTGATTTATGAGAGTTGAATTCCTAGCGTTATTATCAGTGTGTGTTCGAGTATCAGGCACAGGCTCAAAAGCGCAAGCCTTTTTCCTTTGCAGTTGACCATAGAAATTTGAAAATTTTCGAGGTTTTAATACAATGTTATCTTTGTTATCAGAAACAAAAAGACAGTGAAAAATAGAGAGACTACAACAAGGTTAAGATGAGAAAGAGTTTGATTTTTTTTTTTACCATTTTCACTAGGGTAAGATGAGACTACGTATAAACAAGCCATAAGGCTCAAAACCCATTAAATATTTCATAATTGTTTGTACATTGACGTCAAGCCCTGCGTAAGTACGAGCCCAATTTAGCACTAAATTGTTTGTTCATCAACAATTTGTATACAATATACAGCAAATTGCAATATTTGTTTCAAAAAATTCAAGAAATGAACAGATTTGTTATTGACTGATTGATACATAAAGACTTGTGATCTCTTCCACAATTTTTTTTTCAATCAGTTCACGGGCTTGAAAATAAAAACATTACTATACCATTAAGAAATTTGGATTTTAGGTTAGTGTAATTAATATTCCCACCTAATATTTTGACCTAATTTTTGAAAATTTGTTGAAAAGTTATCGTAGAGACAAAAGAATTAATAAAGTTATTTTTGTTATGTCATGTGCCAAAAAAAGAAAAAAAAATTGGCCGTCTTGTTTGTTAGTGTCGTGCTTAGGTTCACGGGCGCCAAAGGCAAATTAACAAGTACATATATTTGACCTCTTTAGACGTTTTCTATTATTAATTGGTTAACAGCATAGTTTAACGAGAATTCATAAACCATAAATAGATAAACACAATTTTTATACGATTTTGGAAACAGTGATGGAATAACAGACTCTTTTACTCAAAATCATCAAATCATTTAAATACACTGCCCAACAGATCTCATTGTTATTATGTTATGGGAATGAATAATCATTTATAACTTAAATCAATTTATGAAACTTATACGGACCTCTATTTGATGATTTTGAGTAATATAGTTATAAACTTACGGACTAGAAAGTCTAGACCTCATTGTTATCCTATAATCGTCTCTGACCTCTATATAAAGTTATAAACACACGCACTTGAAACCTTCCAATCTAATTATCGACCGTGACGGAAAATATCGAACAACCATAAGTACTTCCCTTCTCTCCTTCTTTCCTTCTCTCCCTCTCTCGCACTCTCGCTTTCTGTTTCACAAGTACTTCACTGCTATGTGGAAGTTGATGATAGCAAAGGGAAATGCAGAAGATCCGTATTTGTTCAGTAGCAATAACTTCCTTGGACGTCAAACATGGGAGTTCGATCCCAACGCCGGCACACCAGAGGAACGTGCCGCCATCGAAGAAGCTCGCCAGAGTTTCCTCGACAACCGTTCTCGTGTTAAAACTTCCAGTGATCTCTTGTGGCGAATGCAGGTAAGTTTTCTTCCACAACTTTATTTTTTTATTATGGGAAAATACCCCTTTGTTTTATAGTTTGAATGGTAAGATTTTCATAAAATTATATTAACACTTTAACAAACAAACAAACAAAAATCTATATTAAGATCACAATTTGTGTACACATTTGGCTTACAACTCCACACATAATGTTTTCTTTTGTTGAACAAGGGTTTTCCGTACATATTGTTGTGGATTTTGGATTAACAGACCTATTTCAAATTATCATCAAAATCAGATTCATCGTTAAAACTTGTATAATATTTAAGCAGATCGTTTAATCAAACTTTTTGTTTAATAGAAATTTCTAAATTGACAAAAAAATAACCAGACCGTTTTGAAATATTAAAAGAGGTATGTTAATAATTGATGGTATGCTCTAAAAGGAGTAGTTTCGTTCTATGTTTCAACATGTAGAACTAATGAACAACATGTAGTTTCGTACTAATAAATGTTTTATTTTCAGCACAGATTTTGAAAGAGAAGAAATTCGAACAAGTGATTCCGCCGGTGAAGATTGACGACGGCGAGGACATAACGTATGAAAAAGCGACGAATGCATTACGGCGAGGAGTTTCTTTCTTCTCCGCTTTACAGGCCTCTGACGGCCACTGGCCGGCAGAGTTCAGCGGACTTCTCATCTTCCTTCCTATGCTGGTATGATTCTTCTTTATGTATACTCTTTAGAGTTAATTAGAATCATGGATTTAGGGTTTTTATAGATAAAAATGTTTCCAATAGAGATTTTAAAAAATGAAGGGTTTTCTACAGGTATTTTCTTTGTATATCACAGGACACTTGGAAGAGGTATTCCATGCAGAGTATCGTAAAGAGATGATCCGATATATGTATTGCCAGCAGGTACTTTGAGCTAACAAGTTATACGGAATATTAGATATTAAAAAAACGGCCTTGACTAGTTATCTACTTCATATATGATTTTTTCTTTTCTTTTATCGATTTGTAGAACGAAGATGGTGGATGGGGATTTCACATTTTGGGCAAGAGCGTTCTGTTCAGCACCACGTTAAATTACCTATGTTTGCGTATGCTTGGAGTAGGTCCCGACGGAGGACGAGAAAACTCATGCAAACGAGCCAGGCAATGGATACTTAGCCGTGATGGTGTGACTTTTATTCCTTCTTGGGGAAAAGTTTGGCTCGCGGTAAATCTTTTGGATCATACATATATGATAATTTACTTGAGAGATGTTAAATACTTTTAGCAAATATATCATGCATGTTAATTTATGTAGATACTCGGAATCTTTGATTGGTCTGGAACTAATCCAATGCCTCCCGAGATGTGGTTAATACCTTCCTTCTTTCCAATACACCTAGGTTTGCTACTTAACATTTTTAACCCCCCAAAAATATTCATATTTTGGAGATTAATTATAATACACGAATCAACTTGAAAATGCTATGTATATCTCTATACTTATGTTGGTAGATTATTATTTGAAAATGCTATGCAGGAAAGATTATGTGCTTTACCCGAATCGTTTATATGCCCATGTCTTATCTATATGGGAAAAGATTTGTTGCTCCAATTACGCCTCTTATCATGCAACTGCGTGAAGAACTCCACGTACAACCTTATGAAAATATCAATTGGAAGAAAGCGCGTCATTTATATGCAAAGGTATACATATGGTTGACCGTAAATTAATCTTCAAATTTCTTAGTCATGACAAAAAATGCAAATACTAACATCATCTATTGAAATTTTGCAGGAAGACGTATATGATTCACATCCTCTGTTTCAAGATTTGATATGGGACACTCTCAACGTCTTCGTGGAGCCTCTCCTTACAAGATGGCCACTAAACAAGCTTGTAAGGGAAAAAGCTCTTCAGGTTGCAATGAAACACATACATTATGAAGACGAAACTAGCTATTACATCACCATTGGATCTATTGAAAAGGTAATATATCGAGCAAAGTTATTAAAAATTATGCATGTCTAGTTCTCTCAAAAATGTTAGTATGTTGAAAATTTTATGTAGGCTTTATGCATGCTTGCTTGCTGGATCGAAAACCCGGACGGAGATCACTTTAAGAAACATCTTTCAAGAATTATGGACTACATTTGGGTAGCTGAAGATGGAATTAAAATGCAGGTTATAATAGAATTAAATATGGGTTTAAAATAATATTCTGACATAAATTTCTAACGAGTATAACTCGCAAATAAAATTCTTAAGCAATCAGAATTTATGCAGGGCTTCGGAAGTCAACTTTGGGAGACAGGATTTGCAATGCAGGCTATACTAGCAAGTGATCCTTGTGATGAATCCTATGAAGTGCTCAGGAAAGGACACGATTACATAAAAAATTCTCAGGTTTGATCTTGTTACTTGTTAGTATAGTGCTCTATGAAAAAAATTGTATATAGTCTTGTATCTGAAGTTAATGTATGGAGAAAATGTATGTTTCTAAATCATAGAACATTGTAGGTTGTAGAAAACCCTTCAGGTGACTTCAAGAGCATGTATCGCCACATCTCAAAAGGAGCATGGACTCTTTCTGATCGAGATCAAGGGTGGCAAGTTTCAGATTGTACAGCTGAAGGTCTTAAGGTAATCAAATTAGTTAGCTTGGAGTTTCCAAAAAGATTTATGTCTTAAGTAAACTTGTATTTCTTTGGTTTTGTAGTGTTGCATGTTGCTCTCCACGATGCCAGCTGATGTTGTTGGCCAGAAAATGGATGCCGAACAACTATATGATGCTGTTAATATCTTGCTATCTCTACAAGTGAGTTTATATAGATAAGCCTAATATTGTTGAAATTGCTACCACTAAGGCTCTAAATATTAAGCTATTTGACGTAGAGTAAAAATGGAGGTTTTTCTGCATGGGATCCCGTCCAGGCACCTGAATGGTTGGAAGTAAGAGCTAAAACACATAAGAGTGTTTACTTCTCTTTTTGCAAAGTTGAAACTTCTTCCCAAGTCTAACTTTTTGTTAATGGTGTTGAATGTAGTTGATGAATCCCAGAGTTTTTTGGCAATTGTATCTCCGAGCTTGCATATTTGGAATGCACCTCATCTGCTGCACAAGCTTTAGTTATGTTCCAAAAACTATACCCGGATCACAGGACAAAAGAGATCATCAACTCAATCGATATAGCAGTGCAATTCATAGAAAGCAAACAAATGCCAGATGGTTCATGGTATGCTTTTTAGTACTAGTAGTAAAGAAATGTTTGATGAATGTGACGTTCGTAAAGGCTCTAACAAAATACTATTTGACTTTTGGTTTGAGTAATGGTAGGTTCGGAAACTGGGGTGTTTGTTTCATTTATGGCACATGGTTTGGTCTTAGCGGCTTAGCAGCGATTGGTAGAACATGCAACAACTGTAAATATATGCGCAAAGGTGTAGATTTTCTACTTGCTATACAGAATGAAGATGGAGGTTGGGGCGAAAGCTATCTCTCATGCTCTGAACAGGAATTTTTTTGATGAATCAACCCGAAACTGATTGCACTTAGTTTTGTTTTGGAGAAGTGTTAATATGGTTTGTATGCAGAGATACATACCCTTAGAAGGGAATAGATCAAACCTAGTGCAAACCGCGTGGGCTATGATGGGATTGATTAATGCGGGACAGGTTAAAAATTGCTCAATATTATATTTGTATCGTGTTTATGTCTAGTATAACGAAATTTTCTTGAGACATAATTTTCGTCTGTTTTCATAAATATATATGTATATAACAGGCCGAACAAGATCTTATACCTCTTCACCGTGCTGCGAAATTGATCATCAATTCGCAACTGGAAAACGGGGATTTTCCTCAACAGGTGAGTCTCACACACCCTCTTTGATAGATATATTAACCTTTGTTTCCTTTCTTGCATGCATTAGTTAATATTAGCTACTTATCTTTGAACAAGTTAACTCTTTGAACTGAAGTATATGGAGAAAAAAAAAGAAATGGAGAGCTCTTTGGATGGTATCATTGTTTGACCATGGCTATCACATTTGTTAGAAGAGCTCTGATTTTATCTATCTGTTAATGTTTACTTGCCAATTCATATTATATAACAAAATATTGAGTTCATGCTATCGCTGTTACTGTTGATCTATACAATTTTCTTCTTTTCTCTGCTTTTTGATCTCCTCTATCACTTTTCCCCACTCTAACAAGGTTAATGTACGACAATTGAATGGACATATATGTGTTTAAAACTTTAAAATATGAGCTTATTCTCTGTTTATTTTATGTGTGAGTGCAGGAAATAGTAGGAGCGGCCTTGAAGACTTGCATGATACAGTAAGCTACATTCAGAAACACCTTTCCATCATGGGCACTTGCAAAATATAGGAAAGTTGCATTTGAAACCCATAATTCGTAATCACAGAAGAAAAACGTAAACAAGTTATCTATATGTGTGTCTTCTTTTGTGATCGACGTTATGAGAGGAAACTAAGGGTGGGCGTTTCGATTTCTCTTAATAAAATTCTAGCTAGTTGTACTTATAAACCGAATTTGATTTGGTTCAGCTTAGATCTTTGGAATCTAAATGAAGTTTGTTTTATTGAATAAATGATGTTTAGATCATTTTTTAGGTAAATGATCGTCTATTAATTGGTGTGATTGATCGGTGTAAAGACAGAGATTTTGAGATTTTAAGTCCGATGATGAGACCAACATCTATCCGCCTCGTACTCACTCTTGTGGTGTGCAGAGCCGTGCTCCATATGTTAAGAAAAGTGCATTTGCACTGAGCCCCCAAAGTATATAAATTTATAGGGGCCCCCAGTTTAAGTAAATTTATAGTAGCGTAGTGGCATTGACATCTTATCAATGGGGGACAAAACCCGAGTTCGAGTCTAGGCTTACACTTTTTTTTTGTTTTTCTTTTTGGTTTTTTCACAAAGGAAAACGAAATTAACCAAACCGGGTAAGTTTAATATCATAAACGACCAAACCGAAAATCTGAATCACAAATCATGAAAGGAATTGACTTAAATTGTGAGAATTTATAAATTTATAAGGGCCCCTATTTTTAAGTTTGCCATGAGCCCCAGTTAACCCTCGCACGGCACTGGTGTCGACTGGTGTCTCATCACCGGCTTTTACACCAACTGGATGTTAGCAATGCATTTGTGCATGCATGGTTCTCTCTTTGAATATCAGGTTCGAAATCCAATGTTGGAATGTATGCATTGCATGGTCTTCTAAGTCAACCTTAGTAGGAAATTTTAAAAATGGTTAGTGACTGAATCCCCACTTATCAAATATAAGCATAAGGCATTCTCCCAAAACCCATTAGATATTTCACAATTGTTTGTATCAAGACATCAAGCTCTGCGTAAGTACGAGCCCAAATATTATACTCACGAATATGTATAAATATGAAAACTTGTATAAAATAAAACTGTTAATTTTGCACTAAATTTGTTGTTTATTGAGAATTTGAATACAAAATACAGCAATTTAAAATAATTTTAGCTTCGATTTCTAAATTCCTTAAAATCCATGAACCAATAAATCCCCTTACATGACATTTAAAAAAAAAAAAAAATCAAGAAAGAAACAAAAAAATTTATTAATTGATTGATACATGAAGAATCGTGATCTCTCATCTCTTCCACAAATATTTTATTGTTTCAATCAGTTCACGGGAGGGAGTAGACGAGTAGTAATATTTTTTGTTTTTGGAATGAAGTTAGAGCCTATGCCCCAGTGTCTGTAGATCTGGAGGCATATTTTCAGAACTTTTTCTTTGGAAATATCCATCTTTCCAAGCAGAATCCAACTCGTGATCTTTTCTTTTAGTGAAAGCACTATGCCATTCTTTTTTTTTTTTTTTTTTTTTTGCGCAAACGATTCACTATGCCATTCTTGATTGTAAAGTCTAAACAGAGAAATGAACTTTAGACGTCTTGTTTGTTTGTTAGGATAGGACTACTCAATGCGGTGTGATTTTACGTTCACGGGGACCAAGGCAAATTAACAAGTAGATATATTACTTTAGACAATTTTTTTTTAATTGATTAACAGGATAGTTTAATGATAATTTATAAATCATAAATAGGACAACACAATTTTAATACGATTTTGAAAACAGTGATGGCATTAAAGAACCTTTTACTCAATTTAAAAAAAAAAAAATTTACTCAAGTTTTTGGTATGCATCACGTGGTAGTATGAAATAAAATCCATTTGTTCGGTCCCCAATCCAAAAGTGTTTGCATGAGCGCCACAACATAATTTATGTGTTCGACGGTTCTGGTAAGTACACTTTATTTGGACGAGTACATTTTATATGATTGGTGAAGGAATGTGGATATGGACAACTTTACCCTACTATCACCCCTCCGTAAATATATAGATCCAAAATCTTTAGGGTATGCGTACAAAAATCAATAGCAAGACCAATCCAGTGACAATCGCTCTAATCATTAATTTAGCAAGTAATCAACATCAACATCTTTTACCCACTCCTTCCTTATTTTGGCCAAGGTCATGAGATCTCTTTCCAACAACGTAATTAGCTATTGCCGTGGTTCTCCACTGAAAATCATAGTTGTTACAGCATTTTCTGAATTATTGGTACCATTTGGAAGTTACAATAACGCATTAAACTTCCCTGAAAGATAAAATTTTGATCATAGCAGTAAGCTGCCTCATTACCATATACTAAACATCATGTTAGCATCGACCTAATTAGCTTTTAAAATATGTGCAAAGTGTGGTTGGGATAGAATCAGGACCATAAGAGTGTATGCTATTTCAAAGAATTCATCACTTTTTTAAAAAAATTCTAAAAATTCTAATAATAATTATCAATCACTTTTTTTCCAAAATCAATCAATGTTTTTTTTTTTTTTTTTTTTTGACTAAAGGGTTTTCTTAAAAATCAATCAATGTTATAATCGTCTGACCTCTATATAAACAAATGCACATGAAACCAATCCAATCTAATTATCGACCGTAACGAAAAATATCAAACAAACACAAGTACTTCCTTTCTCTCCCTCTCTCTCCCTCTCTCTTTCTGTTTCATATAAGTTACATAAAATCGTAATATATGTATACTGTTGGTATATAAATATATCTACCTTAACGCTTGCATGTAGTCGTATACTATTATTTATATGAAATTCTGAACTCAGTGATATATATGCATAGGAATATTGCTATGTGGAAGTTGAAGATAGCAAAGGGAAATGCTGAGGATCCGTATTTGTTTAGCAGCAACAACTTCGTTGGACGTCAAACATGGGAGTTCGATCCCAAAGCCGGCACACAGGAGGAACGTGCCGCCATCGAAGAAGCTCGCCAAAGTTTCTTGGACAACCGTTCTCGTGTTAAAGCTTCCAGTGATCTCTTGTGGCGAATGCAAGTAAGTCATATATATTGTTTTGATCATTTTGCGACATAGTATGAAAGACTATACTTTATAAATGTTTTATTTTCGTCAAAGATTTTGAAAGAGAAGAAATTCGAACAAGTGATTCCGCCCGTGAAGATTGACGACGGGGAAGACATAACGTATGATAAAGCGACAAATGCGTTACGGCGAGGAGTTTCTTTCTTCTCCGCTTTGCAGGCCTCCGACGGCCACTGGCCGGCAGAGTTCAGCGGACTCCTCTTCTTCTTTCCTATGCTGGTATGTTTCTTCTTTACGTAAATCGATGAATATTCTTTAGAGTTAGAATAATGGATTTAGGATTTTTACGAATAAAAATGTTTTTTTTTTAACTTTTACGAATAAAATTGTTTAATATAGATGGTTTCTGCAGGTATATTCTTTGTATATCACAAGACACTTGGAAGAGGTATTCCATGCAGAGCATCGTAAAGAGATTATCCGATATATGTACTGTCACCAGGTACTTTGAGCTAACATTCTTCATATATGAATTATGTTTATTTTTTCATTTCTTTGTTTAACTCTTATTAATTTGCAGAACGAAGATGGTGGATGGGGATTTCACATTGAGAGCAAGAGCGTTCTGTTCAGTACCACTTTAAATTACCTATGTTTGCGGATGCTTGGAGTAGGTCCCGACGGAGGACCAGAAAACGCATGTAAACGAGCCAGGCAATGGATACATAGCCGTGGTGGTGTGACTTATATTCCTTCTTGGGGAAAAGTTTGGCTAGCGGTAAATCTTTTGGATCATATACGTTAATTTACTTGAGAGATGTTAAATATTTTTAGCAAATTATATCATTCATCACGTTAACATATGTATGTAGATACTCGGAATCTTTGATTGGTCTGGAACTAATCCAATGCCTCCCGAGATGTGGTTGATACCTTCTTTCTTTCCAATACACCTAGGTTTGTTATGTTGCTATTTTGGAGATTAATTTTAATATACAAATCAACTTGAAAATGCTATGTCTTTATACTTATGTTTGTAAACTATTATTTTAAAATACTATGCAGGAAAGATTATGTGCTTTACCCGAGTCGTTTATATGCCCTTGTCTTTTATATATGGGAAAAGATTTGTTGCTCCAATTACGCCTCTTATCATGCAACTTCGTGAAGAACTCCATGTACAACCTTATGAAGAAATCAATTGGAATAAAGCGCGTCATTTATATTCCAAGGTATATTTTAATCTTCACATTTCTTTATCATTTGGAAAATAAAAAATGCAAATATTAACATCATTTAGTTACGTTACTTTTGCAGGAAGACACATATGATCCACATCATATGTTTCAAGATTTGATATGGGACACTCTCAACGTCTTCGTGGAACCTTTCCTTACAAGATGGCCATTAAACAATCTTGTAAGGGAAAAAGCTCTTCGGGTGGCAATGAAACACATACATTATGAGGACGAAAATAGCCATTACATCACCATTGGAAATATTGAAAAGGTAAATTATCGAGCAAAGTTATTAAAAATTATGCATGTATATATAACTCTCTCAAATATGTCTGTATGTTGAAAATTTTATGTAGTCTTTATGCATGCTTGCTTGCTGGATCGAAAACCCGGACGGAGATCACTTTAAGAAACATCTTTCAAGAATTATGGACTACATTTGGATAGCTGAAGATGGAATAAAAATGCAGGTTATAATAGAATTAAAATATGGCTTTTAAATAATACTCTGATATAAATTTCTAATGAGTACGACTCGCAACAAAATTTCTTAAGCAATCAGAAATTATGCAGGGCTTCGGAACTCAGCTTTGGGAGACAGGATTTGCAATGCAGGCTATACTAGCAAGTGATCTTTGTGATGAAACCTATGAAGTGCTCAGGAAAGGACACGATTACATAAAAAATTCTCAGGTGTGAACTTGTTACTTGTTAGTATAGTATTTTTTATTTTTATTTTATTAGTATATTCATGAATTGCTGTATGAAAAAAAATTTATAAATCATAGAACGTTGTATTGTAGGTTAGAGAAAACCCTTCAGGTGACTTCAAGAGCATGTATCGCCACATCTCAAAAGGAGCATGGACTCTTTCTGATCGAGATAATGGATGGCAAGTTTCAGATTGTACAGCGGAAGCTCTTAAGGTAATCAAATTAGTTTGGAAGAAGTTAGATGGAGTTAATTTCCAAAAGAATTATGTCTCGGTTAAACTTGTACTTCTTTGGTTTTGTAGTGTTGCTTGTTGCTCTCCACGATGCCAGCTGATGTTGTTGGCCAGAAAATAGATGTCGAACAAATATACGATTCTGTTAATCTCTTGCTATCTCTACAAGTGAGTTTATATAGATAAGCCTAATATTGTTAAAATTGCTACCTCGATCTAGATAGTAATCATGGCTAAAAAAATATTGGATGTAGAGTAAAAAAGGAGGTTTTTCTGCATGGGATCCCGTCCAGGCACCTGAATGGTTGGAAGTAAGAGCTAAAACACATAAGAGTGTTCTTTTTTTTTTTGCAAAGTTGAAAATTTCTTTTAGAGAATCCCAAGTCTAACTTTTTTTTATATGGTGTTGCATGTAGTTGATGAATCCAACAGAGTTTTTTGGCAATTGTATCTCCGAGACTGAATACTTGGAATGTACGTCATCTGTTGTACAAGCTTTAGTGATGTTCAGAAAACTATACCCGGGTCACAGGACAAACGAGATCATAAAGTCTATCGAGAAAGCAGTGCAATACATAGAAGGAGAACAAATGCCAGATGGTTCCTGGTATGCTATTTACTACAAGTAGTTAAGAAATGTTTAATGGAATGTGAACCTTAATAAAGGTTCTAACAAAATATATAATTTTTGGTTTGAGTAATGGTAGGTTTGGAAATTGGGGTGTTTGTTTCATTTATGGCACATGGTTTGGTCTTAGCGGCTTCGCAACGATTGGTAAAACATACAAAAACTGTATATCTATGCGCAAAGGTGTAGATTTTCTACTTGCAATACAGAATGAAGATGGAGGATGGGGCGAGAGTCATCTCTCATGCCCTGACCAGGTATTTTCTTGATGAATCAACCCAAAATAATTGTACTTAAATTTATTTGAAGAAGTGTTAATCGTTTTTTTTTTTAACATGGTTTGCATGCAGAGATACATACCCTTAGAAGGGAATAGATCAAACCTAGTGCAAACGGCGTGGGCTATGATGGGTTTGATTAATGCGGGACAGGTTCAAACAGGCTCAAAATTAGATTTTTATTTCATTTGTCTAGTATAACGAAGTTTTCTTGAGACATCAATTCATAATTATATGTATGTAACAGGCCGAGCAAGATCTTACACCTCTTCATCGTGCTGCGAAATTCATCATCAACTCGCAACTGGAAAATGGGGATTTTCCTCAACAGGTGAGTCTCACACAACCTCTTTGACAAATATATTAACTTTAAGCTTATTCTCTGTTTATTTTACGTGTGTGTGCAGGAAGCAATGGGAGCGGCCTTGAAGACCTGCGTGATACACTTTGCTGGATACAGAAACACCTTTCCAGTATGGGCACTTGCAAAATACCGGAAAGCTGCATTTCATGAAGCCCACGAATGATCTATATCTCTTCTCTTATGATATATACAAAATTTGAAAAATTGAAAGAAAAAAAAAGTGTCAAGGTAATCTATATATGTATCTTTTCAAAAATCGACGTTATGTGTGAAACTTAAATGGTTTTTTATTCGGAAGCGTATTATGCAAGTAAGTTATTCGGAAGGACTCATAGATGATAGTTTCATTTTACAAATGGATATGGACGATTTTACCCTACTATCACCCCTCGATAAATTGATAGATCCAAAATCTTTATAGTAGGTCGTAGGCGTACAAAAATCAATAGCAAGACCAGTCCAGTGACAATCGCTCTAACTCATTAATTAGCAAGTACAGTAAAACCTCTATAAAACAATAATGTTGGGATTTGAAATTTTATTATCTTATAGAGTTATTATTTTATCGATAAGACAATAATTATTGTTTTATCGATAAAACAATAATTATTGTCTTATAGAAATATTTTATCAAAAACAGAAACTTTATACGGACAATTAATGTTCATCAAGATACAACAGCAAATTGTTTTCGACATTGTAAAATTCGTTCAGGAGATGTCCTACTAAGGAATTTAGAAGATGAATCAGTCGACATTCCTGAATTTGAAGTTGTGATTAATAATCTTGGTTATCAGAATAGAATGGATGTTAATAGCCTACTCAACTATCCGGGTGAGAACGATTCATACTCAGAAGTTCAAAGTCTAGAAGAAATTGTGTCTACTGTTCTTAATGGTGAAGATGAAGTTGAAGATGATGAGGAAAGACATGTGCAAGTAGTTACACGTAAGGAAGCAATTGTGGCTTCGAGAACTCTTCACAACTTTTGGCTGCATGTTGAGAACACACCACCAGAAATTGTTGATGCAATAAGAAAAATTTGAGATGAGCTCCAACGAGAATCTAACTTTCAGAAAAGACAAACTACATTGGAGTCATATTTTACTAAATTGCCTTAGATATATATGTTTTAGTTTTATAATTATTGTCTTAAGCCTATTGTTGGGACTATATTTTTATATAAGAGTTTCAAAAATATTATTGTCTTATCATCTTATCGCATTATGCTATTTTTTACATTGGCCCGAGTTGGGACTGGAGAAATTTATCATCTTATAGTGTTTATTGTTTTATCGAGTATTGTTTTATAGAGGTTCTACTGTAATCAACTTTAACATCTTGAACATCTGTTCCATTATTGTAGAAAACATTTGTTTGGTTAAAAAAATCACCTTTGTGGGCTACAAGGCATTCTCTCAAAACCCATTAGACATTCATAATTGTTTGTATAGTTGACGTCCAGCCTTGCTTAAGTACGAGCCCAAATATAATACTCACAATCGAATGAAAAAAAAAACAAGATAGACTAATTAATGATATCCGCACGAAAATGAATAAATATGAAAATTTGTATAATATATCTTTTAAAATTGCACTAAATTTGTTGTTGATTGACTGATATTTGAGGGATTATCTCTTCCAGCCATTTACAATAACTTCAAAAAATTGAAAAGAAAGAAACAAATTTGTTATTGCTTGTTTGATTGCTAATATGAAGAATCATCTCTTGCATGAATTATTTATTCAATACACGTGATTCTTTTACTAAAATGTAGAAACATTATAGGATGAAGACATTTGGATTTTAGGTTATAAGTAGTAGCGAGGGACAATTATATATGAGTCCCAGTGAATACATCCAAAGTGATAAGAAAGATGGCTGGAAATCATTGGAGTTTGAAACGTGTTGGAAACAATTAAGTCTCAACTTGTAACCAAAAATAAATTAACTCTGAATTAGTAAAATTGATTATGACGGATAACACTTAATTAGGTTTTCATTTTTGATGTAGATTCTGTGGATTAATCATAGAACGTTGCATTGTAGGTTAGAGAGAACCCTTCATGTGACTAGCATGTATCGCCACATCTCAAAAGGAGCATGGACTCTTTCTGATCGAGATAATGGATGGGCAGATGGCAAGTGTCATATTGTACAGCTGAAGCTCTTAAGGTAATCAAATTAGTTGTGAAGAAGTTAGCTGGAGTTAACTTCCAAAAGATTTATGTCTCAATAAAACTTGTATTTCTTTGGTTTTGTAGTGTTGCATGTTTCTTTCCACGATGCGAGCTGATGTTGTTGGCCACAAAATAGATGACGAACAACTATATGATTCTGTTAATATCATGCTATCTCTACAAGTGAGTTTCTATAGATAAGCCTTCTATTGTTAAATTTTTCTGCTTCTAAATAATAATCATGGCTAAAAATTTACTTGATGTAGAGTAAAAATGGAGGTTTATCTGCATGGGACCCCGCCTAGTTACCTAAATGGTTGGAAGTAAGAGCTAAAACACATAAGAGTGTTCACTTTTCTTTTTGTAAATTAAGTTGAAAATTATAACTTTTTGTATATGGTGTTGCATGCAGTTCCTAAATCCCACAGAGTTTTGGACCAATTGTATCGCCGAGCTTGAATATTTGGAATGTACCTCATCTGTTGTACCAGTTTTGGTTATGTTCAAAAAATTACATCCGAATCACAGGAAAAAAGAGATCAGCAAGTCGATCGAGAAAGCAGTGCAGTTCATATAAGGAGAACAAATGGCAGATGGTTCATGGTATGCTATTTACTAGTAGGAGATAACTGGTTTGTGAATATTCAAGTAATCAAGTTGCAAGTAATAATAATAATAAAAAAATTTTGCAAGTAATCACTCCAAGTTGAAATGACTGCTGGGTCCTAATAATAAAGGAAAGCTTTAATGACTACGCGTTGTATGTTCCAAGTTCTCTAAGAAAACAAATAACAACGATATTCATTTTTTTTGTCAGCTAACACAGCTTTCATTTATTTGAGTGGTTTCTACTCTCTAAAACAAAAAATGTCTTTTCACGTCAGTTATACGTCGAGATCGCATCAACAAGGTTTAAAAAAAAAAAATTAAGGTTGCATGAACAAGACAGGTGTTGCAATCATTATTAAATCCACTTTTGGGAGTATCTGTCACTTATGACTTATGATTTACGAGGGCTTATTGGTTTTGTCTATTTAAAATGCCACGTTTAAACTTTTTGACCGTTTATATCCTGTTTGGAACTATCCATTTTCAATCGCCCGTTTCATCATTCACCTATCCGATTGATAATCGATGGAACGGTTGAAGCTCCACCATTTTAAACTAGGTTACTAATCAAAAGCCGACAAATCTCTATTTGTTTTAACTAAAAGATATCTCAAAGATTTAGTAACTTAAACTTCCAAAATTATCTGAAGGTCTTTGACATCTATATAAACATGTGCATGAACTCTTCTAAAGTACATAATTTTCGATCCAACCTGCCCAAAACTAAAGTACTATCCTCTCTACCTATCTCTCACTTTCTCTCTGTGTTATCTTGAGGCTAGCTCTTTCAATATATAAAGTGATATAAAATCATAACATATGTAAACCTTGGCGCATGTAGACATACGAATATATATCATGCGATTGTTTGAATATAAATTCTAAGTTCATTGATATATATATGCATGCATAGGATCATCGTTATGTGGAGGTTGAAGATAGGAGAGGGAAATGAAAAAGATCCATATTTGTTCAGCAGCAACAACTTCGTTGGACGTCAAACATGGGAGTTCGATCCCAAAGCCGGCACAGCGGTGGAACAAGCCGCTGTGGAAGAAGCTCGCCGGAGTTTCTTTGACAACCGTTCTCGTGTTGAAGCTTCCAGTGATCTCTTGTGGCGAATGCAAGTAAGATTTTTTTTCATCATTGAGCTTTGTCTAGTTATGAAAAATGCCTAAAGATGTGTGAGAGTACAATTTGGTTTTTTTTTTCTTAAGTATGATATTATTTCTAACAAGTAGAGTATATGATTTGCAATGAGACTGTTTTCGGTATAAATTTTTATTTGCAATGTACACATTTACACAGTTTTTGAAAGAGGCGAAATTCGAACAAGTGATTCCACCGGTAAAGATTTGCAACGGCGAAGGCATAACATACGAAAAAGCTACAAATGCGTTACCGCGAGGAGTTGCTCTCTTCTCGGCTTTGCAGGACTCCGACGGACACTGGCCCACAGAGAACTCCGGACCTCTTTTCTTCCTTCCTCCGTTGGTATGTTTCTTCTTCTGCTATCAGTTTCCACTTTATGTCTATCGATGAATACTCTTAGGGCTAGAATCAAAGATTTAGGTTTATATCGCGGAGAATAAAGTCAAAATGAAACAGAGAAGAAAACTTTCTGCAGGTATTTTGTTTGTACATTCACAGGACACTTGGAAGAGGTCTTCCATGCAAAGCATCGCAAAGAAATGCTTCGATATATCTTTTGTCACCAGGTACTAAAAAGCTTACAAATCCATATATTAAAGAACAGACTCAACTAGTAAGAGCGTTATAGCAATTCTATTGTTGTCCCTTAATCTACAGAACGAAGATGGTGGATGGGGATTACACATTGAGAGTAAGAGCGTTATGTTCAGCACCGTGCTGAATTACATATGCCTGCGTATGCTTGGCTTAGGTCCTGATGGAGGACGAGAAAACGCGTGCAAACGATCCAGGCAATGGATACTTAGCCGTGGTGGTGTGACTTATATTCCTTCTTGGGGAAAAGTTTGGCTCGCGGTAAATCTTTTGGATCGTATGTTAATATGTAGGTGAGAGATGTTTGAAAATTGTGGCATTATCATCAACATTCCTTCTTATATGTGTACATACTAGGAATCTTTGACTGGTCTGGAACCAATCCAATGCCTCCCGAGATTTGGTTGCTACCTTCTTTCCTTCCAGTACACCTAGGTTTGTTATGCTATTGTGGAGATTTTACTATATGAAACACTTTAAAAATGCGTAATATATATTTACTTATTTTAAAAGATTAATGTGTTAAAATACTCTGTCCTGACATACAAGAACAAATACAGGAAAACTTTTGTGCTACACGAGGATGGTTTTTATGCCAATGTCTTATCTATATGGGAAAAGATTTGTTGGCCCAATTACCCCTCTTATTATGCAACTGCGTGAAGAACTTCACTTACAACCTTATGAAGAAATTAATTGGAATAAAGCACGGCGTTTATATGCAAAAGTATGGTACTTAATCTTCAAAAATATTTAGCACAGAAAAAATATGTAAAGATTAAATCTTACTTTTGCAGGAAGACACATTTGATCCACATCCTCTGTTTCAAGATTTGATATGGGACACTCTCTACATCTTCACGGAGCCTTTCCTTACAAGATGGCCATTAAACAATCTTGTAAGGGAAAAGGCTCTTCGGGTGGCAATGAAACACATACATTATGAGGATGAAAATAGTCATTACATAACTATTGGATGTATTGAGAAGGTAAAAAATTGATTAAAAAAACTTCAAAAAATTTATGCTATACACTCTCAACAAAATTTACATTTCAAATATTTGTCTGAAGGTTTTGTGCATGCTTGCTTGTTGGATTGAGAACCCAGGTGGGGACCACTTTAAGAAACATCTCTCTAGACTTTCAGATTATATACGGGTAGCTGAAGATGGACTAAAAATACAGGTTATAAACGTTGTTTGTTTGACATGTAACAAATGTAGGATTCTAACATATTCTGAAGAGAAAAATTATTAAGAAATCCAAATTTACGCAGAGCTTTGGAAGTCAACTTTGGGAGACAGGGTTTGCAATGCAGGCTTTACTTGCTAGTGACCTCTGTGATGAGACCTATGACGTGCTCAGGAGAGGACACGATTACATAAAGAGATCTCAGGTTTGATACCCTTCTTAAGATAGTCTTGTATCTTGAATTTCTCTATAAAAAAATTGAATATTATCTAAATCATACAACTTTGTCTTGTAGGTTAGAGAAAACCCTTCAGGTGATTTCAAGAGCATGTATCGCCACATATCCAAAGCCCAAAGGAGCGTGGACTCTTTCTGATCGAGATCATGGATGGCAAGTTTCAGATTGTACAGCTGAAGCTCTTAAGGTAATCCAATTAGTTGTTGAAACAGATGGCTAGAGTCTCCACAAGATTTGTCCCTCAAGTTAACATGTACCGTAATTGGGTTTGCAGTGTTGCATGTTGCTTTCAATGATGCCAGCTGATGTCGTTGGCCAGAAAATGAATCATGAACATCTCTACAATTCTGTTGATCTCTTGCTAACGCTACAGGTGGATTTATACATATAAGCTTGATGCTGTTGAAAATTACTTCCTTTAAATAAATAATATTCATGCATATATCTTCATTTTATATAGAGTGAAAATGGAGGTTTCACTGCATGGGAACCCGCCCAACACATAAATGGTTGGAAGTAAGAGCTAAAACACATAAGGATGTTCATTTTTTTTTGTTATGATCGAAGAGAATCTCTTAAGGTTCTTCGCTTTGCATCGAATTAAACCACATGCTCCACCGCTTGTGCGGGCCCCGTCCAACAGATTTTTTTACTTGGTCGAGAGCGAGTACGTGGAATGTACCTCATCGGTTATACAAGCTTTGTTTATCATCAAACAACTATATCCGGATCACAGGATCACAGAGATCATTAGGTCCGTCGTAAAAGCAGTGCAATTCATAGAAAGCAAACAAATGCCAGACGGTTCATGGTATGATACTTTCATATACTTAAGAAATTTTTGGTGAATGTGGATTCAAATGTCTCTCTAAAAATTTAAGTTTTTTTGAGTCATGGTAGGTATGGAAACTGGGGTATTTGTTACATTTACGGCACTTTGCTCTTAGCGGCCTAGCAACGGTTGGTAAAACATACAACAACTCTCCATCTATACGTAAAGGTGTAGATTTCTTGCTTATGATACAGAATGATGATGGAGGTTGGGGTGAGAGCTATATGTCATGCAATGAACAGGTATTTGTATGAGTTAACATGAAATTCTAGTAATAGTATATACCAATCTCACCTAAAAGAAGTGTTAATTAATATTTTCTCTAAAATAATTTGTATGCAGAGATACATACTATTAGAAGGGAATGGATCGAACCTAGTGCAAACCGCATGGGCTATGATGGGTCTGATTCACGTGGGACAGGTTTAAAACATATTTCAATCTTACAATGAAAGAAGTTGTCTTGAAACCTATCATTTCTTATGCTGTCATATTACACAACAGGCCGAGAGAGATCTCATACCTCTTCACCGTGCTGCTAAATTTATCATTACTTCTCAAATGGAAAATGGGGATTTTCCTCAACAGGTAATTTTCTAAAGTATTCTTTATATACATCATCGATTTCTAAAGTATTATGTATTAATCTTTTTGCATCATCGATTTTAGTTGATATTAGCTCGTTGTAGATGGATATATAGGAAGATTTTTTCAGTCCGTCTAGGATCTTTGTTAAAAGAACTCTGATTTTATCTACTGAATAAAATCAGTTCAAGCTAATCTTTTGATTTGTACAAATTATTTGATTTTCTTTGCTTTGTGGATCTCTAACGACCTCAAACTCACATCCTTTTCTTCACTCCATTTACAAGCTCAATGTGTGTGTGCAGGAGATAGTAGGAGCGTTCATGAATACTTGCATGCTACACTACGCTACATACAGAAACACCTTCCCATTGTGGGCACTTGCAAAATACAGGAAAGCTGCGTTCGTAACTCACGAAAAAGCTACCTCTCTTCCTTGCTAATATCCAAGAATGAACAAGTGAACAAATGAATCACACCTGAACTTAATCGAACAAAAGAAGAGCAGTACTTACATTGCTCAGTGTCACGAACTATTATATTTTTAAGGATAAAGATAAGATGAAAAGTATGCATCACTTGGCACTCTGAATCTATTATATGAATCAAATATAAGGAAAAGAAGAAAAATACCAACGATATTTTAGATCTAGCAATGCAATAATAAAGTGAAGAAACTTTGTTTTTCTCCCACTAGTAGAGTGAATAATTCTTTGTGTACCATGTATTGATTATTGGCATATTTAATTCTCTTTTTTTCATCTTTTTAACATATATCTAACTTATGAGTTTATTTATGAAGATTTGATTATAAGTCTTACAAATGTGAGTGCACTAGAAAACACAACAATGGTTGTTTTGTTCAAGAAACTTGCAAAGCAAATGTAAAGAAAACAGAATACGACTTTTTCTTGATTGAGAAATCAAAAGTCATAAGTCACAAGTCAAGTCTTCCGTATATATACGTACGTTGCAGACTTGCAGACTTATAGCTGCCCTAGACTTGTTGTTCATTGAGAATTTGTATAAAATATACAGTTACAATAAGTTTTTTCAATAGATTTTATATTGATTGATTGATACATGGAGAATCGTTATCTCTTCCACAACTTTTTATTTTTTTCAATCTGTTCACGGGAGTACTAATGTTTTTAATTTATTTTATCATGAAGTTCGAGCCTATACCATACTCTCTGTGAATCTGAAGGCATATTTTTATTCTCTTTGGAAATATCGATCTTTCCAAGCAGATCCAACTATCTTTTCTTTTAATGAAAACCACTAGACCCATTCTTGATTTTAGACGTCTTGTTTGTTTTTGAGTTGTAAGAGAGGATCTTGGTATGCCTTGATCTTGGATTTTGTTTTGGCTAGCTTGTAAAAGTCTTGTTTGTTTGTTATTAGAATAGGACACAATACTTTCAGCGGTGTTCACGAGGGGACGTACCTAACGCAAATTAACAAGTAGATATATTGGACGTCTTCAGACATTTTCTATTATTAATTGATTAACACCATAGTTTAATGAGAATTTATAAATCATAAATAGAATAACACAATTTATATACGATTTTGAATACAGTGGTTGAATCAAAGAATCTTTTACTCGAAATCATCAAATAATTTAAAATACACTACCCAAAAACGCAGTGTGTTTATTTTAGTTTCCCTTGTTTAATTTTTTGATTTCATCTATCACTTTTCCCCACTCTAACAAGCTCACACTCTCTCTTTCTGTTTCATAAAGTTATATAAAATCGTAATAAGTGTAAGCTTCAGTATTTATCTTATTTTATATAAATATATCTATACCTTAACGCATGTAGACATGCATATACTACAAGTTGTATATGAAATTCTGAACTCAGTGATATATATGCATAGGATCATATGTGGAAGTTAAAGATAGAAAAAGGAAATGGAGAAGATCCGTATTTGTTCAGCAGCAATAACTTCGTCGGGCGTCAAACATGGGAGTTTGATCCTAAAGCCGGCACACCGGAAGAAATAGCAGCCGTCGAAGAAGCTCGCCAGAGGTTTTTGGACAACCGTTCTCAGGTTAAAGGTTGCAGTGATCTCTTGTGGCGAATGCAAGTAAGTTTTTGTCTTTTTTTCACGAATTTGATCTATATATGTAGGATTTAAAAGTTTTTGTCTAACTTTATTTTTTATCAACACTCATCCACATTTTTATATCATATCTTTAAATTTAGAGAAAAACACAGTTATGATTTTCTCATATTTATACATTATTACAAATACGAATAATTTATCATTTAAGATTTTTCGTTACTAACAAAGTCCCAAACGAAAATAAACAAATAAATAATTATGTGATTTTTTTCGTTTAAACAAGATTTTCTCATATATGTATTTGTACGCACAGTTTTTGAAAGAGGCGAAATTCAAGCAAGTGATTCCGCCGGTGAAGATTGGCGACGGCGAAGGTATAACTCATGAAAAAGCAACAAATGCGTTACAGCGAGGAGTTGCTTTCTTCTCAGCCTTGCAGGCCTCCGACGGCCACTGGCCCGGGGAGATGACCGGACCTCTCTTCTTTCTTCCTCCGTTGGTATGTTTTTTTCTTTCTTCCCTTGAATCTCTATTCCGCGAGATGTTGAAATAATTATTTTGCCTCCAACAAGAGATAATGAAAAGGAGAAAAATTTTCTTTCAGGTATTTTGTTTGTATATCACAGGACATCTCGAGGAGGTATTTGATGCAGAACATCGCAAAGAGATGCTTCGATATGTCTATTATCATCAGGTACTTTCAACAATGAATTTCTTGGATCGGCTTTTTAGCCATATATAGTAATTATCACGAGAGTTGGTATATTTTTGTTCCCTAAATTTTCAGAACGAAGATGGTGGATGGGGACTACACATCGAGAGCAAGAGCATTATGTTCAGCACCGTGCTGAATTACATATGCTTGCGTATGCTCGGAGAAAGTCCCAATGGAGGAAGAGAAGACGCATGTAAACGGGCAAGAAAATGGATTCTTGACCGTGGTGGTGTGACTTATATTCCTTCATGGGGAAAAGTTTGGCTATCGGTAAATCTTTAATTAACTCCATATGCTAATTTAATCGAAAGATAGTTAAAACCTTACGTACTTCGATCATCGTTTGATTTTGTTATATATATATGAGTAGATACTTGGAATATATGATTGGTCCGGAACGAATCCCATGCCTCCCGAGATATGGTTGCTACCTTCTTTTATTCCAATACACTTAGGTTTGTTTTAATACTTAAATCTTTTTTTTTATGATATTATTATTAACTTGAAATTTTTATTTCCATTTGTTGATTTTGTATTTTTGATGTTCATCTTGACGCAAAATTAAATAAAGCGAACACTTTGTGCTATTGCCGGATGGTTTACCTGCCCATGTCGTATCTATATGGGAAGAGGTTTGTTGGTCCAATAACACCTCTTATTATGCAACTGCGTGAAGAACTCCATTTACAACCTTACGAAGCAATCAACTAGAATAAAACTCGACGTCTATATGCAAAGGTATGATTCACCATTTTTTTTATTAGTAATATGTCACGATAACGAAAACATTTCTTCGTACTTCCCGCAGGAAGACGTGTATTCTCCCCATCCTTTTGTTCAAGATTTGTTATGGGACACTCTTTACGTCGCTGTGGAGCCGGTTCTTACTCGTTGGCCGCTAAACAAGCTTGTAAGGGAAAAAGCTCTCAGGCTGGCAATGGAACACATACACTACGAAGACGAGAACAGCCATTATATCACCGTTGGATGTGTTGAGAAGGTATAATAAAATCATGCATATTCTCATCTAAGAAGGCATGTTTAAAATCCATCATGAACTTTTATTTTTTTCTGTAGGTATTGAGCATGCTTGCTTGTTGGGTTGAGAACCCGAACGGGGAATGCTTTAAGAAGCATCTTTCTAGAATTCCGGATTACATGTGGGTCGCCGAAGATGGAATGAAAATGCAGGTACTTGAGGATTAAAAATGAGATATATAGTAGTATCTTATATATAATAGGAGAGTTGCTCTCTCAATCTAGAGTGTCCACATCAGCACAAAACATTAAATTGTATTTAAATTATTTATTTAATATATGACTATTCATATTTATTTACATTTATTCATATTTAATACAAATATACAAATAGATTAATTAATTAATAGAACTTATATATAATAGGAGAGTTGTTCTCTTCATCTACAGTGTCCACATCAGCACAAAAACATTAAATTGTATTTAAATTATTTGTTAAATATATGACTATTCATATTTTTTTACATTTATTCATATTTATAAAATATACAAATAGATTAATTAATTAATAGAAAGTATGTGATAATTTGATATTAAAAGTTATCAAAAAGTTGGAATATAAAATAGAGATTGAGTAAAGAAATATTTAACTTCAAATAGTATATATTTACCTTTTTATTTAAAGGATTTATCATATTTAAAAATGTTATAATGTGTTTACAAGCTAAAAAGTTGAATATAAATGAATTAAGATAATAGAAAGCTAATAAAACATTAGAGTTAGAGTTTGTTTTTCTAAACAAATAGAAATGAAGTTTTATTTGTAAATTTAATTGTAGTGAAAACAAGTATATGTTTACAAATTTTAACCTTCAATCAAATACATATACATGTTTAGAGTTTAATAGAAGTAAAAATAATAATAATAAACAAACATAATATTTATAACATGATAAATTTTTGAAATAGAAAACTCGAGATAAAACAAGGTGTTAATATCCTAATAAATTAAAATAAAAAACAAATTATTCATATTTTTTAGTGTTAGTGGTTGAGTTAACTCAAAACATAACAAAACATTAAAATTAATACAAAATCGTCATAATTCAAATCAACGATTATAAATAAAATTAAACACCAAAACTATCTCAAACAACCCCGCGCTTGCGCTGGGCTTAAAACCTAGTTCTATTATTCTATAAATATAACAAGGGAAACTTCTTAAATATTTTAGATTTAATTACGCAGAGCATTGGAAGTCAGCTATGGGATACAGCGCTTGCGGTTCATGCTATACTTGCTAGTGATCTCTCTGATGAAACCAATGATGCACTCAAGAAAGGACATGACTACATTAAGAAATCTCAGGTTTGATATTCTTTATAATTACATTATACCTTTAAATAATATATATCTACATGTGTTTTCCTAAATCAAAGAGCATTGCAGGTTAGAGAAAATCCTTCTGGTGACTTTAAGAACATGTATCGCCACATGTCCAAAGGAGCATGGACTTTTTCTGATCGAGATCATGGGTGGCAAGTTTCCGACTGTACAGCTGAAGCTTTCAAGGTGCTTAAACCAGTTACTGATGCATGCATGCAAGTTAGTTATATAGTTCTACAAGAATTTTGCCTCAAATTACTTCTTTGGTTGTGTAGTGTTGCCTTCTGCTCTCTATGATGCCAGTTGAGGTTGTTGGTCAGAAAATAGATCCCGAACAGTTATACGATTCTGTTAATATTCTACTATCTTTTCAGGTTAGATCAAAATTATAAGACTCATCATGTTATACAAAAAATTTACTGGCTCTTATTACTATTTACACCTACGATCTTCACTAATGTAGAGCAAGAATGGAGGCGTGCCTGCTTGGGAGCCTGCTCGTGCATATAAATGGATTGAAGTAAGTGCTAGAGCATAAAGATTTTCACACTTTTTTTTGTCGAGTTTCGAGATTCATAGGAAAAAAAAACTCATGTTTACCATTTGCAATGGTGTTTCAGTTTCTTAATCCCACCGAATTTCTTGCTAATATTGTGGCTGAGTGTGAGTACGTGGAATGCACATCATCGGTCCTACAAGCTTTGGCGCTGTTCAAGCAACTCTATCCAGGTCATAGGGCAAAAGAAATCAGCATGTTCATTGAGAAAGCGGTGCAATTCATAGAAAACAATCAAATGGCAGATGGTTCATGGTATGTTACGTAAACATAATTCATATGCGTGGTTAAATAAAAACCCTAACAACACAACGTTATCTTTGAATCATGATAGGTATGGGAATTGGGGTGTATGTTTTATTTACGCCACTTGGTTTGCTCTTGGCGGTCTAGCAGCCGGTGGTCGAACATATGAAAATAGCCAGGTAATGCGTAAAGGTGTTGAGTTTTTGCTCACGACACAAAAAGATGATGGAGGTTGGGGAGAAAGCTATTTGTCATGCCCTGAACAGGTATTTGCGCAGATCAACATGATGTATTATAGTATATGCATTTAACCTAATTCATTGAAAAAGTGTTAATCTTCTTAACATGTTGTGTTTAGAGATACATACCATTAGAAGGGAAAAGAACCAACCTTGTGCAAACCTCTTGGGCAATAATGGGTCTAATTCTTGGAGGACAGGTTCAAATATTTCTATTTGCTTAAGTACAACGAAATTTCATCGATTCATTTCGTTGATATATATACATGTTACAAAAAACAGGCCGAGAAAGATCCAATACCTCTTCATCGTGCTGCTAAACTTATCATCAATTCACAACTGGAAAATGGAGATTTCCCTCAACAGGTTAGACATATCCTCTTTGATAGAAATATGAATCTTTGGATTCAAATGGTACCATTTGGAACAATCTTTTTTATAGAAATTCAAAGTGATCATTTGCAGGAAACAGTAGGAGTGTTTATGAAGAATGGCATGGCACACTATGCTACATACAGAAATAGTTTTCCATTATGGGCACTTGCTGAATACCGAAAAGCTATGCCGAATACTCATCAGCATCCATAGCAGGCACATCGGTCGAAGAAGTTAGCAAGATGATGCGAATGTACACCAGAAAGAGTATTCAAGAAAGAGGATTGATGAAGGATTCATTTAATGACCGAAACCATGCATTCTAAACATTCTTGCTTTATTTAATTCGAAACTATTTTATAAAATCAGGAAACCTTTTATTGTGGTGTGAGAGTTGTATTCATTGATTTATGTCTACATTGTTTTGTTGTCATATATATATCACGTTTAGAAATGATATGAACTGTGATTACTTTTCTTGACAAACCAACAAAAATAACATCGTGAACTACTTTTTTTGTTGATAAGGAAAATCGTGAACTACTTGAAGTAGATAATAGGAATATTAGATCTTGAGTCCCACATACCACCTTCTCTAAGGTACTCAGCATATCTCGAAAACTCCGGTTTCGCCGTTGCTTTTTTCTTGTTGCTGCGGTGGCGGCCGTCGAATAAACTAAATATTGGATGGCTAAACTTTCCGGTCGTCGCGGTCTTCTTTGACTTCTGGCGTGGAAGCGCTTCCAAAATCGCCGGACCTCCTCCACCAAGTATTATCGACGGTGCGTAGTACGGAACGCTCGTTGAGCTCTTTAGCTTTGCTCCGAGTAAACTAAACGCTGAGTCATCGCTTACCCGCTCGTATCCACTGCGACGGCTTCTTGCCCTCGTACTTAAAGTTCTCAGCATTTCCATTTCTTGGATTAGATTTTGTGTGTTGAAAACTTGAAGTAAAAAGTTTGTTTCTTTGAGGGAGATGTTAAGAAGATGAAGAAACTGTGATTGCTGCTGTTTGTGTTTATTGTAAAAAGAGTGTGTGTGTGTTTCATGTCTTTATATAAATGTGTTGATTAATCATTCTACATTATTAAATTTAGTTTAGGCCACTTATTGAGAAAATTCAACTTCATTGGCCTTATCTTTTTCCTTTTTCTATTATTATATTTTGTTTATCTTTGCTATACACTGTGCATGTTTAACTTGTTTAATTTTTTTGGGTCTCTTGAGACTTCTTCACTTCAAGGAAACTTCCATGTACGTATACGTCACGTCACGTGTTTATAGAGTGAATAAAAATTTAAAAACTTAATTATTTCATAACCGAAATGATTTGAGTCCTCAACTAGATGATTAATTTACTACTATTATTATTTGTATTTTAAAAAAGAATGCATATTTTGTGTGTGTGTACTAATCAATGATTCGTTCTTATCATTTCCGTGTCACTGTAAACTTTCTTGACTCTCAAGATCATTCGTCTCAAAACATGCAATCTGATGAGAGTCAATCTCGATTAACCGGAGTAAACCAACATTGCGGTTTAAGAAGATATTTGGGCGTTACCATTCTCCTAAATTAATGGAATTGTTTTCCCACTAATGACGTGTGATAGTTATGGAGATTAGTAGTTATTTGTCTCTTTCCTTCTATATATTAGCCACCATTGTATTTGTATGAGATATGAAGAAAATATTGAAGTTACTTGTGTCTTAAGAACCAAAGTGTTCTTGTTCTTTGTTGTTCTTGATCATCATTAGTTTTGTCCTAATTTGGGACCTAACACTATCATTTTCCACGTGATTTGTATATTGAGGCGGATGATCCAGCCCCGGATAGAGTTAAATCACTTTTCTTGGCATTTTAAATGTACCAAAGTATCCAAAAGATATGAATCAATCTTCAAGCGCCAAATTATTATCCAAGTAACACTTAACGCATGATAAAAGCATTGGTTATAAATCTATGAGTGGCATTGATACATTGTATATGTGACGTACTACACTGATAGCTAGGTGGGACAATGATAAAAATTAGTTGACATTTTCTATGGTTTTGCTTTGATATAACTTTTGTTAACTTGATCATTGATGCTCTTGAGAATTGAAGAATGTAAAGTGTAGATTTGACTCTTTTGATTAGAAGAGTAGATTCGGATATAGGCGAAGTGTGCTTTGGTTAAATAAGTTTTAGAAATGATTCAAACCATTAACATAAATTTCACATAATCATAACAAATATGTATATACATCATCTATTTAAAGTAGATAACAGGAGTATTAGATCTCAAATCCCACACTCCACCTTCTCTAAGGTATTCATAGTATCTAGAGAACTCTGGCTTAGCCGTTGCTTTCTTCTTGCTACGGCAGAACAAACTAAAGATCGGATGGCTCAATTTGCTTGTCACCACCGTCTGCTTTGACTTTTGGCTTGGAAGTTCTTCCAAGATCGCCGGTGAACCTCCACCAAGCCTTATCGATGCAGCATAGTATGGAACGCTCGTCGACCTTCTAAGCTTTGCTCCTAGAAAACTTGAGGTGGATTCATCACCTACACGCTCGTATCCACTGCGACGGCTTCTTGCTCTCGTGCTAAGGGTTCTTAGCATTTGCATCTTTGGATTAGTTTTCCTTTTGTTGGTGTACCAAACCAAACTTGTAATAGTTTAAAAACTTTTGGGACACAGAAGTTATGAAGGTAATGGTGATCAGGGTGATGATGAGAGGCAGTGTTGTTGTTTGTAAGAGAGAGTGTTTGATGTCTTTTTATAGTTGTGTTGATATTATATAAATGTTGGTAATATGTCATTATTTGTGTTAGGTTACCGATTTAGAAAATTCAAACTTCGTTGGTCGCATCCTCTTTTTTTATAGTTTCTCTTCCGTTAATAAACTAAGCAAAGATTCGGATTTCGGACTTACATGATAAACGTTCTATTAAAAATAAAATAAAAACAAGACTTATTTATAAGGAGCGTAGATATCATATACCAAATGACATATAGCAAGAACTCCTGGCCGGTTTAAATCCTAAACAATTTGGTCGAACCCACGATTTGGAGTTTTGGTTTAACCGATTGGTTCGATGGGTCAAAGTCAAACTCTTATACCTTTCAGCTGGAGAAGAAGGTTCGAAACTAACAAAAATAAACCCTAAACCTCTCTGCGCTTCTCCTCAAACGGCAGTCTCCACGACAACATCTCCTTTTTTTCTCTTTGTTTCTTCTCTTCTTCACTTGTCGAAATCGCTGGTACGTGCCTCTGTTTTCTCTAATTTGGGAGCTCTGTTTTGCTTTTTACTTTGATTTCGCATCACGTCGAATTTGTCTGTGCTCAGTTCGTGTTATTGATTCTGTTAGTTCTTAGTTATGCGAAGTTAGAACCATTCGAATTGTAGACCGGTTTGTTCGGTTTTAAGTAGATTAAAGAGGAAGGGAACTGTAATAAAAACCCTACTTTCTTCTCACCGTCGTCAGTCTTCTTCTCTCCTCTTTTTTTTTTTTGTGTCTACCGGTGCGGTTTTTTCCCCTCGAGTCCTGTTTAATTTCGTGAATTTGCGTTTTTTGTGTTTCCCTCGTTAAATTGATAACCTTTCTGTGCTCAAGTCTACTTACACTTTCTGTTAGCTCAGCTTCTTATTGATTTTTTGTTGTTGTTGGTTTTGATTGCAGGTGATTTTCCGGAGTGGTGTATTAAGAAATGAGTACCAAAGGTATGACTTTTATAATGCAGCAAAAAAAAAGTTTATATCTTTAATGGAGTTTCGTGGATTTGATTAAGATTAATAAAACGGTTTATTGGATGTAGATGATATAGCAGTGGAAGTGGAACAAATAAGCGATAAAAAGCGTGAGAAGAAGAAGTTGAAATCTAAGAAAGCAGAAGCTGAGGAGCATGAGGAACAGCTCAAGAGGCTTCAAGAAACTGTGAGTCCATCTTGTAACATGTCTGTTTGTGATTGTGATAATATCTTGGAAACTTGAGTTTGTTTAACTTAGAGCTGATTTCTCTCTGCAGCAAGCTGATTTCTATGAGTATATGAAAGAGCATGATGAAGATCTTCTAAAGTTTGATGCTAACGAGTTTAAGGTGAGTCAGTTAATTGCATTTGTTGAATTTTGGATCTTTATGCGAATTCTGTTCATAAGCTTTTATCTTTTTTGGTTTTGACTAGGATGATGATGCTGATGTTGAAGCTGGTGCTGATACTGACTTGGAAGACATTGAAAAGCAAGATGTTGTTGATTATACCCCAAAGCTTGAAATCCCAAAGAAGAAAGTAAACGAGCAGAAAACGATTACATCAGCCATGGTTGACTCATGGTGCAAATCGATCCAAGAAGACGCCAAGCTAGGCGCGGTGCGTTCGATCTTGAGAGCTTATAGAACCGCCTGTCACTACGGTGATGACACAGGAGACGACCAGTCTGCAAAGTTCAGCGTGATGTCGAGCGCTGTGTTCAACAAGATAATGATATTCGTCCTGAGTGAGATGGATGGGAATCTTCGTAAGCTGTTGAGGCTTCCTGCAACTGGAGGAATGAAAGGCATGATAATGGAGGTCATTCACACTAGGCCATGGAAGAATTACAACCACTTGGTCAAGTCGTATCTCGGGAACTCGCTTCACGTTCTGAATCAGATGACTGACACTGGGATGATTGCGTTTACTCTGCGCCGGTTGAAGCACTCTGCTGTGTTTCTAGCCGCTTTCCCAAGCCTCCTTAGGAAGTATATTAAGGTGTGTTTTGAAGCAGAAACATTGTTTCTGATTCATGTTTCCTTATGGTCCTTTCTTTGCTCATTGTTGTTCTCTTGTTTGATTTAGGTTGCGCTTCATTTTTGGGGAACCGGTGGTGGCGCGCTCCCTGTGGTTTCGCTGTTGTTCTTGAGAGACTTGTGCATACGTCTTGGCACTGACTGTGTGGATGACTGCATCAAGGGAATGTACAAAGCGTATGTGTTGAATTGCCAGTTTGTGAATGCTGTGAAGCTTCAGCATATTTCATTTCTTGGTAACTGCTTAATCGAGCTTCTTGGCACGGATATCTCTGCTTCGTATCAGCATGCGTTTGTCTTCATAAGGCAACTGGCAATGATTCTCCGTGAAGCTCTCAACACAAAAACAAAAGTAACATTCTCTCAATAATAGCTCTTCTTATGTTCTCAAACACTTTCCATGTTGTGAAAAGTTTGCTATAACTCTTGTTTTACGTTGTTGGCAGGAAGCGTTTAGAAAAGTGTATCAATGGAAATTCATCCATTGTCTTGAGCTTTGGACTGGAGCTGTTTGTGCCTACAGCTCTCAATCTGAGCTTAGACCAGTTGCTTATCCACTAGCTCAAATCATATCTGGTGTAGCAAGACTTGTTCCCACTGCTCGCTATATTCCTCTTAGACTGAGATGCGTTAGTATGCTAAACCGGATTGCTGCTTCGACTGGTACGTTTATACCGGTCTCAATGCTTCTTGTGGACATGTTAGACATGAAAGAGCTCAACAGACCTCCCACTGGTGGTATTGGCAAAGGTGTTGATTTACGCACACTACTCAAGGTATTGAAAAAAGAAAAACTTTACTTGGTTTGGGTATGTAAAGAAGTGAGTAGAATGATTTAACCATATTGGTTATTGGAATTGTTTTTTTTGTAGGTGAGTAAACCGGCAGTGAAGACAAGAGCGTTTCAGGAGGCGTGTGTTTATTCTGTAGTGGAAGAGCTTGTGGAGCATATGTCTCAGTGGAGTTATTCCATTGCTTTCTTTGAGCTATCGTCTATTCCGATCTTAAGGCTGCGTAGCTTTTACAAAACTACTAAAGCTGAGAGGTTTAGGAAAGAGATGAAGCAACTCATTAGCCAGGTACCTTAAACTCTGACTTAACTTCAGTATTGTACTTGCAAGAAAAGAAGTGACTATATTGATGTGTTTTGATGACCTTTTTTTCTATTTCTTTCAGATTGAAGCTAACTCAGAGTTTGTCAACAAGAAGAGAGCGTCTGTTAGTTTTCTACCCAATGAGCCTGCTGCTGCATCATTCCTTGAGGTTTAGTAACTCGTTTCTCTTGATAAGTAGCTTACTTGACATCATTCCTTGAGGTTTAGTAACTCGTCTCTCTTGATAAGTAGCTTACTTGACAAATCTTTGAATTATGACATGAGAATTTTTCCAAAACCGTTGCAAAACATGTAAATGTGGGGTTCCCTCTTTAAACACACTTGTTCTGAATGTATTTCTGTGGTGTTTGATGTTCTCAGGATGCTAAGAAGGCAGGGCAAAGCCCTTTATCTCAGTATGTGAAGATAATGCGCCAAAGAGCCAAGCAAAGAAACGACTCTCTAGTGGAAACAGAGTGAGTTTTACATTCCTCTACTATTTGATCACTTACATATTCTTTTCCTTTCTTTCTTGGCCTTGCTCCTCGTAGTGTTTATTTGACTGTTTGGTAATAACCCGTTTGGTTTGTCCAGTGTTATTGTGGGAGAGAACTCAGCGAAATTTGGCAAAATCGCACCAAGCAGCGATGAGGAAGAAGATGAAGAGGATAGGAACGAAAAGGGTGCTGCAGCTTTCAGTTCCTCGTGGTTACCAGGAAGTGACTCCAAGTATGTCTTGTCTTACGCCTGGAATGTATGTAGGTCCTTTATCTGACTGTATTGCTTTAACCTAAAGAAATTGTGTAATTGGCAGAGAAAAAGAGGTGGAAGAAGAGAGGACGAAACAGAAGAAAAGGAAGAGGAAGAGTAAAGCAACAGAGAAGAAGCAAGTTGAGGAAGGTGCAGGAGAAGATGACGTTGTTGAGGATTATGTGTTTTCTGATGATGAAGAGGAAGATCTGTTTGAGATAGCAGGAGACAAAGATGATGATGAGGAAGATGCAGCCGACGAAATCACAGATACTGAGACGAAGTCATCTAATAATAAGAACTCTAAGAAGACTAAGGGCACTTATAAAACCTGGCATAAGACTTACAAGAAGACTAAGAAGAAGAAGTCTCGAGTAGCAGCTTAGTTCTTTTTCTCTTCTTCAATGTTATGAAATCACTTTTTTTTTTGTTGGGGATGTTTGCAAAACAGCATTAAACAAAAATTTTGGAACAAAAAGGAATTTTAATGATTGAAACTGAAGTTATTCATCGACATCATCATAAACGCATTGACAAAAGTATTATTGTTGTACATTGCGCATATGCATCAAAGTCTAACATTCATGTATTATAATAAGGCTTCGATGATAGAGAAATCAAAGCAAACAGAGAGGAACGATTTGGTTTGTTGATTAACGCTGGAGGCCAGCTTTGATGTAAGCTGCGTAAAGATCCCTGCATTTCAAAACCATACATTGTTTGTTGGAACTTCGATAACAGAGTATAAACGTGTAAATGCTTTGGTGTTTGAGGAGAAATCAAAACTTACATGGAGTCCTTAATTGCGTCTATGGCAGCTTGAGCTGGAAGGAAACCCTCAACGGCGACTTTCTTGTTCTCGTTCTTCTTGTCTAAAGTTTTGTGTTAAGTGAAAAACTGAAATCAAAACATGAAAACTGAAAACAAATGCAATATATAATCTGATGTTTATTTTGTGGATACAGTCCTCAAAGAAGCGGCGGATTTCAGCTAGACGGTGAGGAGGAAGCTCTTTGATGTCTCTGTAGTGACGGAACTCGGGATCATCAGCACATACTGCAATTATCTTGTCGTCTTTCTCACCCTGCTAGTTTCAAAACAATGTGGTTCATGGTTTCACGTCACAGAGCTAGAAGAAAATGAAATCTTGGGTGTTTAAGACTTGTTGCCTGATCAATCATGGGCATTAAACCAATAGCACGAGCACGGAGGAACGATCCAGTTAACACAGGCTCCTGCAAAAATAGTTATCAATCATTTCAAGTTGGTTATTTCACTCTCTGTATATGTCAAGTTTGCATGAACAATTGAACATGACGCTAAGAAGAGTGGAGAGGAAGCACCTGCATCAGAACGAGGACATCTATTGGATCACTGTCTTCACAAATGGTTCGAGGAATGAAACCATAGTTGTGGGGGTACACAATGGATGAGTAGAGAACACGATCAACCTACACAGAACAACCATTCAGAGATCAGATTTATCCTTCTTTTAAAATCTTAAAATGAAGCATCTTTAGTTCGAATGAATAAACTATGACTTGTGCTAGTTCCATCAAGGAAGAGACTTCTTCATGTATGGTGCATATAACCACGGAATCAAACAAGAATATAAGGGATCAGAAGACAATCCATACTCAATCAGTAAAATACACTGTACCTTGATAAGGCCACTGTTCTTGTCTAGCTCGTACTTCACCTTGCCACCTTTGCTAATTTCCACAACCTGATAAATACTTCAAATTCGTTTACACTTTCAAAATGATAATTTTCTGCAACTCAATATAAGCAAAAGCTTACACAGTTGAAAACAGCAGGAGCTTCCGGACCTACAAGATTTAAACAAATACTCTCATAAGAGAATGAACATTTTAGCCATTCAATCAAAACTCTCATTGCAGCAATGCATATGACTTAAATCACATGACTATCCAAAGTATCAAGTACAAGGATAAATGACCCATATGGATGAATAACATCTATCACAGTAATTAACGTACCAATCTCCAAGTCATGCCAAGGATGAGCAGCAGCTGATCTGTGTGTGAAGGCTGCAAAGTTCCTTTCGTTCAGGGTAACATTGGGGTTCCTGAGAGGAGAGGTATAGCAGCTCTTGGGGCTCTCTTCATTCTTGTTCTCAGCCATTTCGAATGCTCACTACAACTCAAAGCAAAAACCATAAGCACTAAAGTTAGAGTCATCCAAGCATAATAAACTCAAAGCAAGCCATATACTCACTACTGAACAATTTCTACAACTAACCACAGGATAAAAACAACAAATCCTTCTACGTTCCAGCAGAATCCAATCTTCAAAACCATAATTCAGATTACACCTCCATTTTCAAATTCGAGCTGAGAAATGAAACACCCATACCAATCTACGATGTTCACTGTTCTAGTGCAAGTCAATTTCATCTAAGGAACAATCTTACAACCTGAGAGTATCAGAGATTTCGAAGAAACGTAGATCCATCCTCGATTCCATGTAATCACAAATCAAAATACTCAAAATCACCTCCTACTCTTATAATCTGTACTAGCTATCAATTTCGCAAAACTGAACAGAATCTAAAATCTGATATCATCAATCCAACAAAATGAAACAGTAGAAGCGACGAATCGATCATAAGCGAGTAACAATCCGAGTTCTAACCTCAAAACGAAGAGAAACCGATAGATAAAAAATGCAAAATCAGCGAAAATCACTCCGATTCAACAAGTCGGAACGAGAATCAAGCACGATTAACAGAAGAAGATAAACAAAAATGACTAATCGAATGGAGCAGAAGGAGAAATGATGATCTTACAGATGCAATTTCAAGTTTCAATCGCGCAGCAACCGAAGAAGAGATTCCGTAACGTTTCTCTCTTCTATCTATCTTCTCTTTTTTTGTGGCGCTTGTTTATTTATATTTGTAGAACAGTTACAGTAGAGTATTCGTGTGAGTGTGGTGCTCATGGCGCTTCTTTATGGACGTTGGAGGAAAGAGACGCTGACGTCACCATTTCCTTGGTTGTTGTTCATCGTCAATTGTACGATGAATAGTGTACGTTGATTTTGAAAGGGAATGGATCCGACGGATAAGAAATCTTTTGGAGATTTTGCTTTTTAATTGTTTTCTAAAATAGGCCTTTGCAGTGTGTACCTTTTAATCGAAGGAAAAGAAAAAGGACGACATTGATATGCCAAAAAAGCATCCACGTCACAAATCAATACATGACGCGTGTCCTGAGAATTAGGCACTTTCCTTATTGATTGTTTTTTAGTTTGGCAATAGTTCTTCAACTTGCTCAAAACAACTTTCAATTTTCTGGTTAATGAGACTTTTTTTTTAGCTTAAAGATTTATGTGGTTAAGTTCTAAGTTAATGAGACTCATAATGTTTAATTATTACATTTCTGTTTAAATATTATAAGCAGTGTTTTTCAGGTGATTGTCTAGAATCAAAGGATCCAAAAAGTAAAGCTAAAATTCGGTTTAAGACCTATGAAATGGGCTTAAAGAAGTCTTGTTAAGCCCAACATGCTAACCAAAAGCATAAAGCCTCTTAACCGCGACACGTGTACCCTTTACTCCACGTCATTCACTTTCGTCTTCTTCAGAAACGAAATCACAGAGAAATTTTCCATTTGATTGGTTCGAGATCATCATCGTCTTCATTGCGGCGTTTCAGTTGAAGATTTTGTGGACAGTTTCATGGAAGACGAATCAGGAAACGAAGGAGACGGAGATACAGCGATCGATTCACCACTTGCGAGATGGAGAATCGAATTCTCAAAGTCATTTCAGAATTACTTAGACAGATCGGCTCCTCACCTCGTTCGTAGATGGCTTGTGACTTTAATCGCCGCCGTGATCTACATCTACAGAGTTTACTACGCTTATGGATTCTTCGTCGTCTCCTACGGTCTCGCTACTTACATCTTAAACCTCTTGATCGGTTTCCTCTCTCCCAAAGTCGATCCAGAGCTCGAAGCTTTAGATGGTGGTGGTGGTGGTGGTGCTTTGCCTAGTGAAGATGCTGATGAGTTTAAGCCCTTTGTTCGTCGTCTTCCCGAGTTCAAATTCTGGTAAAGTCTTCTCTTTACGCTCGAGATAATTTCAATTGATTGATCTATTTTAGGTTTTGAATTTCTAATTTTGTGTGCGAATTTGATTTTTAGGTATGCTGCTACAAAGGCCTTTGTTGTTGCGTTTGTGATGACTTTCTTCTCGTTTCTGGATGTTCCTGTGTTCTGGCCGATCTTGCTCTGCTACTGGTTATTTCTGTATTTTCTCACGATCCAACGGCAAATCGTGCACATGATCAAGTACAGATACTTTCCTTTCGATTTTAGAAAGAAGAAGGTAACAAGCAGCTCAATTCATAGTTTCTTGACCTTCTCAATACTTGCTAAGACTCTAAGAGTCCTGAATATAAACTGTATTCGATCTAGCTTGAATCTTTTCTTAAAGGCAAGAGTCCTGAACATAGATTGTGTTGATGCTTTGACAGAGGCATGGTGGAAACGATAAGCCCAGTAGCAGCAATACATCTGAGGGAGATGAAAAGCGGGCTTAGATGTGAATCATAGACCAGCTCAATATGTATGTGTTTAAGCTAGTGATGCGGATACACACTAAGAGAAGCGTAACAAAACTTAGAAATGTCACTCATGTTTGAGTAATCCCTGCATTTTTCCGCCTTTTTTTAGTTTGTAAATGCCTAAACTTTAACAGTTTGTTTACATCTGTACTTCTCAATCAATTTGGGGATTACATGTGTGGAGAAAAAAGAAGTGTTCTTTGCATTTCCGACTTGGGAATGCTTTTGCATCTACTGTGTACAGCTGCTAACACAATGTTGACATTACTTCCAATATCTTGCAATGCAGAGAAAAGACACTGTATAGACACTTTCATCAGTGTAGTAAAATCCTGTTATCTCCTAATATTTACACACCCTTTTGGCAACCTCAAATGTTGCAATAAGATCAAATCAACCTTAAAAAGTTATCAAATCAGCACAAACAGAAAACAAGAACCCGCTGAGTCAAACAGAGTGTTTAATTTACTAAAGATGTTGTCTTTCAGATATTTCCCATATATTTATACATGGAAGTCCATAAACCAATCCTTTCTCTGATTCCATTTTCCGAATCGTTTCGAAATCAGCAGCCATGGAAGCAACTGCGAGAATCTTAAGCAGCTCTGCTCAGAATCGCCGTCTCCTTCTCAGAAAAATCACTGTGAAACCAGATTCTCGTCCGCTCAAATCCACAAGTGAGCTCTGTTTTCCCTTTCAGAATGCCGTCGCTTCCGGGGAATCCTCACTCTCCGTCGCTCGTGTTCGATGCTCTTCGCTTCCCACGAAAGCGAATCTCTTCAAGTCACTCTTCTCTCTAACGTCGAATTTCCGTCTCGAGGGCTCCGCCGTTCACGCCAACCCATTCCGATCCAAACCCAACGACGGCGTCGCAATTTGGAACAGAGCTCCGAGGAGCGTGAACGGAGGTCTAGGAAACGCGACGGCGTTCGGCGGGGAAGGGAAAGAGACGACGGTGGTTCTCCTCGGTTGGTTAGGAGCGAAAGCGAAACATCTGAGGAGATACGTTGAGTGGTACAACTCCAGGGGAATCAACGCCGTTACTTTCACCGTCGACGTTAGGGATTTGCTCCGGCTAGATCTCGGACGGAGGCTTGAACGGCGGATAGCTGAGTTCGGGAACGAATTGGTGAATTGGGTATCGGAGAAAGAAGATGATGGTAGAGAGAAATGCTTGGTGTTCCATAGTTTCAGCAACACTGGTTGGCTTGTGTAGGTTAATGCAAGCAAAATCCTTCATCTCTGTATATATTTATCTACTCTCTTCGCTACATTTTCACCAGAAATGAGTTGTGATCTTAGTGTTGATTTGAATTAGATGATGAATGTAATGAATTTTGTAAGCTATTTTACTTGTGGCAGCTATGGTGCATTGCTCGAGAGCTTTGTGGGTAAGCAAGACTTGGTAGAAAAGATTAAGGGCTGTATCATCGACTCAGGAGGAGCAGATCCTCTTGATACCAAGGTTTGTTCTTTTAAATGTTTCTCTATCTTTCATGAAATCAATACTCTTAAAGATGTGCCTTTTCCAAGTTTTTTTGCACTGCTTTCAGTTATTAGAAGTTGTTAAGACCAACACTGTTGTAGGTTTTGTGCTTCCTGGAGAGAAATGGAAAATTGCATTTTGAGCTATTTAGTCCTCTTTTTATGATTCATGCAATTGTGAACACTTGACTTGTTGAAAGAACTTTTGGTTTTGATAGTTAAGCAATGAGCTTTGTAAATGACCGTAGGTATGGACTATGGATGATAACCACTTATATGTATTTTGGTTGTTTAGCCAACATTCATAGATTAGTGAACAGTTTAGGCCTGTGTGAGCGCATAGTATATATCTTAGTTTGTTCATCCTAGTAGACGTCTGAGTTTCTCTTATGTTGTAAATTGTTTTGTTTACTTAATCATTGTGAACAAATCTTAATCATTCCTCTGGCCTAGAGTAGTAATGAGTATGCCTTTTTACTTATGTTTATGTATAGATCACCAATAGATTATGTTCTATTGCAGATTTGGGCAGCTGGGTTTACTGCTGCTATACTGAAGAAACGTAGCTCCACCGTAAACACAGAATCAAACTCGCAAAAGAAGGAACCTCTAGGAATCGAAAGCCTGATGCTGTCATCTCTAGAGAAACTCTTCCCCATCTTCTTAGACTTCCCTGATGTTAACAAGTACGTTTCACTCTATACATGACACTCATCTGCTTCTTGTTTGCCTTTTTTCGTTACAGTACTCATTCATTTCTGTTTGCAGGAGGCTGACGAAAATCATCGAGAAACTCTATGAGAACCATCCTCCATGTCCTCAGCTCTATCTTTACAGCTCCGGGGACAAAGTTGTGCCGTCTCATTCCGTAGAGTTCCGGATCCAAGGACAAGTGAAGATGGGGAGAAACATTCATTCTTTCAATTTCGGGACGTCTCCTCACGTCGATCACTTCAGGAGCTTTCCTGACTTGTACACCTCACAGCTTCACAACTTCTTGCAAGAGTGCTTCACTTCAAAACAGCAAGAAGCTCTGTGACTTTGAACATGTAGATCTTTTTGCAGAATCTTTGTAGCCCGCTTTATTGTTTCTTTTTAGATTTTTGAAAGTGGTTCAAGATTCTTATCACCCGGATTGTCAGATTCTCTTTCCCAATCTACTCCTATGGAATCTGTTGTAACAAGATAAACTCTAAAGGGAGATTTTAGCCAAGAATAATAGTGAGCAGTGAGTTCTACTTCTGTGTTTTTGGTTTAACTACTAAACCAATGAGTCGGAGTGAAGCTGAATCAGCCGGTTTGTCACCTGTCATAAATGAACCAACCATCTCTACCGGGAATTACCGAACCGGTTTAGGTTTGTCATCTCTCAGAGACGAGCGACTTCTGAGATCATTCACGATTGTTGACAATTCCGGTAGATTCGTAATTCTGATATTCGAAAAATGGCAGCTGCGAGAGATTCAAAGATGTCTCCGGAGAATTCGTTCGGTGCTGTCGTTCTCGGAGGTACGTTTGATCGATTACACGATGGGCATCGAACTTTCCTCAAGGTGATTGTTTTTGTTTCTCTCTCTCTCTCTCTCTCTTCCATTTCTGCTTATGTATGGAGTTTTTCTGAGAATCGAAGTGATAATTTGAACTTTTGTGGTGTGGGTGGAATACTCAGGCAGCGGCGGAGCTGGCTAGGGATCGATTAGTGGTGGGAGTATGTGATGGTCCAATGTTGACGAACAAGCAAGTAAGTCAAATCACACCTTTAGGTCTCTTATCGATTTTTGCCCTCTTTGCCTGGATTAGTTTGCAATTTTGAATTTAGCAAGCATTTCCAGAACGAGAAATGTGGTAAATTTTTATCAAATTTCAAAACTTTAGCGAGATTGAAATCATATATAGCTAAGTTCAGTGGCCTTCATAGATTTCGAGTTGAAACGATATGCGTATGACCAAGAGGCAAATGAAGATCCTTTGAACTTCTTTGTTCTGTTATTCAAAGCTAAAAGTCTAAAACTTTTATACTTTGTTGTATTTCTCCTCTTTACCGTATTTTGTTCAATTTCAGAACTTACGTGAGATTGAAGTCTTACATAGTGGCCTTGATTGATCTAAAGGGCAATAGAAGCACCTTTGAACATTTTTGTATCCGTGATTTAAAGCTGAAACTGTTTATCCTTTGTGAATGAGTGATTTCTAGTTCACTACTTCATATTTCTCCTCATCTTGAGCTCTTTTGTGTGTACAGTTCTCTGAAATGATACAACCCATTGAAGAAAGGATGCGTAATGTGGAGAACTATGTCAAGGTAAAGTTTTTTATATACAATACTCACATCATTTAACTTCTTACTGCCGTGTGACATGTGGAATGATTGATAAAAGATGAAGTAGGGTTTCTCTTACTTCATGTTCTTGCTTGTGTAGTCTATTAAACCCGAGCTGGTTGTACAAACCGAACCTATTACCGATCCTTATGGTCCTTCTATTGTCGATGAAGCTTTGGAAGCTATTGTTGTCAGGTTTTTCACTCATTTTTCACATGTTTAATTGTGTTCACATTATGTGCTTCAAGAAAAGGTTTTAACTTGATGATAATCTGCAGTAAAGAGACGTTACCTGGTGGCTTGTCAGTTAACAGAAAGAGAGCAGAAAGAGGGCTCTCTCAACTTAAGGTTGTTTCTTCTTTCTATGCATTTTTAAGATCTTAAACAAGAATTACTTCTTAGATCAATAATATTTTCTAAACTTGTGAAATGCTTGTGCAGATCGAGGTTGTGGAAATAGTATCGGATGGATCTAGTGGAAACAAGATAAGCTCGAGTACTCTGAGGAAGCTGGAAGCAGAGAAAGCCGCCAAGGAACAAAAACAACCTGCAGAAGATGAAACATCATAAACTTGTAACAAGAACTAATCAATGTCATATGTAAAAAAAAATCTACTTTGTTTGTAATCTTAATGTACGTTTGTTTATGCAAATAATGAATCTTTTGCTTCACTGTAAATGTTGTATAATGGGCTCTTTGGCTGCAACAGATGAATAAAGGTCGAGACTTTTGTATTTCCCTTAGCGTAAAACGCTGCCGTTTGGTTACTGTGCAAACGACGACGTTTCTGACAAAGAGAATCATCGAGGCCTAAACGGAACAGAAACGTTTTCAAAGCAACGGCTCTTTTGTAGATTTTGAATTCTAATTTGTTGAAAAACTGAATGAAAAAAATCGGATTCTTGAAGATCTTCTTTATAACTGCCTCATCCTCTCTTTTTCTCTTTTAAAATTTCAAACCATTCTTCTGACTTCTGATCTTAGAGAGAAAGCGCAGAGAAAGAAGCGAGAAGAGAGAAGAGAGGAGGAAGTTGAGAGGAACGGTTTCGTGTGAAGCAAGCGTGTACTAGGTAACTAGTCTTCTTCTTCCTTATGATCGATCGTAGAGTTTCTGTTAGTATCCGCCATTGAAATCAATTTTCTCTCTTTCGTTGCAGTTCCTTTTCTTTTTCCCGAAAAACTGAAACATCCCGTTTCAGAGATAACGAATCGATTCTACTCCGATAACACTGTAATTCATCTCTTCCTTTATCTTCGAAATCTTCAATTAATTTAGTCTCTGTTTACAGGTTCTCACTCTCTTTCCCCCAAATTCTTCTTTTCTAGGGTTTTTCTGCGGAATTTCAAACTCGTTTCTGCGTAAGATGAATGATCTGATGACGAAATCGTTCTTAAGTTATGTCGAATTGAAGAAGCAAGCGAAGGAAGAAGACACGACGGAATCATCAGAGCGCGACGTCGAGAAAGGGGATTTCGATTTCAGCCCAGCGGACGAAGAAAACCTCTCTGTTTTCTTCAAAGAGATCGAATCGATCAAAGCCCAGATCGAAGAGATCTCCAATCTCCTGCTCGATCTCCAGAACCTAAACGAAGAGACGAAATCAACACACAGCGCCAAGATCCTCCGCGGATTGAGAGACCGTATGGAGTCGAACATCGTCTCCATCTCCCGAAAGTCCAACGCAGTCAAAACCCTAATCGAGACTCTGGAGAAGAGCAACGCCGCGAATCGAGCGAGTTTCAAGGAAGGCTCCTCCGTCGACAGGACACGTGTCACGATCACGAACGGGGTGAGAGCGAAGCTGAGAGACACGATGAGCGAGTTTCACCGGTTGAGGGAGAGGATCTTCGCCGATTACAGAGAAGAGCTCAAAAGGAAGTACTTTTTGGCTACCGGTGAAGAAGCGAGTGACGATGACATGGAGAAGATGATCTCCGGTGGGTTTGTGAAGACGTTTGAAGTGAGGCCGGAGATGGATTTGAAGACGAAAGAGAGACATGAAGCTGTGAATGACATCAAGAGGAGTCTCAACAGGCTTCATCAGGTGTTTCTGGATATGGCCGTGCTTGTTGAGACGCAGGGAGATAGGATCGATGACATTGAAGCGAATGTGGCTAATGCAGGGAGCTTTGTGAGTGGAGGAACCAACAGTTTGTTCTATGCGAATCAGATGAAGAAGAAGAGCAAGAAATGGGTCTTTTGGGTTTCGCTTTTGGGTGTGATCGTTCTTCTCGTGTGTTTGATCTCCATGATTGCTTCTCGTTGATGTGTTTGGTGGGAGAGATTTGTTGCTTCTTTTGTGTTCTTTTGATTTGTCTCGATCGAAACTTTTAGTAGATTTTCTCAAGTGTATTTGCATTGCTCCTAGCTCTATGAATCCATTAGATACTTCCATGATTGCTTCTCGTTGAGTGTTACTAAGAACATAACACATCAAAAGCCTAGAGTTGAAGGAAGATTCGAAATACACTAGTAAGAACAATTTACCATTGTTTCTAAAGGAGAAGAGAAGTAAAAGCTAAGTAGGATCATGAGTGAGGACTTGGAGAAGATGAGACATCTTCAGTACGTGTAAGTGGTGGTTGAAGTGTGACCGGATCTACTCTATTGATTTGTAAAAGCACTTCCATGGCACGTTTGAGGTATGCCACATCGTCCTTCATCCCGTCCGTGTTGTCTTCCATACCAAGCTTGGACTTGATATTCATGAGCAAGGCCTCTGATGATTCTGAAGTATCTTTTTCACCACTTTCAAGAAATTCCAACGAATCCCTCACATACTGAAACATACACAAAGATGGAGATGAAATGATCGATCAAGCAATATGGTCACAAGTGTGCATTCATCATCAGTGGCTTGTTTATATACAGTTTCCTTCTTTTCGTTAATTTCAGCCTTGGCTTCCGCTGCTGTATCAGTATCACCTATGCCAAAAAGACCTAAACAGAAGGGGACTAAACAAAAATAATAACGATATATTAGTATATTAGCATCGATGAAAACTTTGAAGGGAATATTAAATATAAATATCTCTCTATATACCTATTACAAATGCCCCAGACCGTGTGATGACCTCGCTCCAGAATTCATGAAGATCTCTCTCCCGTTTACTATGCCATTCTCGGTTCGTCTCTACAATCACATTTAAGATAAAAATAGGAAAAGATCAACTCTTCTTTTTAAATTTCCCTAAAGCGAATTTGATAGATTTCTTGAGGAGCCGGAGAACAAAATGGTACTTGCGGATGAAGAGAAATTGCGGCGAGACACAGCCAATCTCCCTCCGCAACTTGCCTGCGCGGTGAAGGATCTCATCAGAAGCCTAAGAGTCGTCGTCATGATTCGCACAAATAGGGTTCGCTCTTCAAAAGCGTTTGAATAGGGTCAAATGGCACTTCGTTTTGCTTTATCCCCCTAGAATGACTGTTGGGCCGTGACCGGGTTTTTTAGGGTTTGCCTAACTTGCACCCGATTTTTTTTTTTTAATTTTCTTGTCAGCCAATTTATTGGATTATTGCAGAAAAGAACTTTGTTTATTTTATGCAAGGTTTCTTTTTTTATGGGAGGTTTCATCGGAAGAACGTAACGAAAGAAAATAACATTTTTCTCTGATTTGCAGCCGAAGAAGCTGGCTAAGATGCAGCGGGATCACCCTAAAAGAACATTTTTTTGATTTTCTTGTTAGCCAAGTTCGTTTGTTAATTCATTTAGAATGATTTGCCTAACCGTATATCAGGATTTTTCAGGTTTTGTTTCATGAATCTTTCATTATCCTCCACATTTGTTTCTTTTCTTGTTAGTCATATACCAAACTTGGCTTAAGAGAAACAAGTACACGATACAATGTTATGATGTTGTTTCTATTCGACTTGTAGATATGTGAAGATTCTGAATCGAGACAAAAGTTTATAATTAATATATGACTACTAGAGATTCAACAAGAATCAAACAAAAAGTTGGTGAGGTTGACAAATATGTGATACAAACAATCGAAAACAAACAAGAAACAAATGTAAATGAACAAAGTCTTACACCTGGTTTGTATCAAACCTTAACTCAAACGAATGGTTAGTAAGTTAACTGTTAGGCCGATTTTTTTAAGTAGATCATTTACTTGATTATTATGGGTTGCTAATTGATCTTTGAATTAGATGATTGATTGATCAATTGCGATTTCATTTACCATTTAGTCTACAAAGCAGCATACTAGTCACTAAAAACCAATGAATTATAATCATTAAATCGTATACTATTTCACTGACTACTAAACCATATTGGCCCATATTTAGTCAAATTGGCTGTTATGTGGGTAACGTTGAATAAATGAGTGATGGTGTCATAGTAAGAGAATTGATAAGTGTGAGCCGAGAACATATGGTTCTCAATCTTATCAAAACTTTGTCAATCCCAATGGACAAACACACAAAATTGGAATCAATACCCATCATGCTTTTCTTCTTTATTTTTTTTATGGACCCATACACATAACTTACATATGCATTTGTGCATTACACAATATCTACTTCTCACTTTGTGTACATATACATTTATGTGCGTGTGTATGTATACAATACGATTGTGGTCCACATAGCAAACATGACCACTCCTTGTAAGTTTTAAACAATTCTCCTGAAGTCCTGATTGTAATTTGCAATGATTCATTTTGCTAGCTTTTGAAAGGAAATGATCAATTCTCATCAATACACTACTAGGAACAATTTATCATTGTTTCTAAAGGAGAAGAGAAGTAAAAGCTAAGTAGGATCATGAGTAAGGACTTGGAGAAGATTAGACATCTTCAGTACGTGTAAGTGGTGGTTGAAGTGTGACTGGATCAACTCTGTTGATTAGTAAAAGCACTTCCATGGCACGTTTGAGGTATGCCAAATCGTCCTTCATCCCGTCCGCGTTGTCTTCCATACCAAGCTTGGACTTGATATTCATGAGCAAGGCCTCTGATGACTGTGAAGTATCTTTTTCACCACTCTGAAGAAATTCCAACGACTCCCTCACATACTGAAACATACACAAAGATGGAGATGAAGTGCTGGGCAATATGGTCACAAATGTGCATTCATCAGTGGCTTGTTTTATATACCTTTTCCTTCCTCTCGTTAATTTCAGCCTTGGCTTCCGGTGCTGTATCACATATGCCAAAAAGACCTAAACAGAAGGGGACTAAACAAAAATAATAACAATATATTAGCATCGATGAAAGCTTGAAGGGAATATTAAAATATAAGTCTCTCTCTATATTAGACCTATTACTAACCCCCCACACAGTGTGATGTAGTGGCGAATCCAGAAATTATGAAGATCTGTCTCCCATTTTCTATGCCATTCTCCGTTCGTCTCTACAATCACATTTAAGATGACAATAGAAAAAGATCAACACTTCTTTTTAGATTTCCCTAAAGCGAATTTGATAGATTTCTTGAGGAACCGGAGAACAAAATGTTACTTGCGGATGAAGAGAAGTTGCGGCGAGACACAGGCAATCTCCCTGCGCAAGTTGCCTGCGCGGTGAAGGATCTCATCAGAAGCCTAAGAGTCGTCGTCATGATTCGCACAAATAGCGTTCGCTCTTCCAAAGCGTTTCAATAGGGTCAAATGGCACTTCGTTTTGCTTTGTCACCCTAGAATGACTGTTGGGCCGTGACCGGGTTTTTTAGGGTTTGTTTAAACTAGGGTTTGCCTAATTTGCACCCGATTTTTTTATTTTCTTGTCAGCCAATTTATTGGATTATTGCAGAAAATAACTTTGTTTATTTTATGCGAGGTTTCATCGGAAGAACGAAAGAAAATAACATTTTTTCTCTGATTTGCAGCCGAAGAACTTTTTTTACTTTTCTTGTTAGCCAAGTTCGTTTGTTAATTCATACAGAATGATTTGCCTAACCGTGAGTAAGTTAGTATCATGAGTGAGGACTTGGAGCAGAGGACACATCTTCAGTACGTGTAAGTGGTGGTTGAAGTGTGACCGGATCAACTCTGTTGATTAGTAAAAGCACTTCCATGGCACGTTTGAGGTATGCCACATCGTCTTTCAACCCGTCTGTGTTGTCTTCCATACCAAGCTTGGACTTGATCATGAGCAAGGCCTCTGACTCTGAGGTATCTTTTTCACCACTCTCAAGAAATTCCAACGACTCCCTCACAGATTCAGCAGTGGGTTGTTTAGATCCCTTTTCCTTCCACTCGTTAAGTTCAGCCTTGGACAAACCTAAACAGAAGGGGGAAAAAACAATGATATGTATATGTATGTATTAGCATCGTTGAAAACTTGAAGGGAATATTAAATAGAAATCTCTCTCTATATACCTATTACAAGTCCCCCACACAGTGTAATGACTACACTCCAGAAGTTATGAAGAGCTTTCTCTCGTTTTCTATGCCATTCTTCGTTCGTCTCTACAATCACATTTAAGATTACAATTAACAAATGAATTTGATAGATTTCTTGAGAAGTTGGAGAACAAATGACCCTAAAACACAAAATGTCAAAATGTTACCTTCAATAACCTGGGATGAAGAGAAATTGCGGCGAGACACAGGCAATCTTCCTCCGCGAGTTGCCTGCGTCTGAGTGGTGAAAGATCTCATCAGAAGCCTCAGAGCCGTCGTCATGATCCGCACAAATAGCGTTCGCTCTTCAAAAGCGTTTCAATAGGGTCAAATGGCACTGCGTTTTGCTTTATCCCCCTACTGTTGGGCCTTGACCGGTTATTTTTAGGGTTTGTAAAAACTAGGGGAGCCCCACCTGATTTTTGTTTATTTTAGGATGTACACACACAAAAATAAATGTTATTTTCTTTCGTTCTTCCAATGAAACCTCGACTTGGAATGAAAGAACTGAGAAGAACAAAACACAAGTTATTTCAAGTGATATTAACCTTTTGCATATACCAAACTTGGCTTAAGAGAAACAAGTACACGATGCAATGTTATGATGCTGTTTCTATTCGGCTTGTATATATTGTGAAGATTCTGAATCGAGACAGAAGTTTATAATTTATATATGACTACTAGAGATTCAACAAGAATCAAACAAAAAGTTGGTGAGGTTGACAAATATGTGATACAAACAATCGAAAACAAACAAGAAACAAATGAAAATATGTCCTACACCTGGTTTGTATCAAACCTTAACTCAAACGAATGGTTAGTTAGTTAACTGTTAGGCCGATTTTTTAAGTAGATCATTCACTTGATTATTATGGGTTGCTAATTGATCTTTGAATTAGATGTATACTAGTCACTAAACTAAGGAATTATAATCATTAAACCGTATACAATTTTACTGATACGAAACAATATTGGCCCGTACTTAGTCAAATTGGCTGTTATGTGGGTAACGAATTTTCAATTGACTATGAGATTTTGTGGACGTTGGAATAAATGAGTGATGGTGTCATAGTAAGAGAATTGATAAGTGTGAGCTGAGAACATATGGTTCTCAATCTTATCAAAACTTTGTCAATCCCAATGGACAAACACACAAAATTGGAATCAATACCCATCATGCTTTTCTTCTTTATTTTTTTTATGGACCCATACACATAACTTACATATGCATTTGTGCCATTACATAATATCTACTTCTCACTTTGTGACATATACATTTATATGACTGTGTATGTATATAATACGATTGTGGTCCACATACCAAACATGACCACTCCTTGTAAGTTTTAAACAATTCTCCTGATTGTAATTTGCAATGATTCATTTTGCTAGCTTTTGAAATGAAATGATCAATTCTCATCTTTTTTCAAAAAAAGCTATATGTTTAGTATCTATCACAGACTCTTTTACTCATTTCAACATTATAGTTTTAATAGTGATAATGCTGTGAAGAAGATGAATAACAAATATTTAGATTAAGATGAATGGAATGTACAATTAGACCGAATGGAATGTAAACCTTCAATATAGGACAGTAAGTTTCCCAAAAGACAAGTAAGAAAAAGTAGGTTGCATAAACTGTTTCCTAAATGGCCAAAAATTATAAGATTATAATACATATCACTTGCTGGAGTTTGATCTTAACCACCTGTATCAAGATTTGAACCTCCTCATATATAAAGTTAGATATGATGGAGTAAACAAATGGTGTTAAAATGGGCGGCTTACTAGTTTTAATTATGTAAATTGATACATCATATTCATACATAAGTGAATTTGATGTGTACATTATTTCAAATATTTCCTATTGTTGGATAAGGTCAAACAAAAAAACTGAAAAAGGAAGTACGTATATTGTTCTATTTCCCAACAGGCAAGTAAGGAAATGTTATGTGGAGGGAATACTATAGATTTAAGAGACTAGTTGTGTATTATTATACTTAGCACGATAATATGTTTACTCTTATTAACGAAATCTATCTTTTAGATATGGATTAGACCAAATTTTAGCCATAAGGAGAAAGTTAGATTACTTCTTGTGGTTGACTTTAACTATTGATTGCGATTTTCATTAAAACAAAAAATCAAAATGAGTGGAAACAAATTCATTAAAAACGTAGGAAACAACAAAAAAATACACGAAGATAATGAATATCAAGAAAGGAGATAGACACATATTACCTATTTACATCATGTTGACAAAAATAAAACCGTACATACAATTTACCGACCAGATATGTTATTGCCACATGCAGTAAGCCAATGTCGATTAAAGTCAGGTCGTTCCAAAAGAGGCTAAGTATATGATTAATTAATTAAAAAAAAAAGATTAGAGTTAAACTGTTTCCCGACAAAACTATTTCTTTAACGTTAAAATAAAAATCAAATTTAATGAAAAAGTTTCTTCTCTCTCTCTCTGCCTTTAGCGTTTCTTTGAAAACTATAAGAAAAAGCAGAGACTTCGGATCCCTTTTTTTGTAAGAAGAGAGAGAGAGAGATAGGTTCGTTGGTGGACCACTTCTTTTGCCTCGGTGAGATCGACGGCGGAGCTAGACGACGGCGTTTAAGCCGGTGAAGCCATGCACAAATAGTCACCGGCGAATCCGTCTTTCTTCCCGGAGACGACGAGCATCGGAAGAATCCGATAGTAAACAGCGATGTTTGTCTCTGTTTCTTCGTTTTCTCTCTCCGATCTGGTCTCTCGGATCCGGTGAAGAAGCTCCCGCCGTTCTAGTCTTTGAGCTCGTTCCTTAGTTAATAATATTCGCTTGATCCGTCAATTTCATCGAGGTTGGTTTCCCATTTCTCTACTTTTTCGATTTCCTCTCATTTTCGTTTCACATTTGGGGAAAAAAGTTCTTCTTCTTCGTCCCTTCTTCCTCTGATTCTGGATCTGTTTCATCATTTTGTCCCTTCTTCTTCTTCGTCCCTTCTTCTTCGTCCCATTTGGTATGATTGGTTTTGAGCTAAGAGTAATGTAAATCTGAGATTTTGAATGATTGGGTCACGAAATCTTATCTAATTCGAGCCATTTGATTAAAGATGTGTGCAAATTCGAAGATTTTGTCTGTGAAAGTGTCGAGCTTTGAGTTTAGTTCCCTTTAAATTGGCTTTGATCAGATTATAAAAATGTAAACTTTGAGTTGATTTCTTCTGATTACAGTTGTGGTATGCTGAGAAAGAGATGTCCTTGAAAAGCATCCTTCGTGATCTGAAGGAAGTAAGAGACGGACTTGGAGGGATCTCAAAGCGAAGCTGGTCATCGAAGTCGTCTCACATTGCTCCTGACCAAACGACGACACCACCGGAGAACATCTCGCAGAGCCCTTGGGCTTCTCTGCCGCCTGAGTTGCTCCATGACATCATCCGGAGGGTTGAAGAGAGTGAGACCGCTTGGCCAGCTCGAGCAGCTGTGGTCTCTTGTGCTTCTGTCTGCAAATCATGGAGAGGAATCACAATGGAGATTGTGAAGATCCCTGAGCTGTGTGGGAAGCTCACTTTTCCAATCTCATTGAAACAGGTAAAAGAAAAGTTTCAAACTTTGTTCATCATCATGATGATTCATGTTCAAAGCTCTAAGGTCTCTTTGTTTGATTTGTGAGCAGCCTGGGCCTAGAGACTCTCCTATCCAATGCTTTATTAAGAGGAACAGAGCAACAGCTACATATATTCTCTACTATGGCTTGATGCCTTGTGAGTGATCCTTGTTTCTTGACTAAAGTTTAAGTAAATTGCTTTTCAACATTGTTCTAACGATGATCCATTTTCCGAATTTCAGCTGAGACGGAGAATGATAAACTCTTGTTAGCAGCAAGAAGGATTAGAAGAGCGACGTGTACTGATTTTATAATCTCACTGTCTGGTAAAAACTTCTCACGGAGAAGCAGCACTTACGTTGGCAAACTAAGGTATGCAATTGTATTGAGCTTTACCATTGAAAGCTCCTTTCTCTAAAGTCTAATCAGTCTCTACTTGTAATCCTGGATAGGTCTGGTTTTCTAGGAACCAAGTTCACAATATATGACAACCAAACAGCATCAACCACCACAGCACAAGCACAACCTAACCGAAGACTTCACTCTAAGCAAGCATCATCCCTAAAGTTACCTGCTACTAGCTACACCGCAGGAAACATAACCTACGAGCTCAATGTTCTTCGCACGAGAGGACCTAGAAGAATGCATTGCGTTATGGACTCTATACCGTTATCTTCTGTTATCGCTGAACCATCTGTAGTTGGAGTTCAAGGCGTGAAAGAGGAAGTAGTCTCTTCCTCGCCTTCGCTGAAAGGAGAAACCAGCTCAACAACAGAGAAAGAGATCATCACTGATGTTTCTCCAAGCTTGTTGGATCAGCCGCTGGTTCTGAAAAACAAATCACCAAGATGGCATGAGCAGTTGCAGTGCTGGTGCCTCAACTTCAAAGGGAGAGTGACCGTTGCTTCGGTTAAGAATTTCCAGCTTGTGGCTGACATTGACCCTTCTTTAGATGCGCCGCCTGAAGAGCATGATAGAGTGATCTTACAGTTTGGCAAAATCGGCAAGGACATTTTCACTATGGACTATCGCTATCCTCTCTCTGCTTTTCAAGCCTTTGCTATATGCATCAGCAGCTTTGACACCAAACCAGCGTGTGAAGGGTAAAAGTTAATCCATATCTGCAAATCATCATAGAAGGCCATGAAAAGCTCTCTTTGTATGTAGATTGTTTGTAGCTCTTTGCACTCTGCTCTAAACTCGCCTCTCCTAATTCACTGTGACAAAAATTTGATGGGGGCTCTTGGTCGATAAGCTTAATGAAGTTATGATTGTTATATCCAATGTAATATATATAAACAGAAGCCATTATTACACAACAACATATGATACTCTGATCTTTAAATCCTAATGTCATAATATCAACTGTGATCTTTCACAGTCAAACTTCTCCTGCCCAAAGTTCTCATCTCAGCGTGGAATAAGTGAGGAACTCCATTGAAGTAAATTGAAATGGCTGGCGCGGAATAGGGTTCCTACAATCACAAAGATTAAGAGTCAAGCAAAGGCAATCATAACTTCAAATTACAGTGTACAATGTGCAGTTTAAGATGTGTAAAGGAGAGATGGAGACTCACGGTCTAGGGCCGTAAACTTTGATCTGGCGGATATGAGTATCTCTTCCATTGAGATGGTTCGACAAAATGGCTATTTGCAACATAAATGTATTGACAAAAGTTTCCCTGTGAAGAGAAACACAATATAAGTGTTATGCTTAGTAGCCTACAAACACAAGCAATTCTTGTGAATCAACTCGAGACAGCAGAAGTCAATTTAAACTTTCATACAAAGTAAGTAAAACCTCAAAGCCAATGGCTCAAAAGCTAACATTGAAATCCCAACATATCTCAGAGAGGAAACTTGCTAGCCTAAAGACATGTCTAAGCAAATATTATCTTGCAAAGTTTATCTACAGAAGACCTTCTTTACAAGTCAAAGAGAGAACAAAAAATCTGATCATTGAACTAACATTGTAGCAAACACTCTGATCAAAACCATAATTTGAAGAGATAGTAAGAAACATAAATGGCGTAGAGATCATACCGTGGATCGGTTCCAGAGAGAGATAAGCAAACCCAACCAGTAGGCTTTACAAGCTCCACACTTTTTATCTCCTAAACAATTGAAGAAGAAGAAGAAGGAGACACAACATGAAATATCAATCCATCACAAGTTAGAAACAGAAGTATATACAGAAAAAAATATATTTAACCTTTAAGTTATGGAAGCCATCACCAGCTCGAATAGAGATTTTACTGGGCGTATAGCTCTCATCAAGCTTAAAGTCAACGTACAGAACCACTAACTGTCAAAATCAAAAGGGCTCAAAATCAATAATCGAAAATCGGAAGATCCGAATCATTTTCTCAGAAATGGATCATAGTCATACCTGCAATTTCACTTTCTTCTGGAACTGAATGTTAATCAGATGTGGTTGTAAACCATCTGATCTGCAAATTCAGAAAATAGCCCCAATTAGCGAGATAGAGAAGGATTAGAGAGAAAGAGATGGGATTTAGGGTTTTTCTTAACTGCCAATAGGTCTCGAGATTGTCGTCGCAGAGTGTGTTGACGCCATTGCCAGGCTTGCAAGAGCTAACACTCCAAGCGGCGTTCTTCCCCATCTCTCTCAGATCGTCGTCTACAATTAGCTTATCGTTTCCTCCTATGATCTTTCCTTCTTCCTCCGATTCCGATGATTCCGTCGCCATTTCTATCTCCGATGTCAGCGAAGCTAGATTCGAGATTTGAGATTTCACCACTTTCTGCTAAAACCCTCCAACGAGGTTTTGAATTCGTCTTATGTGAGCTCAGTGCTCATAGAAAAACGTCGTGTTGTTAGTGAATGTGAAAAACGACACGAGGTTTGTTTTTATTAAGCGGAAACGACGCGATGTTTACTTTTTGAGTAAAGAGAACAAACATTTTAGAAATTGGAACGACTTTGGTTTATAGACTGAAAATGAATGAAATTATTTCATGTATTTTGAAAAATCAAAGGAATAAACAATAAGATATTTTCAATTCTTCTGAGAACGACATCTCATAAATTGTATTTTTGGAGTTTCAAATAATAACAGTATATAAGAGATTTCCAATAAATGAAAGAAGAGAAGAGATAGCAACTCTTAGGAACCGAAAGAACAAAAGAAGGTCCACTTCGGTTAAAAATCTCTGCAACCACAATGATGCCCACTCTTTGTGGTTCTCATTTTTCAACCTTCGATTTTCTCAAAGTCTATTAACTACTCCTTCTTCAAAAACTACCTCCGATTTTCTTATTTTTCTGTTTATGGATAATATCCTGATGTCATAGATCTTGTCAAAATCAGACAGTTCATGGATTAGATCACTGGTAGAAAAATTGATATGAGAAAAGAACATTGACCCACTTGTTAGCTTGAAAGCTACTTTTAGAAAACATATTATGATACATACAGAGAGAAATTGTGTCAGCATCAGTAACATTATACATGTCACTGTAGTATTAGATTGATAGTAGATCGATAAACTTGGACAAGAAAATGATTGATTATTTTTATCAAAAAAATAGTTGGAGAAGAAATTATTAGGCTGAAAGTTCTATTTGTTTTGAAAGGTTTCATGCAGTGTTATTCATATACTCGAGTTACGTAGGTTCAATGCAAAATATAAACATCCAATGTTTTGAAAATGCAATTTATGTCTATCAGTTGTTCATAAAGAAAAAAGATATCTACATACTGTATATCCACAGAAAAAAATATCGTGCTTCCAGACAATTAATATGGTACCTGCGAAATAAATACATACTATATGATATATTAAATGATTTATCTTATTTTCATTATATCCCAACTGAAAAAATCATTTTGAATTTATCAAGCCAACAAAACTAAAACCGATATCATAAATGCATGAAGTACTTGAGAAAGATAAGGAAAAAACTAGCCAGTGGATAGCTGCCTTCTTTATCACTCTTCTTATTTTTTTTTCTGTAAAATGTATAAAACTATCTTTACAATTAAACTGACCTTGATTTGTTAGTCGCATAGTCACCGTTTACTAGATCATCCAATTGTTTTCACTAAATCTGATAAAACTATGGCGACCTAATAAATTTATACCATTCTCCTACAATGGCTAAATGAGAACATATTGATGGCTACATTTAGACTTTAGTTGACAATGTGATCTTAGAAATATTGGAATTTTTACAAGTTGCAGAAAGAAAATAAATACTTTGCTTCGATATTATTATATCCAAGAAGGAATTGTAATCCACCACAAGAGTTTTCTCTTTCTTCTACTACAATCTATAAGTGCTCAATATTTATCTATTCTCTATATATATATATATATATATTATTATCTTTATAAAACAAAATTTACAAAAGATTGTTGGTGACAAGACCATTTGATTGCTATCTCCAGTTCTTCTGGTTTTAAATATCAGAAAACAAGGACATCAAAGGATAAGGCAAAAGCTGGAATTTGGTTTCCATAAACTAAATTGCGATATTGTCACTTTGATGAGCAAATTTAATAGAATCTGCTTCTGATTCTGATGATGTTCTCAACTATATTTGCTTCAATGAATTTCTTAGTAATGGAAACCGAGGCTAGATGTGTTGTAGAGACTCTGTGACTGAGTTTCCCAGCTTGCAGATGGCTGAAACAGAATGATACAAAGAAACAAGTTACTTCTTTGACAAGTAATAAAAGTGCAGAAGATTCAGAGAAGTTTCCAGATTGATTTATGTGCTTACAGCTTCAACTGATGTTGTTTGGTTGGGGTTTATCACCGATAAATCTAGAGATCCTTGCTGATCCAACGGAAACAATGGCATATCAACCATTATTGATGGCTTTGAAGCAACTACTACTGGAAGATTTGTAAAGTAAGCGTGAAACTGAAATTTCAAAACCATTTCAGATTATTATGATACGTTCTTGAGTAATAACAATTTGATCTTGAAGGGCCAAGAGAGTGTGTGTTTCACCTGTTTTACAGATATATCTTCAACGGCAAGCTCGAGTTCTGGGTTTAGGACAGCGAGTTTCATCGACAAGAACTGCAAAATTTTGTCACTTGAAAGATTTAGACTTCATCTACTTTGATTAATGGTGAAACAGAGAATCATGGTTTCACTATTTACCTCAACTTGTCTCTGGAGAGACTGAACATAATTGATGATCTCATCAAGCATGCCGGCTTTTCCAGTGACTTTGTTGCATCCAGGCACAAGATCTTGCAGATATTTCATCTTCTTGCTGATCTTTTCTCTTCTCGCCTGTAAATAAAAATCCATTCAAAAACCCTAGAACTAATCTTGTTCCTTGTGTCGCAAGAATTATACTTGAAACACTTTTTTATTACCCTTTCTGCTAAGCTGTGTCTGTCCGTGGCTTGGCCTCGACGAGCTCTCACGTGGATATAATCTAATTTCTGGATCTCTGAAGCTCCCTTCGATGTCTCCTTTGAAGTTTCTGAAGTTGCTTCTGTGTTACTCATGTTTGATTTTCCTTTCATGCTTGACTCTGTCTCAGCCTCTACTTTGATCTTCTTCTCTGTCTTTTCCTCTTCCCTTGTTTTAACCTGAGACATTGCTAAAAATCCATATCAAAACCCATGTTTCAAAACATAACTTTTACCCAAAATTTGATCTAACAAACCTCTGATTTTCTCTTGTTTTTCAAGGCAATGGCTCTGTTTTCATCACTGTTCTTCAACATAATCCCCATTGTATCCACTGGATCCATATGGGAGCTACTTGTTCTTGAAATGCAGCCATCCATAGCTTCATTTGGAGTACCAAACCCCATATTATAGTTTGGTCCAAAACCAGATCCAAGCATTTGAAAATGGCTGAGAGTACTCTGCAACAGTTCACCATTGTTGCTTCCATGGAACTGAAGCATCTGAAGAAGTTCAGGTGAACTATTACTGCACTGAGAGACAACTTGTTGTTGCTGCTGTTGCAGCCATTTAAGCCTTTCAAGTACAGACGTGTCCATAGAGCTTAGGGACAAGCTATCTGGAGAGACAAGACCTTCCAACATATTGTCTCCAGAAATCTCGTAGCTTCTATTTATGTATTTGATCTTTAAAGTGAGACCAAAAGTACAAACAGAATAGAGAAAGAGAATTTTTTTTTTTATATAAAAAAGAAGCTCTGAATGTTTTATTTTTGGGATGGCTTTAAAGAAAAAGAGGATTTGCTATAAATGTATGAAGAAGGAGAGATTTAGGTTTATGTAATGTTGTATTGGTAGGTTGCTTAGAAAAGATGAAAGAGGTGGGAGAAACTAATCCATTGATATCATTCTTCTTAGCTTTAAATAGAAAACAACATTGACCCACACACATAGGTCCCCTACTTCTTATGTTTTCTATTTTTCCTTTTTCAATGTTTAATTTCATTTACTTATTTAGTAACCACCATTATCAACTCAGAATGGTACCACAAATTTTCATACATTTAGTAAAAACGGATAAGTTTTTTATCTAGTTCAAAATCTACATTCAAGTTGTAAAACGATACTTGTCTAAAAGAAAAAAGAAACGTTAGTGAATTGAAAGGAGTAAAAGAATTACGACAGTATGCAAATTATACAATGTCATTATCTTAAACGAACGTTGTTGACAGTTAAACAGAGATAGAGTTAGTGTTGGTGGATAAATCGGGTCCATGGTTTAGAGACACTTGAGTACTTGACTATGACTACGAGAAGAAGGAAAAAGAGGCTTAAGAACAAATTGCAATAGTAGTAAAGATTCGGTATCTAAGAGAGATTGGGACATAAATTGATAAAAGTAAAGGTTGGGAGCAAAGAAGGTGAGAGGAGAAGGTGTGGGGTCAAAGTGACATAACCCACACCATGTGGGCATGTCCTTATGAACACTAAATTTAGAGAGGTTCTTTATCCCTTCTTGTGCGTCTACGTTTTTTATTATTTTCATCTCTCTTTTCTTTTGCCCTTTCAAGTTGATGAGAGGAGCTTATTAGGAAAATAAACGATGAAAGAGACCTTAACTTTTGAGTTTGGGTGCTTGACTATAAGATAGTCAAATTACACCAAACAAATATTTTGGATTATAGATTGGTTCTACATACTACATAACTCTAAGCTCACAAAGTTAACCATTACAAACTAAACTGGATCTCACTAACACATTTTCTTTGCTCTTACATCTCAGAAGCATGGTCTGTAAGGTTTCTATACCGAGGTCCATCTATGAACTATCTCCCTCAAACTTGTTTGAAGATGGAATTAATTGGATGAAAGACTCTACTAGACCCAAATAAGAACACATATAGATATAGTGACGTGGTTCTGTCTATTTCACTCATCTAATCTTAATATCTTATCGTTGATGTTATTAATGTTATGTAACTGTTAATATTTTGGTAGTGCCAAAGCTTTTTGTGGTGGTGGTTAGCTTTCGATAAGAACTTTTGTAAAACAGCTAGCGTAGACATGCATGATGGTATATGTACATAAAATATATTTTGGAAAAAAAAAATGTGTTGAAAAGCGGTCTTGCTGTATAATTAACTCTTTAAAAAGTGAAATAAAAAGGATTAACGCTAGAGAGAGGGGTTGAACCTCTGACCTTGTGGTTAACAGCCACACGCTCTAACCAACTGAGCTACTCCAGCTTGTTGAATATTTTATATCTAATTTTAAAATAAAGACTAAGCATTCGTGGTTAAGATTTTGTCATAAATGAATCAACTGAAATTTCAAGAGTATATAATACAGCAAGACAACAAATAACAGTATGACCAAGGCACCAACCACTAAATAATTTATAGTTTTTCTTTTTAACATGACATGCTAATTATTAAAAAAGGGACATAGAAATATATTATTAAATATAAAGAAAAACAATGGGTTTGAAGATAAGTGATTGGAAGGTAGGAGACCAATTGATTTTGATCAGTGTTGATTCCTATACCCACTCAAAAATCTTGTCCCTCTCTGTCTAAGATTTTTTATTTTTACACAATTAGACAATTTGAAGTAGCCTTATGACTGTGTCTTCAAATACAATGAAGTTAATTTGTACTTCAGTAATCTGTGTTTTATCAAGAAATTGAGATTTGTACTTATATTGGGTCTCTTAGGTTTCATATTTATCAAGAACATGAAACATATATACTTTTAACAACTTGAAATTCAAACAAGGCTCGTTATATCAGGAAATAGAGAGTAAGAGAGACTGAAAACTAATAAAATAGGAAAATGCTACACAAAAAGAAGAAGAGTGATAGAAATAGAGTTGCTATTATGGTATCCTAAGCCAAAAACATCAAACAATCTAGGGCCGTTCTTGATCCTTTCAAGTTGTCCCAACCACGGATTCCGTAGCGCTGTGCAAGATCGATCTTTATAAAACAAGAACCCATCGCAGGTAGCGATGGTTGTGTGAGAAGAAAGAAGATCTCGGTGATCAGTAATAGGAGAGGAGTGTGACTCACGCAACCGAATAAACAGTTTCAATAGTTTTGGGATTCTGGACCTGATATATGGTAATACAGTAATGCAAATTCGTTTGCATTTCCATAAAAGTTATTGTGCCCACACTCCAGAGTCAGTATCATGGCGCCACCACCGTTTGATTTAAACTTGAATTACACCTTATGTAAAATAATACTATATGTGGTCAATAAGTTGAACTTTTTTTCTCATTTAAAATTAAATGTTTAAGATTTTAAGTGGGCAGACGAGTACGAGGGAGCATCTTCACAACGTCGAATGTGGGATATTTTCAAAGGGATCATGTAAAGATTGGAATCTGATCACATAAATTAAAAAACCTTACTTTATCATAGCGAATTTGGCCCCGTATGAGGGCTGTAGCCAGTTCGAGTGGCACATCACGAAGTAGTCATAGTAAAATGTGCATTATATTTAGCATTTGTTTTGTAACTTCAAAGAAAATATGTGAACTGTAAGTTTGTAACTAATGTTGGTTGACAACAATATATTTTTTTTTTTTAACATAGTTCGTTTTTGTTATGGATCCTGTTTATTGAATTATCGATATACTATAGGTGTTTCAAAATAAAAAACAGTAAAAACAAAAAAAAAAGTTTACGTAGTTGGACCATGTATAGAGAGGATCAATTTTAGCACAGAAAAGTCTAAGAATCTTTGATTTCGACAACTGCGCCACTATTGACCTTATATCCCAAGTGCAGCCGCACGTGTGACTAAAGTTGCATACGATTGTTCGGATTGTTCTTGGAGCTCAACCGATTACACAAAACCGATGGACAATTAAATATAACATTCAATTCGAGCTTTGAATTAATAAGTGTGTGGGATTCTCTACTTAATGCAATTATAACTACATGCAATTAAGTGTGTGATTATGATAATCACACGTTGCAAGATTGTGGTTTTTAAGTTTTTTCGTTTCATTTGGCATTTGGTTTCCTTGTGTTGTAACCCCATATTGAATTGAGCCTTTAACTGTATATTCAATTAATACGGTTACATATTAAAAATCAATTACATTCCAAATATGTAACTATACTATGAAATATTGAAGACGAAATTAAATTTTATAAATTCAATTGAATTATAAATGTATTATTAATATGCCATAGTAAAGATAAAACCAAGATTTCAAAAAATATTTGGTCATTAATTTTTTTTTTAAAGTATATCACCTTTATGGCTTTATGACAAGAAACAGACTTATAAGAAAATAAGATGGATTATTTATTAATTTCTTACAAATTTTAGTGAAAAATCTAATAACAAAGTAAAAAAGAAAAGAAAATTAGAATACATTTATTAGGGTTATTAATTAACTTTCGTATGAGAAATTTATCTATATATTAATTCATACCAGCAATGTTGTATCACACCTTTCATTTTTCTGATACATATATATCACTTCTAACAAAAAAAAACTACATTGATTAATGGAAACGATAAATAGCCTTTTATGCTTTTTGTTTGTTATGTCATTATGTGTTGGGTTGGGTAACGCGAAACTGTGGGCAAAGAACGCCATACATTTTAAGAGTTCTCTTAGTCCTGGAAACACGCTCATGATTTTTTGTAAATGGAACGATGAACAGTTAGGCACCGAGTTTTTGGGCCCTGGACAAACCTATGATTTTAGCTTTCGTGGTAAATATGTTTTCAAGAACAAAATTGATTGTAACTTAAGTTATGGACCGCACATTGCAACGATTAGGGCATTTGAAAGTGGCAGTGGAGCATTTGATATGGGTAAACAGAATTTTTGGGATGCTAGAGCAGATGGGATTTACTTCACACATGGTCAAGAAGCGCCTAAGTTAGAGTATAAATGGCATTCAGGTTAACCTTATATATTTGTAATAACAAAAATAAATTAAGTCAAGGAAGAATACTTTCCCTTGTTTTTAACTAATATTGTTAAAATCATATAATATGGTCATTCTATAAAATAAAATAAAAAGTTACTTTTCAGATCCTGCCAATTTGATATTTACATCAAATTACTCGAATCAACTTATATTAAAGCAGATTTGCCATAGAAACAACCTAAATGTAAAGGTAAGTTGTATCCATCAACGTATTCCAATTCGGAAAAACAAATGACGCTTTGTTTGAGTAAGGGTTTCATTTGTCATAGAAACAAATGTGTTTCTAGACCATAACTTCTTGGTAGTCGAAGAATCTAAGGATTGAGCAGTTTTCAAAACAAAGGAACACAACAAGCGTAGGAAAGGCGCAGAAGATCTCTCGAAGATAAGATCCCAAGATTTTGTAATCTATTCGATTCTCTAACCATGTTCAAAGGAGAAAAAAGAAGACAGGAACACCTGAATATTCCAAAATTGTGTGTTGCTCTTCCCATTTCTCATTTCGATGTATTTTATGGAAGAACAAAACCCCAAGAGATGAAAGAGCTAACGTATTAAGAACTAGTTTGGATGAACTTTGAAGAGGCTTCACAAAAAGATACATTAGTTTTGGTTTCCTTGGTGAGAAAATCAACTTAGTTTTGTTTTTAAATAAATGGACCTATCATCATCAAAGAATGTTATTCCGTG